AAGATGTTATTTGATCAATCAGACCACAAAATCTAATGGATATACAGTAAGTTGCTCGATGTGTCCGACATAATTAAAGGGTGTGATTTTTTGACTCCATATAGAGAGCGAGTAGGAATTCGACCCATATTAGGATTGTGCTTGAGCATGGCAACGAGTATTTGGGTCCCCTGTCCTGATTTTTAAGGTTAAGACTAATTGAACAGTAAGATGTATTCTTCTAATAAATGGATTATTTTATACAGTTTTTATACAATTTTGTTTTATACACTTTTTTCAGTTGAAATATCACTTAAAGGTTTATTACATGCAAACGCAATATGGTAAGATGATATTTGTAGTTTCTTTTAGCCACACCCTTCAATTCATTATAGTTTTCTTCCTGGTTGTTTCTGAAATTGTTAGCCTTACCAACATCGAAACATCTTAGGACCATCGACAAGAAGATACTGGTTACCGTTGAGACATCCGCTTCGTTGCACAACCGGACAAAAAACGGTGTAGTCAGTTGTGTAATCGACGTGCGATATAGAGTAAGCGAACGTTTACATCGTCATTATCCCTTATTTTTTCCTGCTGAAACCATTAAGCGCCATTTTATTTAAATACAAGTTCCTCTTCTGAATAATTGTTTATTTTTGCTTCTCGACTGGAACAAAAATGCATTTATGCAATTTTCGACGGGCGGTGTCACTAAGAAAACGTAACTGTTATCATAACAGGAATATTGGCCTACTTGTCCACCAAGTAAGTTAAAAAAAAAACTTTAATATTTTTAAATGAAATTGTTGTTAAATTGTTTACGAACACAGGCAATGTTTATTTAATTTAAAAATAATGTAAATAAATTTCTTTTAATATCTTCATTAAAAAACACGCCTTCAATGAATACAATTTTAACAAAAGTTCATTTCGAACACCTAATTTTTTGTTTTTAACATGGACAATTTTATTCTGAAATGAACATGGTCAAACTACTTATTAGTTACAGTTAGTCGAAAATATTATTTTATAAATAAATTTTAATGAAAACCTTTAAAAAATAGGACAAAGTCAAGAACAAATGTTGAAGACAAAAACCATTAGTGTTTTATTGCTGACTTGTATAACTTATTAAACTCTTTCCATCTTGTAAGACAAAAAATAACTTTTTGACATAACCAAGTTTTCGAGATAATAATTTTTCTAATCATGTTTCACGCTTATATCAATCATCATTAATTTCTCGAAATTAATAAAATAATGACGGAATAATAATAATAAAAATAATAAAAAAACTGCCGAATCGGCCTCAAAATGTTCATACAATAATGTCCGTCTGAAAACAATTTCGGTTAAATCAGAAAATAATGTCAGTTTAAATAAAATATAAACGTCGTTAATAATCAGGCCTTTGAGTCAAATTAACAAAAAAAATTAAGATCGGATTAATCACATAACATTTTTTACCAATTAAACAAAAAAAAAAGATTAGAAAATAAAGTTGTAAAAACAAGGAAACCTTGGTCCATTCCTGGTCAGGAAATACAAATTTATCATAAAATTATTTTACATTGACAGGAAATAAATGTTGGATTAATCAGAATTCCTGGATTAATCCAAAGTAATGCCGAATTAACTAGACACATTATGTAAGATTAATCAAGAATATTACATCTTATAGTATAATATCTTGTATATTTTAATCTGCAGTCGGATTAACCTTACCGATAATTCAATTAATTAAGATTTTAAGTTGAGATAAAAAAGTCAGTGTCACGAGCGGGATTCGAACCCACGACCTTCGGCTTTATACGCCGCTACGTAGTACACTCAAGTAGGAGAGTAGCGGCGTATCAAGCCGAAGGTCGTGTGTTCGAATCCCGCTCGTGACACTGACTTTTTTTATCTCAACTTAAAACCTTATTTAATTGAATGATATTAATTGGTCAAGCGGGCCACGAAAAATAGTGAACTTACCGATAATGTTATGCTTATGATTAACAAAAATGCTGATGTTGTATTAATTAAAAAATTGTATTAACGAGAGTAAAGTTTGTAGATGTACCAGATTAACAAAAAAATATGTTGGATAAGCAAGTAAATAATTATATAAGACTAATTAAATATTTTGTCGAATGACCGAGAGCAAATCGTTAGTTTAATAAAACAAATTGAAGTAGGATTAACTAAAAATAATGTAGTTGAAATAAACAGAAAATAGTGGTATAGGATTAATCAGAAAATGATTGATTATTCAGAATATCGGATAAACTAGAAAATATTGATGTCAAATTAGTTGAAAAAATGGACCAACAAGTTGAATTAACTAGAAAAACAAGTTTTTGGTTAAACCAAAAATGATTGATATCGTATTAATAAAAAAAAATTGGATTGATGAAAATAAACCTATGGATTAATGATAACGAAGTATATCAGATTAGGCAGAACACATTGTAGACGGATTAAACAAAAATTTATGTTTTTAGATAAACCCAAAGATAGTGATGCCGGATGTACTATAACAGCTTTCTGTTTTATCACCATTGAAATATTGTAAAAGAATCGGTCGGAATAATGATAACTACTGTTTATATTATACCATGAATATATTGTAAAAGAATTAACCAAAACAGTGTTTGGACAAACAAGAAAATATTGATGTTTGATTAATCAGAAAATTATGAAGTATTAATAAAAACTGATTAACGAGAACAAATGTTGTCAGATTACTTTGAACATATTGTATCCGAATTATTAAAAAACTAAGTTTTAGATGGACTAGAAATTATTGACGTTCGATCAATCAGAAAATTGTGTCGAATTAATGAGAACGAATTGTTATCACTATGTAGACGGATTAAGCAAAAATTAATCTTTTATTTTTTGATAAACCAAAACATATTGTTGTCAAATTAACGATATCAGCTTTTTGTTTTATTACCATGATATATTGTAAAATAATTAACTAAAAAAATAAAGTTTTTGGATAAACCAAAAAATAATTATGTCGGATTAACGATAACAACTTTTTTTCTATTATCATGAATATATTCTAAAAGAATTATCCAAAAATTAATTTGTTGGATAAACAGAAAATACTGATGGATGTTTTTCTTCCAATCTGACCGAGCGCCTTCATTGTCACCGAGCAACAGTACCGTCACGACCGATGCACACCATCGGCCCTTGCATACTTTCGATAAAATCGGACGATATTCTACCGTAATACCAAGTTTGTATTAGAAAGCGTCAACGAGTAGGAAAATCTTAGAAAAGAGACACCAGCATTGGCAAAACGTCCCCGTAAAGTTATTACGAACCGTTCAGGAAGATTACCGTGACTACTCCTGATGGTAAATGCTCCATGCCTCTTTCTGTCAATGTGAAAGTTAAAGAGCCGGCTTTGATTTTTCGCCCTTCAAGTCATCTGACTGCGAACAAATGATCAAACAAACCTATGACTAAACAAATGTGATATTTTTCATGACAGGATGAAGATCAGACAAGTTGAAGAATTGTCACCCACGATTTTACATGGATTAAAATTTTGGAGAGTCATTTAACTCCAGAAATCATAATACAGATAAAGGCTAAACCGTAAAATTACCGAGTTAACGCTAATGATTTTAAACAGTAGATTATTCAAATATTTTCTAAAAGCATAGTTTATACTTGTTATTGCATGTTTGCTAAAAGGCAAGCCTGGCTCGTTATATGTTTATGCCTCAAAAAACTTCAAGTTTGCCATTTACTCATGTATATTTTTCTATAAAAAATAAGTCCTAAAGGAAATTTTATTTCAGTTGCTTAATTTGTTTATACAATTTTTCAGACGATTACTTTTACACTTTCAGAAAAGTTAAAACAGCATAAAAGCTAGAAAGTCCCATTCGAGATAGATTAATTTCTTGAACGAAACGCCGGGAAGTACAATTTTTTTTGTATATCCCTTAATGACTACACGCAGATTCCTTCAATAATACATGGTTCTCTTCAAAAGGAGGCGTAGCCGGAGAAAATCCTCTTTTAAATAGCACCTAGGTTGAAAATTTGTAATTTGTTACTTTGAAATTTAAAATACGCCCATCCATAAATTAATTGGGAACTTTCTCTTGTAGCATTTCCTCGTGTTATATTCCCTTTATTACTGATGGTTTCACCCAACGATCGTCGATGATAATAAATGCATCTTTTTAATTAAAGAGATCCAAATCATACTTGCCTTCTTGCTCCACTGTACAAAATAACAAGCGTGACTCCCATCCGACCATTTAGGCCTGTTGATGTACGGAACTATCATCATACTGTCCTATTTATTTTCATTTTTATTCATAAACTGTTATATATTTGAGGAAATCAATTTGCAAAAATTAAAACAAATATTTGCAAGCTGTGCTGTTACGTTATGTCTTATGAGATACCATACGCCGGTGGTTTCTGGCAATTGTACACTATACCTAATGCTTGCTGACTAAATTCATGACAAATTTGAAGTTTGGTCGTTCTAAAAAGTCAAACTGTGCGAATTTTCACTTGTTATACAAAAAAATTAGCTTATTACTGCAAGATAATTCAAAGATAGAAGACTAAGGATCAGGTTGGACGATTTCAACGGTTGACTTCCTCAGAATTAAGTAAAATATAATTGAAATAGTAATGTTAACCTTCATTAAACTGCTAAATAGCATAATTACTTCATCCAGTGGAATCAAAACTGAAATTTTCTTCTTTCTTATGTTTTACCGATTTCGTCCAATTATTACAGAAAAAGACGTATTTAGTTATTTTAGAACATTTTCTTCATTTCTTCAATTTTAAATACTTGATAAGATTAAACATAAGGCTAGAGAAAGCTCTAATAAATTTCAAATTCAGTCGTAGCCATGCTTGAGATTAGGAGTTAGAAAGGAATTATGTTTTTCAAAGAGCTCTAAATTTATCTGATCAGACTGTGAGACATCATATCCTTACACGCACTTTGTTGCAGCTAACCGTACGCAAGTTACTTCCTGTGAGTGAGGTAAGAAAACAGAAAGTTAAAAGGAAGCATGCAAGTTGAGAGTACTGGAGGGAGAAGAGGGGATGAGTACAAAAGAGCCAGCGTCTTGAGAGAGAAGTCAGTACCGCGCAAGTGTTTGACAAGATGAGAATAATCGGGGTGCTGAGTGTAGCTTTCGTAGCTGTATGTTTGGTGGCGGCAAACCCTCAAGACAAATCGAACCGCAAGAACGAGAACCAAGCTATCAGAAGGGAATCAGATCTCTCGATACCGAATTTTGGCCTGGAGAGCCTCGGAGAATCTCCACACGACCTAAAAGGCGGACAGCAAGAGTTCAGCAGCGGTCAACACGATTTCAGCAGCGCGCAGAACGACTTCAGTAGTGGTCAACATGATTTCAGCAGCAGCCAACATGATTTCAGCGGCAGCCAGTACGTCTTCAGCAGCGGTCAAAATGATTTCAGCGGCGGCCAGCACTTCAGCAGCGGTCAACATGACTTCGGAATCAATGGACATGAGTTCTCCAACGGTGGCCACGAATTGTCAACCCAGGAGCTGGGAGGTGGAGGAGATGGACACGAGATAGCACATCACCAAAAAGAGAAAAAAGTAAAGACCATCACTGTCACGAAAGAAGTGCCTGTGCCTTACCCAGTTGAAGTGGAAAAGAACGTCCCGTACCCCGTTAAAGTTCCAGTCGATAGACCAGTCCCTAGGCCGGTGGAAAAGCCCTACCCCGTCACAGTCGAAAAAGAAGTCCCTTATCCCGTCAAAGTCAATGTTCCCCAGCCCTACCCGGTCGAAAAGCACGTCCCCTACCCGGTCAAAGTGTACGTCGACAAGCGCTACCCAGTCAAAGTAGAAAAACCGTACCCGGTCATCGTCGAGAGGAAGGTCCCAGTCCCGATCGAAAAGAAGATACACTACGCTGTCAAAGTGCCCGTCGATAACCCCGTCCCCGTCCACATCCCGGTCTACAAGACCATTCCTTATCCCGTGGAAAAGAAGGTACATTTTGAAGTGAAAATCCCCTATGAACGGCCCGTTCCTGTCCACGTTAACAAGCCCTACCCGGTTCATGTGGAAAAGAAAGTGCCTTATCCTGTCACAAAGATTGTACCTTATCCAGTCAAAGTTCCTGTCAAAGTGCATGTACCATATGAAGTAATTAAGCACGTTCCAGTCCATGTACCTTCCAAACACGAGCATCACCACCAATAAAGTAACTCAGTGATTGTGACTATTTAATTCCTATTACAATTTGTTTTTGTTTGTTATTGATTGTTTTTTAAATAAATATTTTTCTATAATTCTATTGTTTTTGTTTTTCCTTTTTTCTTTTCTTTTACCTAAATAGAACGATATTTTGGACAATGGGGAGGGGGTAAAATTCATACAAAAATTATTTTAAAAAACAGGATGATTAAGAACATTCTCTTGATTCATTCCATTCTAATAAAAACCAGCTGTACATAAACTAAATTAAACCTTTCAAATATATTGGTACACAGAAATAAGGCAATTAAAAATCAAGAGATGGTTTAATACCATGCCATATAGTAGAACATGTATTTTATTTTTGCATTAATTGTACACATATTAATTTGCTCGTTAATAAGTTTACACGAGATGTCATTTGTCATTTTTGTCATTAAAATTACCCTTTTTTAAAATAAAAATCTATTGCTAATAAATATTTTATTAAGAAAGTGGCTGCCTCAGTGGGACAGATCAGCAGAGAAACTCTCGCATATCAGTCCATAGGTAACCGTCAGAGAGCCTGATTTGTAGAAGGGTCATCATCACCCAATAAGAATAGGCCATGCAAGTACTCACGAGCACTAACTTTGGGACAAAGCCTGTGTATATCCACACCTTCATGTAGAGAAAGGTTGCTTGATGTGTCCCATCTAATTGAACGGTGCTATTCCTTAGCTAGAAATGCCACCCTACATGAGAATTATGCTTGAAGTAATCATGAAAATTATTGTAAAAGGTATTGAGTACTCCTCCCCCTTAACTGAATGAATGGTATGTAACTAGGAAAAAATCAATTTAAGATTGAGTTACAGTGTGAATGGGTTTGGATTGCGTTGGGTGTTGAAACGAACTTGCTGTTTAGCACATGGAGCCCAACCACGTTTGCTGGATGGAGACCAAGGTCCAACTCGGACCTGATTCTCGGGGCCAGCTGGTAATTCATTGGAGTTATTTCAATTGGCTTACCAAACTGCCAAAAACACGGTTCATTAGACAATGGATTAAAAATAATTCCTCTGTTCAATGAGAATGTAGCCTGGGACAGGGACATGCAAAAAAGTTTATCGAAGGACTATTGCAGAAGCTAACAGTAAAACAACTAAATTTAGGATGTGCTAGGACTAGAATAATAATTGGACTGCTGACTGGACACTTCAGACTCTGGAGGCGTATGTATAGCGGAACATGCCCTCTGTTGGTGAGAAGGCCTATAAGCTATATATATATATAAGCTGGGATTCCTAATCCTTGGGGCCTGAAAGAATCATACAGTAGCCCTTGAAAAAGCTTTGGGGTCTAGTAAAAAGCCTTAAGTTTAAGGAGGAGCTCTATAAAAAAAAATGGAGATGCACAATAGACCAATACTGACCACAATGCATAGGTCGTAACAAGGCCGACTCCAATCTAATCTAATCTAATTATTAATAGTTATTCAGATATCGTGAGATGCAGTCGGGTATGATGTAGGCTTCAGAAAAACATTTTCTTTATCGTGCCAACGTATTAGCTAAATGTAAACATTGTTTGTAAATCCCAGGCCCTGAAGATAATCTCAATAAAAGATCGAAACGTCTTTTCGACGATAAAGAAAATGTTTTTCTGAAACCTACATCACACCCGACCGCATCTCACGATATCTGAATAACTATCAATTAACGGTCACTAACCTCTACACACTAATTATTAATGTACTATTATTTATTTATTTTAAAAAGCTCTGGCAGACATTTGAAGACCACTGTCTTAGAAGTTTCAATTTTTTAATTGATATTTGTGCTTTGAAAAAAAAAATCATTGTTTAATTACTGATCATTTTGGATTGCCTTTTGGTTGATCTGTCAGAAACATTCTAGCATTTCACCATCTCCAGAGTGTATCTGACAAAACAAACAACAAATAACATTGTATGTACAGTCGACTCTTTGTTTATTTGAAACTTGATTATTTAAATTTCCCGATAATATGTCATTTCGGAAAATCAGAAAATTATGTGCACTTGTTACACTTGGTAGTAGGAAATATTGTTGTAACAGGAGGAGAAAAAGCATGCTATTAATCGAAATGGAGTCACTTCCCTCTTTATAATTTGCACTTTTTCTGTTATATTCCTCTAAATTTCCATGTATTAAATTTTCTCTAGTTTGTTATGTTTTGCGGTAGTGTTTTGTCAATTTGTATATTCAATTCAATTATTCAATTCAATATTCAATTTTACAGTTGATCTATTTCTGCTTTTTCATTGTTTACTGTTTTATACATGTACAATTTAAGTAATAACTTAGAAAAATGCATATCAACTCTTGACAATTTTTTTCTTTCCTCTTGATAATTCAAACATCTTGATAATACAAATTATTTTTGTGGTCCCTTGGGTTTCGAATTATGAAGAGTCAACTGTTTATAAATGTTTGTTCACATTTTTGTTAACCTTGTGAACAGGTAGCCAAGTGGTCAGCGTGGCAACACTCTCAGCTGCGGTCATGGGTTCTTCTGTTGCCCTTGGTCCTTTTTTTCACACTTCCCTTCCCCAAAAAATACAATAAACATCAAAACAACATACATCCCTCTGGCTAATATTGAGAAAAAAAAGGTTGTTTAAAAAAATAAGTAATAAAGCTATTAAATCCTGACATAGATTAGTTTTTTTTTAAATGAGAATAATAGGAAAAATTATTTCAAACTTGTTCTAGGAGACCACACACAGTAGTCGAGTGGTTAGCTTGATGGACTCTCGGCTCATCCAGTCTCGCACCCCACAGTCATGGGTTTGATTCCCATTGAACCTTCTTTCATATCCTTCCCTCATTAATACAATAGTCAAACATAATGTCTTGCTTTGCTAATATGCTATGTTCATAAAGCCATTTAAAAAAAAAAGTTCTTGACTCTCTTGGATCAATCCCAGATACCCCAAATGGTGTGGGACACAGCAAGCACATCCTTCCTTATAGATTCGCACTTCAATATTTTGTCGGAGGAATTTAGGAATTGACAGTAGCTATGGCAGCTTGCTCAGCCACATCTTCACCGTTGGTATCAAACGATGTAAGCGAGGACACAGCAAACATGTTTATGGCTGTAGTTTCAAAAGACTGATACAAAAAATATATCCTGCAACAAAAAGAGTTATTTTCAGTGATTAAGGTTAGTCAAATAACAGCTCAATCATTCAACCACCAATATTGGGGCAAACATCATCCAAACTGTTAATATATTTAAAAGGAAAACTTGTTTAGTACAAGGAAAACAGGACAGTAGGACTAGGAAGTGGTTATAAACAAAACTTTTAAGCACAAAAAATGTGTATTATTTTGAATTTCAGTATAAAAGATTGTGTTACTTACATTACACTAGAACGTATATTCTTTACAAGGAAGAGCATTATGGATCACTTTTGGTTACAACCAAATTAATTGGCCATCCTGAAGTTCACCAGATCAATATGTAAATATTATATAATTTGTTCTTTTCAGAAATTATATATCAGATCTTAAACTTTTAAATATTATTTGAAAAATTAATTATTTGGATTTTCAATTTGGTACTAAATCGTAATACTTAAAATTTGAATGGTAGAATTGTTCTCCTAAATCGAGTTAATTTTGATTTTTACAACACTAATTATGTTGAAATAAACAATTATGGAATGTTGACTTTTGTTGAAAAGTAGTTTTAAGTTTTTACAAAAGAAAATAAAATAAAACGAAGTATGATGTATTCACATAGAATATTAACATAAATGCCAAAAAAAAAATTAAATGCGGTTATGTTAATGCATAAAATGAATCATAAACATTACATAATTGTAGTACATGGCAGTGGTTTTTTATGTTATGTACAAACGTAAACAAAATATATTGTTTTGTCTCATTCAATAATAAAATTTGAATTTAGATGTCTTTTAATCTCAGTAGAGAATGATAAAAAAAATATACAAAAAACTATAAAGTATAAACTTATTTGTAATAAAATATACAAAACAAAACAAATTGTAAAACATAAACTATATAAATTATGTCTTATACATTAAAAATGGACGAAATGAATAATACTTTGTTACAAAATTACTGAAAAGTACACATTTATTTAAATATGCCACAAAATTGCCTTGTTTTTTATCCCAAATTAATTTCTTTCTCAACACTTTCCTACCAACTGCTATAGCAATTACCTAATCCAAATTCTGATAAAACCATCCCGGACACATTATTACTCAATCTTTTTTAAACGATTGAATATAAAACTGTGAGAATATATTTTGATAATAAAAAATAAAATAATTAAAAATAAAACAAATATCTTAATATTAACTACTAAGTCTTATTAGAAAGGCTTTTTGGTTTGTGATTTGAGAAAGTTGGCAATTCCTCTCAGGCACTAGTGTTATATATATATATTAATTCTACCACTAGGTTTTGAAAGTTTTTATGCTATCGACATTACTACTAGTTGAACAAAATAAAACAAAAAGGTGTCTTAGGATAGTCATTTGACGTTTTAAAATTTCAGATCTTTATTTCGGAAAATAAAATTAAAGGGTAATTAAAACAGCATGAACAAAGTATGTTCAAACTGTCTCTTTTTATAAAAAAATAAAATTAAAAAAGTAACATAAATATATGTACACTGTTTTGTTGTGTGACTTGCTTCAAAATAAAAGCAATTAGATAAACCATTCTTTTTTCTTTTGTACTTGATGACCTGTTGTTGATTCCATTACTGCTTCATCCGGGTCCAGCGCCATTTCAGCACCGCGATCCTCTTGTGTGAGGTACTCTCCTTTGTGCCTCATGACGTAACGGAAGATAAGGAATGCGACGATAAGGAGGATGAGAAGAATGGCAAACACGACACCTAAACAAATTTACGATTAATTTTTGAATCACTTAGATAAAAACGAGTCTTACCTCCTATCACAGCTGACGCAGTATCACTATAAATTTCTGCTAGCTTGTCTTCATCAATATCTGGCGGCGGTCTGGTTTCAACAATATTTGGCGGATGTGTTATAGGCTCAACACCACAGAAGTCCTCATTAAGATTGCCTTTAAATAAAAATTGTAAATAAATTGTTTTTAAATAAATATTTAGTTGTACAAACTATACCTCCGATGGATTTAACATTGGATGGCCCATCCTCTTGGAAGAGGAGTTTCAAGGGGTAAATATCGTCAAATTCAACTCTTGAAATGCAACCAACAAAGCCTTCTTTCATCGTTTCATTTTTACCGATGTAGAGATACTGGATGTTGTTAAATTGTGCATCGGCAGATTCTTTAACTTCATAGTGGAATTCCATCGGTTCATAGTTATCTACCTGTGATAAAATAAATAAATACTTTTCCATCCAAAGTGATACAGATAAGTTATTTAGTAAATGTTTTCTTACCAGCATTACTAATGTTGAACCTGAATTTTTACGACTTATTCTTACATCGTGGTACTGACCCAAGCCAAAATGTTTATTTGGGAATATAGCTTCCCGCCTTTCAAAGCCAAAATCAAACACAACTCTTAGATGACCTAAAACATGTTAAAAGTTATTTATTTATTCAATTTAAGACAATGTAGTAAACCATAATAAATAATGATTATAACACTATGATGGAAATTCGAAATAACAAATAAAATGACTAAGGAATTTAACATGCAAACACCAACATGAATGTTTTAAGTGATTAAAATATTTACCGCTGTTTGAAACTGATATGGTCATATATTCGCTGGTCAGGCTCGAAAACATGCCCAAGAGGAATCCCTTGGGGTTGGTAGTTGTAAAACCAACTCGGATCGATTCAGCAAGTGTGGATCGCCATGAACCCATGAAGTCATACTTCACCATCGAATTGGATCTAAGGTTGACTCCAATTTCTATACAATTTAAAAAAAGTCCACAAGTTAAAATAAAAATTATGCTAATGAAATATTGTGATCTACAGATCGATTTTCAGAAATTATTGTGATCTATGTTCTCTTGGCCTGTTTGTCTATCAGACAATTTTCAGTCGTTAAAACTAAACAAGCCTACAGTGCAAAGCCAAAATGTCTGTTAGACAAAACCATAAGAAAAGCAGGCAACAGGAGACAATTTGGTTTAAATATTTTTTTAAATTGTTTTAAGAAGTTTTTTATCGCACTTACCATCAGCACAAATAGGTCCTTTGAAAGCAGTCCACCTACAGTCACAGGTGTAGCCATCGTACCTCTCGATACATGTGCCATTGTTCATGCAAGGGTTGCTAGCGCATTTTCCAACACACCCTACGCTGACGCCTTAAAATATCATTAAAAAACAAACAATTAAACAAACAATTTAAATATAACAAAGCTATGCTAATAATATACCATAAAGTCCTTTTTCAGCGTAACTTTTCAGGTCGACTAGTTTACCGTTGAGTAGGAGTGACCTGACACAACCAGTAAATCCATCACGGTATTCAACAGTTGAACCTAAAATATGCAATATTAGCAAACAAATATTTTTAAAAAAATTATGTAGAATGAAAATAATACCAATAACAAGGGGAGAGGTGAGGTGCATAGCTCGTACAGGTCCCGGAGGCTGTCTGACTTCAGCCTTCAAAGCAGAATCCACAATGAGCCTTGCTTCCTTCCTGAAAAGAAAATTTAAAATTAGTTTCTATTTTATAGAAGAGAAAAAAAATACTGGCTTGCCTGTTTCTTTCTATAGAAACTGAATGCCATTGGTCATCAGCCAGAATGTATGTCGTTTCAACAGTCACTCCCAGATTCCCTCCTCCAGCTTGGAACGTGAATTGCAATTTAGTGCCACCTAAACAGATATTTATCCTTTCATTAACCTTGATATTCATGTGTAAAATTTAGTAAATATGAAATCAAAAAACACACCAATGATTGCAAGTTTGATAAAATCAGACGGGCCTTTACTATGAAGTATTACACCGTTTAATAGAGTTGTTTTGAACTCGAGGAAAATATCGCCACTGTGCCCCATGTCGAATGTTGGCAAATTAATAGAAGCATCTGAGATTCTGAATGTAACCACATTGTTAAAAAGATCTGAAATAAAAAATTAAATAAGCATCATTTCTCAAATATTTATTTAAAAAAATGAATAATTCACCATCTCCTTCACAAATAAGCGGTCCGAGACGATAGACTCCTTCCTTGTCATCAAGAGGATGCCCAGTGTCACCGAATCTCAGCTGCCGAACAGGTAGTTCGTTCTTATCCCACAGTTTTCCTTCATCAGCAACCCATGTATCGAGGCCTACAAAAAATTACATATATCCTAACTTATACAAACATTCCAATAGACACAACATTGAACATTATTAAAGATAAATGGCCCAACATAACACCACATACAAGTCTATCAAAGAACACGTTCATAACAATGGTTTGACACTGCTGTATCAACTGATATTTTACATACAACAATCGATTTTACCAACAACTATTTGGTATAGCCATGGGTAGCAACCTAGGCCCGATACTGGCAGACACATCTACTAAATACAGTCATACCACAACTTCCTTTCACATTACCCTTCCTCACTAAATACGTAAATGATATATTGACAGCAGTTCCCACAGATCAAATTCAAACTACATTAGATACATTTAATAGCTTTCACCCACGCCTACAATTTACACATGAAATTGAAAACAACAAAACAATACCATTTTTAGATACACTCGTAATAAAACAACCAGATGGCACATTAATCACAGATTGGTATCAAAAACCAAGTAACACAGATCGCTACCTCAACTTTACATCTCACCATCCTCTTCATACAATAATAAACACGGCCAAACAGTTACTTCACAGAATTATTACTCTAAGCCATGAATCATTTCACCACAAGAACATAAAGATATACAAACACATCCTCCATAACAATCACTTTATGGAGGACAACAACCCTAAACACATAATCAACAGAATAATCAACAACTACAACTCAACACTAACACCATCCTCTATTACTAATAACACTACATCAAATCTATCAAATACAAGCAAACCAATGTACATTTCCATGCCATTCATTCACACCTATCACATAAATTAAACACATTTCTCTCGTCCGATAACTTTAAAATAGCTTTCAAAAATTATAAAACAATTCAAACACTTTTTTCCAAAATTAAAGATCCCATACCAATAACAAATAAATCTGACATAATCTACAAAATCTATTGTTAAACTGTCTGGCAACTTACATCGGGTTTTACATCCCAATATCTGGATAAGAGAGTAAAGCAATATATCTAAGATTGCAAAAAACCCAAGCAAAATCCTACAGCACTCGCTACCCACCATTTTGAACACGAACACAATTTCGACTTAAACAATCCAAAAATATTACACACAGAACAAAACAACATAACTTTTTAGAAATGGTTTACATCAACAGAGATAAACACAGAATCAATTACAGAACAGATAGATGTAAACTAAGTCGCGCTTCGCCAATATCATTAATCAAATTCAATATCGATAGCATACATATATTGTCACATCACACAAAACATATAACATAACTTATAAAACATTCATCACATTCCACACATCAAACATTTTTCACATAGTCTAATTTTTCAACAATTTAGCTTTCCTTTTCCTATTTATCCCCCTCTATATAATCCTGAAAGGATAATCTGGTCGAACCATTAAGAATGTTTTTTCCCATCATCGGCTCTTTTCACCTCAAAGAAACCGACTCCTTATACAAAAATGTCTTTCTATACCGACTTCCTTCCCCACCCCTTCAAAATCGAATGTATATAAACATAAATCAGCAATATATCACTGGCACTCTCAACATGACACGCAAGAATGGCACAATTAAAACACAGAAACAAACAGCACGCAGAAAACAAACACTTTGGGTGAGTAGAAATACTTTGATTGAATATAAAGAAATATTTTTTTTGCATTGTATATATAAATTCACTTTTTTCCACATCTTACATGTTTTTTTTTTTTTAATTTAAACAATGTTTGTAAATCCCAGGCCCTGAAGATGATCTCAATAAAGATCGAAATGTTGGCACGTTAAAGAAAACCTACATCACACCAGACCGCATCTCACGATTTCTGAATAATCATCGACATACAGTCATTAATCACCACATACTTATACAGACAGAACTTCATTACTACTAAATACTTCATGAAATTTCAAATAGTTGTTGTTTTTGTTTTTTTTAATTCCCATATTTCTTGCTTTAGTAAAGATTTATATTCATATTTTATAAATTTATTTATTGTTTTCTGTTTTTAATTTATTTATAACAATTGACATAAAATTTATTACATTTATTATTATTAATTATTATTAAAATTTATTAACTATATATGATCTATAAGTGTGTTACTGTTTTGTAAAATGATGAGCTGTGCTATTGCAAAAATTTATATTTACCTTGATCGCAATTGCACCATTTGGTTGGGTCGACGCAATTGCCCATTATACCGCATTGGCATTTTCTAGAACCAGGAACGGATTCTCCCCAATAATCCATTTTCTTGTTATTTCTCGACACCCACCAAGAATATGGGTTAAATGATTCTTCGGTTGCTTTAAACATACATAAAAAGACAAATATGTAATAAATCAGTAAATATGAAACATTGTAAAGAGGAGTTGTAAATTTATAATAAAATTCAGATAGAATAACATAGAGTAATAAAAACACTTTTAAAAAAGTTAAATTGGGAGAAATTCAATGTAGAAAATTTAAAGAGCAATTAAATAAAGTGTTATAGTGCTTGATATCCAGGGAGAATCTAGAGCCAATGATTTGAGGTGGGGTGAATATGGCATTCACTTTTTGGAAAATATGGTTCTACACACAGAAGTTTTAGGCAGCTACCGAATTTCAAGTATTAAATACTCATCATCAGGCAGAAGATACAAACACGCCTTTCAACATGAATTGTATGGTAATCCACATTTTTTCATTTTCAAAATTGAGCAGCACAAAAAACCAGCTTCTCATTAGAACATTGTGTTGGCGGTGGATTTACAAGCCAATCCTAAATTAACGTCACGAGATGTTTTTGCGTCTTCTGCCTGACGAAAAGTATTTAAAAATAAAACTTCGGTGAGTAGAACTACTTTTTCAAAACGTGAAAAATTCACAAGTAATGCAGGGACATGCTCTAATATCCTACCCATATAAAAAAAATATAGTTATTAAAGCTTCAGGAGAAACTTTAGGTGCACAAGGATCTGTCAACACCATGATTCCAAAATTCACATTTGATCAGTTTTAAATAAAAACAGTTTGTATTCGGTGAACATCGTCTCGGTTTATACTCTTTGTTATTACATCACTTTTATGGAACAATTTTTATTTAACAATCTATGGACCTGGACCAACAGTTGACTGGCTGTTTTTCTTGTAGCTCTCAAAAACCCCTTTTGCTTATTTTTTCATTGTTATAATTAATTTAGTGTAAAAAGTGATAGCAATCAGTTCTGTTTTTTTTTCTTCACGTGTATATATTTACATTAAGAACGTAATTTCTCTTAACGTCGCTAATTTCAGATCGTTAACAACAATGTTAAATCAAGTATGTACTATAGCCGACATAGCAGACTGGGGAATTGGATGCCAGTTAATGCTCTGGTGTACAAACTGTAAGGCTTATTCTACACAAGCGCTGAAAATGTGGCGTTTGGAACACCTCCTGCCTCTTGAAACGCATGCTAGGAAATGCAAGACCATTCTAACATGCATAGTAACAGCATGTTTCAGTGCAGTTAGTTTAAAAATGAACCCTCTTCAAGTAAGATGTGTTACAGGGATTTTATTGTTGAAGCAACTTGGGAGAAAAAATTCTGGATTTCTGTACAACATTTCGCCTTCACTACTCTATTCTATTGGGTTGTCCGGAAAATAATGCAGGATTTTAAGTTTTCATTAAAAAAAATCTATATAAAATATTCTGTTTACGTTTACAGGATTACTCATTTGTATGAATGTCAACACTTATTAATCCTCTTCCAAATGATATTGTTTGTTTACCTCTGTAGCATTCCGCTACTTGGAAATAATTCAGTCATCCTTATAATGTCAAAGCGAGAATTTCGTACGATTTTCTTTTACGAGTTTAAACTCGGCCGAAGCGGAGCCCAAACGGCTAGAAACATTAACCAAGTCTGGGGCGAGGGTTGTGTTAATGAGTGCACTGTGCAAAGGTGGTTTAAAAAATTTCGGGAGGGAGATTTCAGCCTTGAAGATGAAGAAGGTCGTGGAAGGGCTTCCTCTCTTAATGATGATGTTCTGCGATCAGTGGTGGAAGAAAACCCCAAAACAACTGTTCGAGAACTTGCAGAGCAACTCAAAGTCAGTAAAACGACCGTCGCTGACCACCTCAAGGCGATTGGAAAAGTGAAAAAACTCGAAAATTGGGTTCCACACTCATTAAACGATCGCCAAAAAAATCAGCGCTTTGATGTTTGTGCATCACTTCTTTGTCGAAACAAAAATGACCCATTTCTGGCCAGAATTGTTACATGTGACGAAAAGTGGATTCTCTACGATAACACTAGACGTTCTGGACAGTGGCTCGACAAAGGAGAAGCTCCAATACATTTTCCAAAGCCCCCAACTCATCAAAAAAAGGTAATGGTTACGGTATGGTGGGCTTCATTTGGTTTAATACACTACAGCTTCTTAAATCCTGGCGAAACCATCAATGCTGAATCATACTGTAACCAAATTAATACCATGCATCAGAAATTGGCAGTAATGAAGCCCTCTTTGGTCAATCGGAAAGGGCCCATTTTGTTGCATGACAACGCTCGACCACATGTGTCACGTGTAACGTCACAAAAATTATTGGAGCTTGGCTATGAAACTTTGCCTCACCCACCCTACTCTCCGGACCTCTCGCCTACTGACTACCATTTTTTTAGACACCTGGACCACTACTTACAACACATAATATTCAAAAATCAAACGGAACTGGAAAATGCATTTATTGACTTTATCAATTCTAAAAATTCTGAATTCTACTCAGACGGAATTAATAAGTTACCAACACGTTGGGAGAAATGTATTGAGAGTATGGGAAATTATTTTGATTAAAGAACATTGCTTTAAAGTAACTAGTTTCTTTTTTTTTGTTTAATACCAAAATCCTGCATTATTTTCCGGACAACCCGATAATATCCCTTCAAAATAATTGCGTAAATAGGTGGACCAAATACCTCGCAAATGAATTTTTAGGTATCGACCACCACATATATAAATATACACATAAAGATATATTCTCAATATCTATTAACTTTTTCCTCACATACCTTATCACTAATGTTAGATTACTTTTGTTAATGTTATGAGCACCAATCATATCCCAGTCTTCAATACTCCTCCAAAAATTTAGCCTGATCGTTCAGAATTGCAAGGGCAAGGCTGTACAATTTGCTTTCCCAGTAAGTACATTCTGCTTCTTCACAGGCACGTTTTAGGTCCATGGCATCTGAGTTTTTGAAAACAACATAATCATCTTTTCTTCCCTCTTCCTTTTCTTTTTCCGTCATCTTTCACCTTTTTCTCTTTCTGCTTTCCTTTTTTAATTGTGGTTTCATCATTCGAAAGAATATATTGTCACTATTGTTTTGTATATTCTGAGGATTAACGTTGCTAACGCATTAGAAACGTTAATGCTGAGCAAATGTTACATGTTAGAAACGCTCATCTAGAATGAATCCTACACGAATGTTTCTATACAAATGCACTGAAAAATGCCGTTTGTGTTTTGAGGGGCATTCTAAAACTTTTTATTTTATTTTCTTTACTTGCTCTAAAAATATATACAGCATTTATTGTATTATTATGTATTATATCAGAAAATACATTGCACAATACAAAGACAATAGAAGTTCAGACCAGTCTCTGGCAGAAAATCAACTATAGCGGGGTATAAACACCATGTTTTGAGTGCTTATTTAAAATAAGCCTTAACTAATGGATCGGAGTTGGTATTACGGAAATAAACCAAGCAGTAAAAAAAGAAACTTGGGCTATACAATAAGGCAATATGTCACTGCCTTTCAGGCAGATTATTGAGCAGTGGGCCAAGGAAAAAAGGCTGGTTACTATCAACAAAAATAGGACTAGACACTAAAGGCAAAAACCTCATTGATACTAAAGCCTTGAGCTGTTTAGACATTGGAAAAACAATAAAATTACCCTTGCTATGGTTACCAGAGCATACAGGGCAGAAGGGCAGCATGAGGGCCAATAAATTGACCAAGAAAAGTTCAGTAAGGCCCTGAACTCATCCCATTCTAAGTTTACAAAAAGTACATCCATCAGACTATGCGTTAAGAAGAAGCCCTTGGTTCAATGTAACGCATTCCAAAACAGAGGCACACAAAAGAGCAGCAGAACTGCTAACTTAAGACAGCAGAACATGTCCTCTTTTGGTGTGAAAACCTATGCAGGATGAAATTCCTACTCCTGGGAAAGGAACAGCCAAGGCCTAAAAGATACATAAAGAAGTCCTTGGCAAAACTTTGTGATTTAGTAAAAGCCAGCTTACAGGGCTCTAGACAATGATGGAGTTGGCACCAGAGACCAATATTGGTGGTTTGCATGGTCATAAGAGGCTGACTCCTTTTAAAATTTAACAGTCTGGTTTATATGGTTACACTAACATTTGTGAAATTCGCAATGAAGCTGATTATAAGAGAAAAAAATTCTACTTACAAGGAGAATTAAATAGTCTAGCATTCCGACATTTGTAATAAAGGTATTGTGTGCATGATATACTCCTGTTGGTTAAAGCTTCAAGTTGAAGCATGTCGGCATCATATATGATATCTTGACTGAAGCTTCCAGGTGGTTGGAATCCATCAACAGGTGTATCCTCCTCATTTGAATGGTGCACTATTGTTATAATGCGACCGTCAGCTGAACAAAAGAGCAAATAAATGTAAATACAGACACATTATGGATAATAAATTTACTTACAATATTCACAGGAGACAGGGAAAGGTGCAAGTGGGCCGCTACCGTCAATGTCAATCTTAATACTAGCCTTTTCACCACTATCCTTGTACGAGCCACAGGAAAGAGGATTTAATGCTAAAACAGAAATAAAGTTTAATCATAATGTTAAAAATTAGTTATAACATTGAAATAATCATTAGCTCACAGGTGTGGCAGACTGCACCGGTATAACCGGTATCTTGACAGTTGCAAATAAATTCAAACGAGCTTTGAGTGCAGACAGCACCGTGCTCGCAAGGATTCGGATTGCACCTGTCTATCATCTGGCAGGAGTCAAAAACGATTTCACCCTTACAGCAATACTCCTGTTAAAGAACATTTGGATTTAATATAGGTCAAAATCAAAATAAATCTGTAATATTACATCTTCTTTCCAATTAGTTGGCAGCTGATAATTTCCGTCTACACTGATAAGACGCATGCATCCAATAAAACCAGGTTCCCCTTGAATTCCTCCTAAAAATGATAATTTATTATTAGAAAAAAGGCTTTGAGACTTCTTCTTGGGGTCTTCAGCATGATAATTTGTTCAGCTAAAGTGCATCTGATAAAGAGAAACAGCAAGGACAGTCCCAAGTGATCGGAAATGACCAAAGTAAAAAAAAAGTTTTTATTGATGAATGACTAATAAAATTACCTCCGATTAAGTAGTAAGAAGTAGTCTGAATTGATATCTCCTTTAAGGTTGGCATCGGTTTCTGATCCACAGTTAGCACTAAATTATCTTTACTGATGGTCAGCATGCAATGGTGCCAGCGTCCATCATCAAACCTTTCGTTGTAATTATCGAGGAATGTTGATTGGACAGTCGAATATGGTCCTCCCCCTCTTGCTGGCAGTTGAAGTTCCACCTTAATGTGGCCTTTTTGTAAGAAAACCTATTACAAAAATATTAAAAAGTTATGTATTAGGTTAAAAAACACTATGCTGCTACAATGTTAAACAAATAAGTAACAACAAACCTTGACAAATCCTTTAGGTAAAAATTTATGAAAGATGAGTAGACCGTTTTCTTCATATGTTCTAAAACCAACTGACACATTTAATCGATTGGAGCCTTCGTACCCTTTTAGTTTTGCATATGAACTTCGAGTTAAAAATGACACAGGTATAATGTGTGATTCCTAAAAGAAGAAAATAAATAAATTAAGAATAATTTAAAATTTTAAAATTACAAAATAGTCATTACTCAAAAATATCTTAAGGATCATGGCTAAATACAAATCAACTAATCATCAGGATTTTTCAACAGTCTACAATACATAAGAATTTGGACATCTACTATTTTAAACTTTCATTTACCAAAAACCTATGCAATACAGGCGACGGTTTGAGATTTTCACAGAATCCATATAATAACAGTGACAAAATATCTAATTCCATTTCTTTGAAACCCTTTGAAACGTAATTGAGTTTAAAATAAATAAAATTTAAGAAAATTCACAACTATGAGTGAAATGTAGGACCTACCAGGCAAGAGTAGAGCGTGTTGACTTTGGTATATTTGTGCATCAACTCCTCGTCGCCATTGTTATAGCCTTCTTTCACTTCGTAAATTACATTGGTCGAGTTGAGAAACAGATTTTCAATACAGCCCGAAAAATTCTGAGAAACTTTCAGGCCCTCTTGAAAATTTGGAACACCACCCACATACAGCTACAAAAACAAATAATCTTTAATAAAAAGAAAAAATGAATGAATTAGAAACTTTAGAAACCAAATAAAAATGTGTTACCTCACGATTAAGATTTAATCTTATATAATCCCCTTTAATCCTACCGTGTATCACCACCCTGTCCACGGAAAAAACAATATCTCGCCGATTTCTAGATATTATAACATCATGCCAGATATTGTCGTCTAGTAGACTTCCAACAGATAAGCTTGTTGTCAATCGAGAACCTGTGCAATTATTTTTGATAGTATTAATTGTTAATTTTATTTATAAATTTGTATTTACCAAGATCGATGTTAAACATCATCCTGTTCTGCCTTAATTGCAATGCGAAGAAATCTCCTTGAGTCCCTTTACTGTACATAAGAACTCCATCAGCCATGTTAGTTTTAAACCTAAAACGGATTGATTCTCTCGTAGAAGATATAGGTTCAGACTTGAAGTCGATCTTAAGCAATGAAGATCCATTGAAATACATATTCTCACCAACTGAAATAAATTTAATTTTAAATACAGTTAATAGGTTATGAGTTGTAAAAATGATTTTAACTCACCGTAATCACAGCCATAAAGTTCAAGTCTAAGTGAGATCCTGTCCCTCCATCTCGTCGGATTTATTCGAATCCACTGGCCAATAATAGGCACTTCAAACTTATTTCGCTTAATCCCTTCTCCATTGATGTTGCCTTTGAACATCTACAATCAATTTGACTTTTTAAACAGAAATAAAATTAATCTTAAAGTAAAACGTGTAAACAATACCAGCAAATCACAAAGCAAACGTTTAAAGCACACACAGGATTAACAGTAAGTTAGCTTTTATTAGAATGGATAACATTTTAAAGTAAAAACCTTCAATGGTGAAAAATAATGTTTTAAGCAAGACCAACACCTTCTCACACCAATGTGCCTCCTTGCCAACACCAAAGGTGCATTTCCCAATTACTACAAGCACTTTTCTAGGTAAGGTTTAATAACGATCAAACTCCCTTTATCTAGGATAAATTGTTTTTGTTAACCCAAAGTCTAATCAGTTTTAAAAACAAAACAGTTTAGTCAAATTTTCTATAACAATTTTAACCCTTAAAAGTACATACACTTTAAAGAAGTACTAGTTAAACGTATTAAATAAAAATAACCCACATTATTTTTTTAATCTATGAATACACAAAAGAAGAAGTTGGCATACACCCTTCTTGGTTTGTCCCCGAAAAAAAATTATACTAAGATTAACTAAATAAACATAACTTTCTTGAAATTTCCTTTTTAGAAACTTACCTGTAGAGAATGAAACAAAGAAGAAAATTTTATTTAAGAGAGATTGTACAGATAATTGTAGTACCTCATGGTCCCCAGAGGGGTCGGTAACAGCCGTCCACTGCTGTCCATCGTCCGAATACTGGACGATGTATTCTGTAACATACTCTAGCGTGCTTGCCCTGCCCTGTGTGGCAATCCAATTGACCCTTTTTCGAACGCCGAGGTCAATCGTCAGGCTCTGGTAGTAAGTGTTTTCCTGGGGGGTCCATGCCAAGTCACCTACACCACTAGTTAATAAAGCGAGTGCCACCAAAAAATTAAAATAACAAGAAAACACCTCAGAATATGATTTTTGAAAAAATAAATTTGACAAGCAATACATTTAAACTAACAATGTTGACAACAAATAAACTGAGGTATTTTTGTGTTATCAAGGGTAAAAGTGCAGTAATATGTTAGTAAAGCAATGTTATTTAAAAACTCGACTTACACACACTAAAAAATATTTAAATTTAAAAAGGTACAATTTTTTTTTTTTTACAAAAGAATCTTTTTGTAGATTAGTGACCATGCTAATTGGTGTCTGTTCTATTTTCACCATTGTAATTGTTAATGTTGTTTTTAGTGAGGGAAAATAGGTAAATGCGGTTGACTGTGATTTACAGTTTTTTGGTTTGTTTTTATCTGCACCTTTGCATTTCCACTAGGCTCTTTGTACACGGCATAGTCGAGGCCGTTGTAGCCGTAGCTGATACCATACTCCATAACGTATTCTGAGGTATGCGCCCTCCCTTGAGTCTCGATTCCAGTTACCTTCATCACTTGACCCAGATCGACAATTAACGCTTGTTCAAAATCCGAGTCCAATGCTGTCCATGATTTACCTTCTATAAAAAGAGAATCCGTTTCGTAAAATTTCACTTTTTCAATCATACCTTCACCAATTGTAAAATTTAACTTTGCATGTCTAAAGATATTAATATTTGCCTCCTTTATCGATTTGCACGTCAACTATTTTAATTGGGTCTTTCACCCCTTTCTTTTATCAGTCCAAATCAATAAATATACCATTCAGTAACTGTTACTGGGACCATTCCTACCAGGCAATAACATTGGATCTTTTGTAGTTAATATATCTCTGTCAGTTGACTCTACTGCTGACTGACATGCGATATTGCAATGAAACTAGCTAAAAATCGTTCAAGAAAACTGGGACTTTTTCACAGTTAAAAACACAATTATATGCAAATTTAAAAAAGAAATATATTTTTTCTACAATCTTAACCTATTACATTACACTACTACCTTAAAAATTAATTAACCAAAAACTAAATTCTTTTTTTAAGAAATTCTATACAGTATTTCTCATCTGGATGAGTAATATTTTCAACAGAATTAATTATATCATCAATTTTAATTTCAGAGAATTTTTGATCTTTATATAACATTTTTTTAGCACTAGGAGATAAAGCAACACATGCACAATAATTTCCAGGCAGAAGTATTTCTTGAAAAGTCCAATTGTCTTGTTTTTTCCCGTTTACAGAGACCTCTGTGTCTTCGTTGAAAGACTCATGAGAAATTAATTTTGTGTTCAATTTGAAATTTATTTTTCCTAGATCGACAGTGATCCCTGTTCCAGTCGCTTTAACAAAACTCTCTTTAAGACACCAGTGCCTGAAGAACATTGCGATCTGACTCTTTTCGTCATAAGGCTCTGTTATAACCATCCATTCCTCGTTGGTGAAATGCTTAGCCATGAGTCTGAAAAACTCCGAGATGTCTTTTCCACCTGTATATTTCATTTCCATGACATCAGTACCTATTTTAACGTCTCCGATTTCTCCGGCGAGTATTGTATATCTGCCCTGGTGCGACACATTGAAATTTACCCCAGGTACGTCCCAATAAGGCTTGCCATTTTCATCCCGCAGGAGTTTTATTTCCCCCCAGGCCGTACCTATAGTCTCGGACACGAATTTTCTCATCAAAAGCCTTCCGATGAGTGAACTCTTGGCATCCTTCTGAAAGACAAATTTTCCAATCCGTTCTTTTTCCTCTTGCTGAATACCCGACACAGCCACAATGAGTTCAGAAAGGTTCGGCTTCCAGGCCTGGCAGTCAAAAGCCCATCGAGCTGACAATAGTCTCTCGCCCATTCCGAATAATTTTCTACACAAAAACAGCTTGCAGGTTTGTTTTCTTTTATTTTTTAGCTGACTAACACAAAAACCTCCAGCCCAGATTATGTGGAACCTGAAGCAAGAAGAAAAAGTGAAAGTCAACAAATGTCAGAAAACAAATGCAGCTTTATTTTTAATATTGATGAGATGTTTCACTCAAAATGGAAGTTTTAACATTTATTTTACCACCTGCTACATTTTCAAGCAAAAAATCTATTTACAAAAAAATTTAATGATATTTTTTATTTATTTCAGCCCCACATCAAGTTCAAGATGTGCATTAATATATTTTGCAAAAAAAGTACATTAAATTTCATTCAAAGCAGTAGTCTCAAAAACTTATAATTTTGGTCTTAAATTTTAAGTTAAAAAATTCTTTGGTGAGTAATAAATTAGAAAAACTGTATTGACAATTACTCTCAACAAGCGTAAAAACAAACATAATTAACGGACACACTAAACCTAAAACATCAACATATTCTAAATTTTATTTTATATTTGTATATGATTTATATTATTTTATATATGTAAATAAGAAAATACATTTACTTAAGAATGTAAAGTTTTCAGCACGTTCTGCTTACAGACTTATGTGAATAATAATTTAATATATAATTTCATTTCTTCTTCTTTTACATATATGCTCGAACAATCTAAATCATGCACAGACTAGTTTATATTACTACTAAACTATATTAAATTTTTTTTTTTTTAATTGAATTCTTTGTTTTATTTTGATAGATGGATTTTTTTCCCCAATGCTATTGAGAAAATAATATGCAATTTTTTTCATAGAATTTATAGAAACTAACTTTCAATATTTAACAACGAATCAACATTTGTACCATTCAAAAACGTATAATATCAATAAGAGCATTTTCGAAGATTCTAGTTAGAAAATTGTGATCCTTAACACAAAAAGTACAGTGGATGATTCAATATTGACTAGGTCTGATAGAAGGCTAATAACCAATCCGTGCTTCAATATGTAAATCAATAAACAGGGAAGTAAAGTAGAAAATAATAACCCAATTTATTAGTTTACGCATAATCATATCTGGAAGTTGGAATGGGAATTTAAACAGCCAGAGTCAAACCTTTTACTTAAAACTCATGAAGACTTTCAAGACAAAGAATAAACCTTTGTTGCAACAGAATCACAAAACAAAAATCTGCATTTATGTGAATATAAAAACAATATGGTACTGCTGAGAAATCAATTAAGTTAAGAATTTGTAAAAGCACATTTGTTTTATTTTCTTCAATTAATCATTTCTTTGTTACTAATCCTGTAAAAATTGGTTTAATTTGTGATATTTCCGATTTGTTACAAGCTTTCAAACGTTATGTATACAAATGACTCATGTCGGTATAATCAAGAATTTAAAACTATTTATAGTGCTGGTACACCACCATAGAATAATATTTTTATTATATATAAATAAAATGTATGAGTATGCTGATTGTTTTTTTATCTTTCTCCCCAAGAATTTTGCTTTTTACATTTATGTAATCATTATTAATCAAACTGATGAAATGTTCAAAAACTTGTAATGAGGTAACAATGAGCTAATATATTGGTAAATAATAGTTTTTGGCAAGAATGTTTTCCGAATCTAGCATACTTTCTGTTCGATCTTTGATTTTCTTATATTCTCTACATGCAGATTACTGAAAAAATAGATTATCAACACAATCAAGTAATTAAGATTAACCGAGAAATTCAAAATTTGGATTTATAATAGTCAGCTCATAATCTTTCTTGACATGCTAGAAAAACATGTTCATAAAGTAATAAAATAGTAAATAATCTTAATTGGCTAGTGTATAGTTAAATTATAATTTTATCTGATATTTTATTTTTTCAAAATAAAATCTAGAAACTTTTAATATAGCATTTTTTCCAATTTATTTTATAGTACTAATCATAACATTCTTCACAATATCAATTTATATAAGGTGTTCGATTTTAACTATTGTCTCCATAGCTAACTGTATTGTCTGTATACTACAAAAGCATGTATGTAATACAATAAAATAGTAAATAATCTTTATAGGCTCACACATTGTTAAATTATAGTTTTAGCTTTTTTTATAAAGAAAATGTAGTATCCTAACTATATAACCTAGCAGTTTTTCAAATTTATTTTGTAGTTATACCCTTAAGATTCCTCAGGTAAATTAACTAGAAATTATTACTACAAAAAAAAAAAAAAAAAAAACAAGTGGGTAAGTATGAAAGACCAAACAGAACTGAAATATTTTCCCTTGGCCATGAAATCTACATTTCAATTACTTATAATATGACAATAATGTTTTTTATCAGCTAGATAGCCAATTTATATGTTACATTTTTCATCATATCACGAAGCTACAAGGAGTTTACGTGTTTTTAGTTTAAATATAAACAATGAGTTACAAAACAAATCTAATTGCATAAGATTTGCAAGCATTTATGATTATGTGTATTCCTCTCGTAGATTAACTAAAAATTATATCTAAAAAAACAAGCAAGTGGTTAAGTCTGATAGTCTAAAACTACGCTGAAATAGCTTCCCTTGGCTAAGAATTCTACATTTCTTACATTTCAATTATTTATCCACATTAACAAGGTTAAGTAGATAGTCAAGAGCAAGAAAGACAAATTTTTTATAGTATTATATGTTGAAATATTCAAAATATGGTGTCAAATTTCAAATAATAAGTCACAGCAGCATATAAAGTTGGCATGCTAAAAAACGTGTAAGGTAATAAAATAAATATTCTTTTATGCTCTAACATATTGTTCAATTATAGTTTGAGAAAGATAGCTTTTAAACAAAATCTTACTTATATTATTGCAGTTGATTCCACGTCTATAGATTTTTACACGAAAAAAACGCAATGAGATGGTAGGCGAAAGTGTTAGGTAATTAATATTGATGTTTTTAACCATAAAATAAAAAATAAAAATGTAAATTATATTAATTCGTAATAAGGTACATTAACTTACTGCACTTCTTGTTAGGGTTTCCTGATAATGGGCAGAAAAAGAAAAAATAGCCCAAAATGTGAAATTAACCTTTAATCTTGGACCACCTAATTACTTTAACTCTTTTTGGGAAGGGAAAAAAATACAAAATCTTACTAAAAAACAAGCAAGTGCTTAAGTATCGCAGATCAAAACTATGCTGAAATAGGACAAGCAGATGGTTGAGAACAAGAAATTTAAAATTTTTTGTAGCATTATAAGCTGAAATAATTTCCCTTGGCTAAGAATTCTATGTTCCCTCATTTCAATTACCTATCCACATTGATGAGGTCAAGCAGATGGTCAAGAGCAAGAAATACAAACTTTGTGGTAGTATTATATATATCAAAAATTTTAATTGATTTTTGTAGCTTTATACACTAAAATATTCAAAATACGGTGTCGAATGCAAGGTAATAAAATAAAAAATATTCTTTAGACTCTAACATATTGTTCAATTATAGTTTGGGGTAAGATTTTCTTTTTAAAAAGAAAATCTTACTAAAAAAAAAAAGTACTTAATGATCGCAGAACAAAGCTATGCTGAAAATGTTTCCTTTGATTAAGAATTGTAAGTTCCCACATTTTAATGACTTAATCCACATTGGTGAGGACAAGCAGATGGTCGAGAACACGAAATTTAAAAATTTTTGTAGCATTATAAGCTGAAATATTGAAAATATGGTGTCGAATTTCAAATATTAGTCACACCAGCCAATAATCAGTCAGCATGATAAAAAAAACGTCCAAGGTAATAAAATAAAAAATATCCTTTAGACATATTGTTCAATATAGTTTGGGGTAAGATTTTTTTTAAAGAAAATTTCACTAAAAAAACAAGCAAGTGCTTAGGTATTGCAGATCAAAACTATGCTATAATAGTTTTACCTTGGCTAAGAATTAAGTTTTCCACATTTTAATGACTTATCCACATTGGTGATGACAAACAGATGGTCGAGAACAAGAAATTTAAAGATTTTTGTAGCATTATAAGCTGAAATATTGAAAATATGGTGTCGAATTTCAAATATTAGTCACACCAGCCAATAATCAGTCAGCATGATAAAAAAAACGTCCAAGGTAATAAAATAAAAAATATCCTTTAGACATATTGTTCAATATAGTTTGGGGTAAGATTTTTTTAAAAGAAAATTTCACTAAAAAAAAAAGCAAGTGCTTAACTATCGCAGATCAAAACTATGCTATAATAGTTTTCCCTTGGCTAAGAATTCTAAGTTTTCCACATTTTAATGACTTGTCCACATTGATGAGGACAAGCAATGGTCAAGAACAAGAAATTCAACAATTCTTAATGTTTTATACATTGAAATATACAAAATATGGTGTCGAATTTCAAATATTAGTCATAGCCGCCAATAATCAGTCAGCTACAAAACATCCCCAAAGTAATAAAATAAAAATATTTTGTAGATTCTAACATATTGTTCAATTATAGTTTGGGGTAAGATTTTTTTAAAGAAAATCTTACTAAAAAAAAGTGCTTAAGTATCATACATTAAAACTACTGAAATAGTTTCCCTTGTCTAAGAATTTAAGTTTTCTGTTGTATAATGATTTGTCAACATTGGTGAGGACAAACAGATGGTCGAGAAAAAGAAATTTAATGATTTTTAAGGCATTATAAGCTGAAATATTCAAAATATGATTTAGAATTGCCTACGATAGTCACAGCAGGCGATAAAGTCGACATGGTAAAAAATATAAGTAATATGTATAAATATTCTTTATGGTCTAACATATTATTCATTTATAGTTTGAGGTAAGATTTTTTTAAAAACAAAATCTAGTATGCTCACCATTCAATCTTGCATTCTCCGGACCCCTGTCGACCAGGGAAGAAGTGGCACTTAGCACAGCCCTGTCTAAAAGGGGTTCATTGCAATCGTAGTAATCTGTAAAACCATGGAAAAAAACAATATTTGGTTAGACTTAAATTTTAAAACGTCGGCTCTGTTTACACATAACTCCCGCTGAGTAATACGGCCAACCCAATTTATGACAGGGGAGTTAAATATAGAAAGTTCCAATTACAAAAAGGCCGGCCGAGGCAATGCGGAGGCGGAAGATGCACGTCTTCAACTCTGATTCACTCAACCGTCCATCAAATAAGATTCGACAACAAAACCGCGTTGATAAATGTTCAAAAGAACAAATTTATTTACCTGCAAAAGAGCCTGCCGAAAGAAGCGTGAGCAAAACACCGCATAACAAGCTTCGGTCGTACATCCTTCGGCTATTGCTTTTGAAGCATAATAAGCTTTTGACGTAGAACGGGCTCAAGAACACGCCCTAAACATACGCGACGACGGCCCGTTGTCTGGAAAGGGGAGGTGGCGTACGAAAGCTTCGTTTGACTCGTCGTCGTTATGTTACGGGACGAAAGTACGAAAATGACCTTTTGGTCAGGCTGGCCAACGCATCGCTCACGCTTTTACCTCTCCCCTCTTTCAGAGACCATTTGAACATTTTTAAATAACACACACCAACCCAGTTATAAAATTATTCTCTTCCCTTAATATATCAAAACGAACATTTTATAACGAATAAAACATTTAATTTCGAATGACAACTCATCTATTCAAAAGTAATACCACCCAAACAAGGAAAGATGGAATGACTCAGTTTTTAATTAGCATATTGCGACATTTTTAAACCATTCACACGCCCTTAAATCCCGTTAATAATTTATTACAACAAATATAAACAATAAAAATAAAACATAAATTCATCAACTGTTCGTTATGGTGACAAACCTAGAATACAATTTTTTTTATTTACTGTAATTCATGTACAGGGTACAATTTACAAGTCTTAAGGTGCATTTACTCGTGAGAGTAGAAGATATACTCTCAAGAGTGTAACGGGCAAGTGTAAAGGCCTCTGATAGTTTTTGCCAAAAGTAGAGGGAGAGCTCAAGAAAAGGTGCAAGTTGAATCTTCCTTGATAGTGTAAACGTTTTCCCAACGCTCTCAGAGAGTACTCTCAATTATTTCAAAAAATTTTAATTTGCTGAGAGTAAATCGCTAAATAAAAAATGGACCATAAGCATACAAAGCCTTTTGGGACATCCAAAACCCAGATTTTAAAAATAGAGTTTAAAAAAAACCTTGTGATGGAGAAATTAACAACAAACTTAAATTGTCCAGCCCCTGAAATTAATCATAAAGTAACTATAAGACACCTATAAACAGAATTACTTCTCTCATTGCAGTGTCTTTTTTAAAAAATTATGGGCCCTACTAATTCAATCCTGGGACGTCAGACGTCAGACTCTCAGCTAGTAGATCCTGCGATCATGGGTTCAATCCCCCCCGTCACCTATGGACTTTTTCTGATGCTTAAGGGGACTAGTGGCCGCAATTGAAAGAAATTGACATCGCACTCATCCATGAAAGGGACGGGATCTCAGCGACCCTGAATTTGGTCCCAACCCCCTTCAAAAATGAGTTTGTTCGATGGAAGAACACTGGCACTAAAAAAAAAAGACATTTAAATATTTAATATAAACTTACAAACTATTATACATTCAATACAAGAGTGCTATTAAATGTTGCTAGTTCAGAGCCCCGAGTGGATCTGAAATGCAATTTCTCAAGCAGTGTGGGGAAAGCGAGCTGGAAAGGGTTTCTAGTTGTACAAACATTCCTAGAAATTTAATAATAATAAGTTTATCTGTATACTAATAAGTTTATTAGTAAATGCCTTAAGCAGACGTAACTTATATACATAGGTAAATACAAAAATAAATTATAAATAAATATGGAATAAGTAAATATGTTGAGGAAAGTAACAATAAATAAGTAGATAAATATATTAATAAATAAATAAATTTGTCTATGAAGAAATAAATATGTTTGTTAATAAATAAATATTATGGATATACAAATTATTTATCACAGAATCGCTTTGAACCATTTATGCTTCCATTGAATTGGGGTGTCGAACTTCATAAGATATCTTTCCTGTTCTTATTACATGTATTTTTTTTTTTTTTTTTTTTATTAAATTCATTTAATTTCTCGCACGTTTATTTATAATTTTGTAGAAATGTATTGCGATCATTTAATAATTTATTCACATGAGTACATTTCTTTTTTCAAATAATTTTATAATAGTTGCAGTTATATATAAACAAAAACACTCAATTTTAAACAGTAATATTATTTATTATACTGAATTATATATATTATCTTTACCTCAACTAAAATCCTCTATTTAACAAAAATTAACAAACAGTATATTTTTGTGGATTAGGCTCAGGCACTTTCATAAGGCAATCACCCAAGTATATCGGCCTCAAGATGAGAATCTTCTTAGAGTCAAGAATTGCCTTCTTCACAGGTAGCTTGACGTGTTTATCCCAAAATACATGCGTAGCACTTAGAATATCACTAAGGGAAAAATTTTAAATATATTTTATACATATATTTATTTATTTGGAAAAGGGGAAAAAATTAAACAGTTCAATATACCATTCATTTAAAATTGTGCCACCACCGGCCTCCAAGAGGCGCTTGTATTGGCCTGTCTTGGACTGCGATGTGCAAAAAACCGCTTTGAACTTCCTAAAAGCACTCGGCATTGACAGGTGTGTTTTCATAATTCGCCACCTGTAAGCTGCCATTGCAAGCTTGTTCTCAATCGAGCCAGGGTCCAAATGGGGCAGCTTATTCTTTGATATTTCATTGCCCAATTCAAACTCCTCTTCCTTGATAAAAAATTTTAAATATTATATTTATTATATTATTATTATTATATTATATTATTATATAAAAAAAACTTTAAAAAAACAATTACTTACAGGTAAAAACATTCTGGATTGATAACACTGCATCAAATATGACATGTGCAATACCCATTTTCCACTGGCGATTGCACACAGGAGTTTTTCACTCCTCACTGGTTTGTCGACAATAATATGAGTGGATGCAGGGTCGAAGAATTTCTTCTTGCTTATCTCACCACCAAGGTTTTCTATTATATTGACCAACTTCTTATGAGTGTCAAGCTTTAAAAATAAATACATTGGAATTGAATAGAACTTAAAATAGTGTTCAGTTCAACTTACTGGAATATTTGAAATGACAAAGACACGGTCTGTTTTTGTCGTTGCATTTTCCATATTTTGTTCTTCCTGAACAACGATGTCTTCTTGTTTCTGCTCAACTTGGTCTGCTTTACGCTTTTTTTTATGAGGCACTGAACCATTATTCGAAGTAAGCTAAATAGAAAATATGTAAATCAAAGTAAATCAGTGGGAAAAAAATGTTCTTCATCATAAAATAAAATTTAGAATTATCTTTATTTAGCATTTAGAGCCAATACACTTTTTTCAACCCTGTTTATACATGTATAACTGATGTTTTTTCATTCAGGATTTTTAATTATAAAACGTATTTGTCAATGCCTAATTTTACTGTTCAATTTTAAGAAATAGAAAATTGCTAGTGTGGAAATATACTATACATACGCAAATATATGCAAAATATGTGATTAAGATTTTTTTTATTGCCTCTATTGTTGTAGAAATCAATTTTCTGCTAAAAGGATTAAAAAAAAAGGCCTATTTTCTTACACACTGTCAATTAAAAATTATTAAAACAACCATCTTTTGAGGCATTTAACCAAGAAAACCAATGCAGGATTTTTCCCAATTAAAGGCATAAAAGCTTTTGAGAGTATGGCATAAAGAAATTATTATTCAAATAAAATTGTCAAAAATGTATCAGAAATATTTCAAGTGTTAAAAATAATTTAGCAGGTTTGCGAAAAATATTGAAAATCACTTTCTGATTAACGTATGTAATGACTAAGAAGATTTTAAATGATTCATAAATGTTTTTCAATGCAAATTTGCTCATAGATTAGCATATTTATGTAGTAGTCTTTACATAGGAAATGTAAAATTTAACAAACCGAATGTGATTTGGGCTTTCCAAAATCCCAAGCAGGTCCATCATCAGATTCACAGCTAACCCTTTTCACATAACGCCAACCTTCAAATTAGATCAATGAATAAAAAACAACAAAATAAAAACAAATTTTAAATAGACTAACTTGTGGTTATTGAACATTTTGGCACTTCCGTTTTTTCGTTAAAACTATACTCATCTTGGTCTGAAGTTGTTGATTTTTCTTGCACCTCGCTTGTAAAACTGCTAAAAAAATGTCTAAAGTCAAATTTAGCACTTATGAAAAAGATATTTTCAAAATTACAAACTTTTTATCATTCAACTTTTCAGTCGATACCTTACTCACATCCTCAAATGTCATCATATTGGTTAAACAGTTATCTTCGTAATTCTAAAAAAATTTATTAAAAGATAATAAAAAATAATAATAAATTAAGTAATCTGCCATTACTTGTGAAACTTGGCCTGTACTATCATTTTTACAAATCCATTGTTTGTAAGGACCCTAGAAAATTAAGCGGAAATTGAACACTTCATATTTATTTATAACATTTTTTACAACTTATTCTACATCTGGCAAAAGATCACCAGTTTCTGGATCAATCCCTTCGATAGTTGCACCGCCAAACTTCACCCAGAGCTGTTTCATAACAATATTCAACGGCTGGAAAAAAAAAGACATTAATAAAATTCTGCTTTTAAAATTATTCAGTGAAATTCTATTAAATTACTGTGCTTGAGCAGCTTTTACGAAACTGCTTCATCTCTGGTGAGTTGTGATAAAGATCGGGCAAGTCGTCGATCCATTTCATCCACCGTTTTCTTGTTGAAGGAGTGGGTGGCTGGCTTTCGTTCAGGAAAACCTGGCCATATGGTGTATCGGGTGTTGAAATGTGAAATGGTGACTTTCCAACCGATCCAAAAGACAGCTATAAAACCAAATAAATATAGACAAAATAATAATAATAATAACTAAAGCATAAACATAAATATTTACATTATCCACATTTTTCTGCTTGAAATATAAATCTTTCATAGATTCTCTAGAAACTTTTGAGTAGTTTTCATTTTCTTTCATAACCGGTGTTGTAGCATTTTCGATAATTTCATTTTCTTTATTATCAAAAAAACAACTTTCGAGTAATTTGAGTAGCCAATCCTTGCTAACAATCGGGATGCCCCATTTAACAGCAGCATTAAATTTACTGCCAGTTTCAGATTTGCACAACAAATGGGTTGATCTCAAAACTCCTTTCTCTAGATGATCTTTACATGAAAATGAGTCCTGTATTCTTAAAACAATTAGTTATTTAATAATTAAAATAATTACAATTTTAATATTTTACTTAAGCTTAAAGCTGTTTTTATATTATTTAATTAGGTTTTATTGTTATCCAATAATTAAAAATCGCACAAAACTCCTTTTTCCAAGTGTACAAAGTAGTATTTTGCAAAAATATTGCATCGTTCTTAAACTGAAAATGAATTTTCTAAATGTGACAAAATATAAAATATGATTGGTTGGCCTGTATATTGTCAGCCATGCACTTTTATAAGTTTGTAAAATACAAAAACAATGAAGCAGCAGTATCAAGTTATTACATTTACTTACTTTGCACCAAGGGCTTCAGCCAAATAACATAAGAAACTCCTCTCTTTCCCTAAGAACCCGGTTGTGCAAAAAACACAATCCTCCAGTGGTTTCATGTTGATTGTAACTGAAACAGGCCTGTGAAAATACTCTACTTGAACAACCGTCCCTTGCTCGTAACAATCTTCCTAAAATAAAATAAAAAATGAATGCAATAGACCAAGAGTAAAATTCACATAATATTTTTCATACCAGCCAGAGACTCGTGACGGTCTGTAATGAATCAGGATCACTAAAACTGATAAGTGGAACAACTGTGAAGTCCACTTTGCCTTGAAATTTATCTGAAAATACTTCACCGCTGAGATTTTCTATTGCTTTGATTATCTGTGATGGATTGTCAAATCCTATGACTTTAAAAGCAATTCCTGTGCAAATTTTATTTAAAATTTAAAATCATGATTTTTCTTATAAGTTTATATGGCTTAAAACCTTCAAAAATTGGCCCAACTTCAATAGACTCTATTGACAATGAAGTGTGTTCCACTGTTCCACTTTTGCACTCGATCTCAACCCCTGTTTGTTTTTTAAAATATTCTAATTCTTCTTGCGCTCTCATTTCCAATTTGTTACCTTGTTGACATGGTGTCTTTACTTGCAAGAGATAATATTTTAAATTGATATATAAAAATCAATTAAAAATTAAATTAAAATTACTAACTAAAGTCTGTAGTTTTATTAAGATTTCTTTTATTATGGCATGGAGTAGTGTCAAATTGCAAAATTTCTTTTCCCTGAAAACAAGTACACTTCATTTTATTTCTTATACATTCTAGCTATTTATTACATTTTTACCCTAGGACTACTCATTGGGGATGATTGTCTGTACTGTCTGAAAATAGCATAAGATTCAATTCTGCTTGGACAGCCTTCTTCGATCGATGCTACCAGCCATTTTAAACTGACCGTCTGCCCCATTAGTTTAAATTCTATCAGTGATTTTTTATCCAGCAGTTCAGCATTACCAACAATAACATGTGTTAGCCGCTCAGTTAACTGTGTAAAAAATGTGGCCCCTCCCAAGTTTATTATTCTTTTAAGTCTATCCATCTCTTCAGCTGTGAAGCCACTTAGAAAAATCTGCAAGATTGCTTACAAGAAAGCTTTTCAAAAATGTAAATTAGATGAAAGTAAGCTTACCTTGCAGCCATCAAGGAATAACCCAGCATTTGAAACAAGTGACAAGTCAATATTATTCAGCAATTTCTTGTAATCATCTGTAAACATTAAATTAATTTAATTTAAGACAATAAATTTGAATTGTTTCCCCTCTTACCTGTCTCAGTTTGTCTTTTTCCAGGTTTTCTAAGAGAACAAGTACTCGCAAAAGAAATATCTGTTTCGCTGATAAAATTACTTTCTTGTGTTTTATGGATTGTAGAAATGTCTACTGAATTCACAAAGTCTAAAATACAAATGCTCAAAATTTATATTTTACATGAACGAACTTGATTGATTAGAAACAGGAGTTGAACATTTCACTTGACTTTGGACAATATGGTCAATCATTTTGACAGCTGCGCCTTTTTCAACTGACTCGTGGATCCAAGAAGGTCTCAAGCAAGGTATGCCCCAGAGTTGTGCATGCTGAAACTTCCTGCCTTCCGGCTCACCGACAATCAATACGGATGTCTTTTTTTGTTCAAGAGTCGACATGTATGTTCCACCTTCCATGAAGTAGACGGAAAATTAAAATTATATTTTTTCGTTCGTTTAATTAACAACCTACCGTGTGATTCAATAATATTCTGAAGCCTTCTTTTTGTCAAGTGAGGTAAATTGCTAAAGCTTATGTAGAGTCCTTTAAAAGGTGAAAGGCGGAGATTTAAAAACCCAGGATCCAATGCTGATACTTTCATCACAAGCGATCTCTCCCAGACAGTCTTAACCCAAGAACTTGACATTACAGGGAGTCCGATGTTAATTGCATTCTGAACAAATGCAAAAACAAAACACTTTTTGTACAAATTAAAAAATAAAAAGATTAAAACAAACAACAACCTCATATTTTGGAGATTTTCCTCCATCTGTTATTAAATGGGTAATATCTGTCGTAAATCTATCAGTGTAAATTCCTCCCATATAGCCAATGAGTGAAGCCAGCTCTTCCTAAAAACGAATCGAATCAATAATTTTAACAATAAATCATTATTTGGTTTAAGATAAAAATAACCTTTTGTGTTCTACTGAGTTTAGATGCTGTTGCAACTACTCCAACCATGGCAAGATTAAAAACGGGTGAATCATTTTCAGGAATTGGAATTCCATTTTTTACACAGCTATACATACATCTTGGACCAACGATTCTGAAATTTCAGCATAAAAAATATGTTTCTAAAATGTATTTATTAATAGTTAATTCTTATTGTCAAATAGTATTGTCATTTGCCTACAATAATCTAAGGAAATTATAATCAATTATATCTGGCCCTGCAATGCTGTATAAATCAATTTTAAAAAATTAAAAAAATGTGCATCATGAAAAATAAAACAAATTTTTGGTAGTGTATTCTTGAAGTGTGTACTAATTTAGTAAAAATAAAACTGGATAAAATCACCACGTATGAGGCAAGCTAACAGATTAATAAATCTCTCAAAAAGGAAAGTGAAGGAATCTCTCCGGCATGATTTGGGAAATGAAAGGCGTCTATACCGGCCAACTGCTCTCTCCCATTAACCTACAATCTTAATCAGATGGACAGAAGACAAAAACATGCCAACCCTACCACAAGAAACCAGAAACATTGGCACGTATCCTTTGTGAATGTAAAGCACTAGTTTTTGTATATTACAGAGACTTCGGTAAGGCAATTCTTGCACCAAAAGAAGTGGCCGAAGAGGCACCGAGGAAAGCGATCAGTATTGTGGGAAAAAGCACACATTTGATAGTACGATCATAAAAATTAGGGTTCTACAATATACCTATACAAATCACAGTGAAAAAAAAAGTCGCTCCACAATTTCTATAATCAGATTATTTAATTAAATGTTAATATGGTTTAGTTGCTGGTATTAAAATTTCAATCATTCCAGGTTTCACTAATTTCTGGCGTTTTTCCAGTTAAAAATCTAACAAGAATAATGAGGTAACTTACGTTTGTTACAGCATGTAGTTAAATAAAATTTCAAATTTAAATAAATACATGTAATTAGCTCATTATTAGATTTACACCTTTTACACCTAAAATAGTGAAACCTGAGGTAATTAGATTATTTATTTAATAATTAGTTACAATTAAATTAAAGTAATCAATTATAATCAGTATATAATGGAGGAAAATTGAGAACATTTTCAAAGGATGTTTAAACTTGAAGAATGGCAAATTAAATTTGTTCTTCTAATTTAACATTTATTTATTTATTTTTTTTTTTTTAAAGGTGTTTTGAAAAAATGTTCAAATGTATGATGTTTAGTATATACATTGTTTATAGAAATTATAAAGGTGGGGTGAGTTTCATGTAGTATTTATTTCTTAAGAAAAAAAATGGATATTCTTTTCATTGCTGTTAAATTTAATAAACTTAAACTCTTTCTTTAAACTTTTAAATTTGTATATTATCATGAAATGAACCGTTTGCATATAAATATAAAAATGGCGTAGGATGCCGAAACATCGTACATTTGAGCATTTTTTCAAAACACCTTAAAAAATGCCTAGATAACAAAAATCCATAAAATTTAAAAAAAAGAACAACAAAAACGATGAAAATTTAATGATTTTTTAAATTAACTTTTATAAGATTAGTTATACTTTAATTAATTATAATTGAATCTTTCATATCAATTTAGAAAATTTCTGAATAAATTGTTAATACTTTATCTGCGTAGAAATCATTGAAAATATCTTTAACTCACAAGCAGTCTTTCAATTTAAGATACTGAAACGTCTCTCCTTTGAAATCGTCAATGACAAAAATTGAATTCTTGTCGTGCGTAAGTTCAACCAGATCCTCTTTGAAGATCATCTTCGGCTTCAGTTTCTTATCTTTGCAGGCCTATTTCAACAAGACAAAAAAATTATTCAATTTTGTGAATTTTTTTTCTGGTTCAACTTACCGCGAAAGCTTTTCCCATCTCCCTTTCGCCTGAATGGCTCCCTTGTACAAAATAAATCACCCGGCCTGAGAGAATTGACATTATTTTTATCTGTGTGTTTGTTTTTTTAAATTTATTTATTTAAAAACAATTCTTGTCTTTGAACAAAAGGCTTAATTCTTTTGATAAAAACTGGCTTTCAGTGACCAACTGACAAGTGACAACTGTCAAAATGTAACCTTTTCCCGCTTGTATGAAAAGTTGAAAGTTAAAATAAAAATAAAAAGAGGCAAAATAAAAGATAAATGGATATGGTAAATGTATAATTAATGTCGGTGTATATATAGTTTATTTTAAAATGTATAATTTATGGATTTTAGATTTTTCTTAAAAATATTTGTATTAGAAATTTAATCGATTTTATTTTATCTCGTTTAATTAAAATCTAGATCTACTTATTGTTTTTTTTTAAAGACCAATTTTTTTCGTATTAAAAACCGATTTAATTTTTTTTATCTTGCGTATAAGATAAAAAGTGACCCAGGGTTAAAGATTAATTATTTATTTATTTTTTTCGAACGTGGTTCAATAGAAATCGAACTTGGCAACCTCCCGGGCAGACCGGCGCAGGCAGCACGTGGTTCCCGGCTTTCAAAGGCTGTCTCTATAACCTTTCGACGGTGCCGTTGTTCCTCTTCCCTCTGGTTCGCTCATCTTCTCTGTTGTCATCTTGTTCATCGCATCCAGATGATGAAATACATCCTCGTGACAGGCGGTGTGATCAGCGGTGTTGGAAAAGGAGTGATCGCAAGCTCGTTCGGCACTATTTTAAAGTCTTGCGGAATTCATGTCACCTCAATTAAAATAGATCCGTACATCAACATAGATGCTGGGACATTCTCACCATACGAGCACGGTGCGTAACAGACAATCTTGATCAATTAAATATATAGGTGGAAAAAGCTAAATTATGCTGTAAAAAGTGACTTGTCATGATTTATTCCAATACTTGAATAGACCAAGGATCACGTTTGGTTGTATATTTTGCGCACTTAAGGCTGTCACTTTTCCAACTGTTCAATACAGTCATTAGATCTTACGTTCATGACATATCTAATAAGGTTTAACTGAATCCAGATTGGGAAGAATTAACTAAATTATTCTTCAGGTTTTCCTTTAGTAGTGCCTTGTTCCATCGGTTCTACTTAGCACAAATACAAAACAAAATTAGTGTTTTTTTCTTCATATGGTAGCTGCTAAGAGAAAACAGAAAAACATCGAGAGAGAAAAAGTATGGACCTATAGGATATCTGGCAATAGAATTGGTGAAGGTGGGTATGTAGATTCACTTTTTATAAATGATCTTTTACAAAAAGTGATATCTGGTGAGGTACTTGCTTGTGGATTAGCTCAACAGAAAAATATTGTGCTTCAATACATTGATGTTTGATGATGCAAGATGAAATGACACATGGAAAACTAAAAATTTGGAGTCCTTTACAATCATCATCCGATTGTGTCTCTTGAAGGTCAATCATTTCAGACCAGATGGTAGAAAACATGCAGCCATCTTCTTTTTTGACGGTCTGAACTTAAAAATACTGCGATATATTGTACACATGGATTGAACAAAATTCCAAATCAACCACCCAAGTCTAAAATTATTTTAGACAATTGGACCCGATAGAAAGAAGTGTGTTGTCTGCCATTGGACTGTCATGTATGAAAACCATTTGAACAATTAGATCCACAGTAATTAATTGTGTATAGCCTTTAATCCAGTTTTTCAGTATTCTTGCAGTTGTGCCAGTCTCCTTGCTGATATTAGTTTGTCGGTGTCAAATAAAATTTGGGATTTTTCATTTGGTAATTGCTTCGGCACTTAAGGTTGAACGAAAATAAAATTTCTGTGAGCGCGCGCGCGTGTGTGAGAGAGAGAGAGAGTATGGTTCTTGGAATGCTTGGGTAGGAGCAAATCTGATAATGTAAAATTGCTTGAAGATTTGCTCGTGACATAAATAAATAAATTTTTAATGATGAATTGACAGAACTGAACCTAAACGAACTATCAATTGACCAATGGAAACCGAGACCACAAAGTTCAGGAAAAATACCCGATGTTTTGTTCGGTAGGACATATGAAGCGCTTCTTTACAAGCAACTTCATCAGACTAGACGGTAGAAACTGGCAGCCAACTTCTTTCACTTCTGATGGTTTGAAGTTAAAAATTGTACGAACGTACTGCGTACATAGATTGAACATCAAGTCCAGACAAATGTCAAGAAGGAAGATTATTTAGAGATAGTGTGGTGCAGTCTGATGTGATGTAGATATAGAAAAACATTTTCTTCATCGTGTCAATCTTTCAATCTTTATCGAGATCATCTTCAGGGCCTGGGATTTATGAACATTGTTTAAATTATAGATATTTTAGGTTTAATCAAAGTATTTGTACTCACTCAAAGTGTGCATTTTCTGTGTAGATATGTCGTGTTGAAGGTGTTAGTGAGATATAAATGTTTTTTGTTTATATATGTTTGATTTTGAAGGAGTGGGGATTGAAATTCATTTTTCTATGACGAGTTTGCTTTTTTGAGTTGAAAGGGACCGACAGTGTAAAAAAAAGGGGTAATGGTTTGTCGTTCGGGCCTGGTTAGCCTTTCAGGATTATTATCGACAGGATCATTAGGGAAAGGAGAGATAAATTTCTGGAGATTTAGACTAAGCAGAATTGTTTGATGTGTGGAGGGTAATAATTGTTTTATATGTTTTGTGTGTTATATGTGTGTTATTGATATTGAATTGATTTATGATATTAGCATAGCTACTACTGAGTTTACATGTCTCAGTTCTGTAAATGATGCTGTGTTTTTCTCTGTTGATGTAAACCATTTCTAAAAAGTTACGTTTATGTTTGTTTTGATGATCTGAAGATGATCTCAAAAAAGAAGGAAACATTGGCACAATAAAGGAAATGTTTTTATCACACTATCTCTAAATTATCACTACATTACGGTCACTAAATATTACACAGAAGGAAGCACATTATCCGCCATCTGACTACTGTATCTGAAAATCATTTCAACAATTAGATCCAGCAGTGGGGCCCGTTTAATTAGCTGTTCAACGACTGTTTGAGCCAAATAAGTGCAATACTAGGCAATGTTTGGCCATTCGACTTACAGGTCCAAAAGCAGGAAATTTACCATTCCACTGTCATACTGGACATCCGATTTTGTGTCTAAGTTCGGTCCCTAACCAACCTATAGTATACATTGTTTTGTGGTTTCAGTGTTTTTCCTTTTTTTTCCCAGAGTGTTTGGTGCGACATACAGATAAAATAATGATAAGCTTCCATGATTTGCAGGTGAAACGTACGTTCTTGATGATGGAGGGGAAGTAGACTTGGATTTGGGCAATTATGAAAGATTTTTGGATGTGACTTTACACAGCGATAACAATATAACAACAGGGAAGATATATCAACATGTGATATCTAAGGAGCGAAGAGGCGACTACCTAGGGAAAACTGTACAAGGTGAGATTTGTTGGACTGTCATAGTATTTCAGGTTAATTAATTTTTTTCCAGTTGTTCCTCATGTGACCGATATGATCCAAGAATGGGTTGAAAAAGTGGCAAACTGTTCGGTGAGCGAAGACAACAAAAAACCTGATGTTTGCATCGTTGAACTGGGTGGAACAATCGGAGACATCGAAGGAATGCCATTTGTTGAGGCTTTTAGGCAATTTCAATTCAGAGTGAAGCGGGAAAATTTCTGCTGTGCACATGTTTCACTTGTGCCTCAGGTTTGTTTTCTGGATTATTAATTTATTTAATTATAGTTTTGTTATAATAATTATAATAATATTTAGCCAAAATCTGCTGGAGAATCAAAAACAAAACCAACCCAGGCTAGTGTGAGGGAACTGAGAGGACTTGGTCTTTCACCAGACCTCATTGTTTGCCGTAGCGAATTTCCTATTACAGAAAATGTCAAATCTAAAATATCCATGTTCTGCCATGTTCCACCAGAGCAAGTAAGTTTAATATTATAAAAAGTGAGGTTTAAAAAAGCAATTGAGTGTTGAACATAAACAAGATATTACACAAAACAAATTGATATAAACATTTTACTGCTGGGTACAAGCATATTTTAAAAATAGTGATTAATTATTTTAATTTTAGCAGACTGCAATAGCCCAGTGGTCAGCTCGTCAGATTCGTGACCCCCCCATAGTCATGGGTTTGATTCTTACCATCGTCCCTGGAATTTTTGAACTTTTTCCCTTTCCCCAAAAAATATACAGCATACAAGTACTCTGGCTAATGAAAAGCATAAATCCATTTAAATAAAAATGTTGATGGCCAAAAAATTGTTGGGATAGACTTTGGCATCTAATTCCATTGCCTTTGTCGATGCTATAAATAGCTTGATCAGTTTTGCCCCTAAAGGATGAATGGTGTAATCTCAAAATATAACTAAATCTGTACACAAGGTAACATTAATTAAGGCCAACTACACTACCAAAAAAATCTGAAGTTCAAAATCCTTTACATAAATTTTTGCGACTTTATATTAGAATTAAAAGATGCAGGTCATATCGGGCAGTTAATTAACTTAATATTCTGCAATTATTGACTCTTTTACACAATCATTCTTATAAATACATTCACTCCCTCAACATACTGTAATACAATGACTAAGAATTGTAGACAGATGAAGAATAACATTGCTTGTGAAAAAATGGAAAGCAATAATTTTTAATATTTGTATATAAGAAATGATAATAATAATGGCTTTATTTATTTGTTATGAATATATTAAACAAACGAGCAAATATTGTAAATGTTAATTTTTCTCCAGGTACTATGTATCCATGATGTTTCTTCTATATACCGAGTGCCTCTGTTGATGGATAAACAAGGAATCGTTGAATTTTTCAACACTAGATTAAAACTGAACATTCCTTTGCCAAAGCCGAGAAAATTCATGAGCAAGTGGAAGACAATTGCAGACAGGTAATTTTTATGACAAGTTTACAACTCAATTTCTGTTTGTATATTATATTTATCATTATGTAATGGTTTACAAACAGGTTTGATACACTGAGAAAAGAATTGAATATTGCTCTAGTAGGAAAATATACAACATTGGAAGATGCTTATGCTTCAGTTTCTAAAGCGCTCCAGCATGCGGGTATCTTCATCGGTTATAAAGTTAACATCATGGTAAACCAAACTTTAGCGGAACTAATATTAAAACGTACAAGTTTATAACATTTAAATGTTTTGTTTTTTTAGTATATTGAGTCCGTAAATCTAGAAAAGAGCAATGAGTTGTCAAATCCAGTTTTGTATCATGAAGCTTGGAAGCAACTTTGTAAAAGCGAGTAAGTTAAGCAAAAAAACGTTATATTTGTTAAACTGTCTTACAATTGTTTAAATTGGTCATTTTCTTCACAGTGGAGTTATCGTCCCTGGCGGTTTTGGCACACGAGGAGTCGAAGGGAAAATTGAAGCGTGCCGTTGGTGCCGGGAAACAAAAAAACCCTTTTTGGGAATCTGCCTTGGACTACAAACTGCTGTGATTGAATTTGCGAGGTAGGTGTGTTCATTGCAATATTTGTTTCAATTTTGATCGATTTAAATCTATCATGTGACAGGAATGTTCTCAAACTTCATGATGCGAATACAACTGAAATCGATGAAAAAACTTCTTCCCCTGTTGTGATTGAGATGCCTGAACATAACCCGGGAAAACTTGGAGGGACCATGAGATTAGGCAGAAGAACAACAGTCTTTAAAAACAATACTTCCTCAGTTTTAAGTAAGTATTCACAAGGTTGGTTAGTTTGAAAATGAAATTCTTAAAAAATATATTGGGTTGTCCGGAAAATAATGCAGGATTTTGGTATTAAACAAAAAAAAAGAAACTAGTTACTTTAAAGCAATGTTCTTTAATCAAAATAATNACAAATGAGTAATCCTGTAAACGTAAACAGAATATTTTATATAGATTTTTTTTAATGAAAACTTAAAATCCTGCATTATTTTCCGGACAACCCAATATATATTGAGGGTGTAAAACGATAAACAAATTATGTTATTATTAAAACATATTTTGCCCTATCTAGGACAGCTTTATGAAAATAAAGAAAAGATAGAGGAAAGGCATAGGCACAGGTACGAGGTGAACCTAGACTATGTTGAACAGTTTGAAAAATCAGGGTTCAAATTTGTTGGTAAGCTTATTATTTAACAATTATAATAGCCAGCGAGACATAACACTCCCCCCCCCCATAGGTACATGTGTAGAAGGCAAACGTATGGAAATTGTTGAATTAGAAGACCACCCGTATTTCATTGCAACTCAGTTCCACCCTGAATATCTTTCAAGACCTTTGCATCCGTCACCGCCGTTCCTCGGACTCGTACTTGCAGCGACAGGTAAGCTTTCTAACTTTCTGTCGAAAGGCTGTCGACTTTCCCCGAGGGACATTTCCGAAAATGATTCATCCTCAGGTAGTCGTTTTTCTTTTTCATATTTCAATAAATTTATAAATTATTTATTTAAATGTTTGTATTCTTAGAAGACGAGATGAGCTTAAATGAGATTGTTACCAGTTCAAATCATCTATCAATTTGAGATTATTATCATCACCAAGATTGATCTCGTTGCTTTCGATTGTAAGTTTTTATATACGTATATTATTTTTATTCCATCGAATCGAATAATTAAATTTTTATTTTACAGTTACGAATAATAATAATTTTTTAATAAGTCAACAAAATTGTTTTTACCATTTACATAGCTTTCTCCAATTTTGTCTTAGTTTTTTAATTAGATCAAAGATAATTATAATCATTTATTTCACAAAATTAGTCACATTACACTTGTTTACTATCATTTGTCAAATGTTAATAATAAAATATTTCTTCCTGTTAAGCAATTTGAAAGGTTTTCTGTAAAGATTTGACTGTGAAACTTTTCTTACTAACTAGACTTTTATCCATAACTTAAAAATTTTATTGCATGGCTGTGTTACACTGGAATCCCTTCTTTATTTTATTAATGAACATATTTTTTGTGATGAATAAAATTATCTCAAACTGATTTTTTTTTACTCCCAAAATTCCGTTTATTTTATGGAAACCATTTTAACCCCAACTCACTTAATTTTCTTTCTCATAATAAAAAAAAGGTTTGACAGTGGTGCAAGATTTACTGTAATTATTGAATCAATGTTTCCATTGAATTGTTGATTTCTATACCTTCTCCTCTGATCATACTGGTTATTTTAATGAAATTAACACCAGTGGCCACCATGGCATACGAAGGTTCTTATCATCCTGAAAACTAGGCTCAGATCCATAGCCAATGATGGAAAATGTTCATTTAATTAAAGGAAAATATTTAAAAATGAGCATTATGCCTGCTTTTTGCCTTTTGGGCCCAATTTACATAAGTTCTACAGCAAAAAATCATTTACATTTTGAATGAATCTTACCCACATGAATTTGAAATGAAAAAACTTTGTAATTTAGGAAAAAGCCCAGACAAAGCAAGGCAATTCTAGTTTTGGTGATGGGTTTTGGCCTGAGAGTGTCGGCATTGCACCATTATCAGAGAAGAACTTATTATTAACATTACCAGAGTTTTAATAATATTGTCACAGTCATTTATTGCAAATTACTGGTGGACTGCAAAAATGATAGGATCAACTCTGCACATGTGCAGATTGATTTGAGCACCAAACTACCTGAAAAACCAGTCTTCTCATTTTCTGATTGTGAGTTTATTTATGTCTATGTAGTTTACCAGTTATAAAATTATCTTAGTTTTCCCACATCAACAACCTTTTCCGTTATGAAATTTTAAAGTATATAAATAAATTTTGTGAATGGTACAAGTCAATACATGGCTTTTTTTGGTACAATTTGAAACGTATAATTTCGTTAGCAGGTGCATGGTATTGTTGATGTCATTAGCGTGACACCTGCTGGAAAATTCAAGGAATCATTTTCTTTATTGTTTTACCCAAATATACTTATTGTATAGCACTATTTATAAAAATGTCTTAGTTTACTCACTTCAGAAACCTTTTCTTTTATGAAATGTTATAGTATATAAATAAATTTTATGTTACAAGGACAAAACTACTATTTTCTTGATGCAATTGTCTCCTCCTACCGTTTTCCTCGTGTAACTCCTAGTTTCCTTTCTCATCTTCACCTTCTTCGACTACAGCTGCATTGATTACAGTGGGCTTTCAGGGGAGCAAAATAAGCGCTAAAAAGATAAATGAATTGTGTGAAGTTTATATACGGCATCCCCCTGAGGGTCCAGGGTATTGGCTGTATTTGGACCTATCCTTCTTCCCAACGTCTATATTTCCTTGGTTCCTTCATTGACCAGGCATAATCACCCATCATCCTCATTACATTATCCAGTCCAACCGATACAAATCCTCTTTCCATTAATGCTCATCTTCCTATGACCTAATCCTTCTCCAGCATAAATCATGCACCTTTAAACAGTCTTTCCTTGTTTGAGTACCAAAATTTTGTAACTCTCTCCCTCTCTATCTGCAAAGCCGCTTCCCTGACCTCTTTATATATCTATACAAGCACCTCCTCTCCCTCCAATTTAAATTTATTCAGTAATTATTATTTTCTATGTTAATTTTAAGAATAGCTCATTTTAGTTTTAACCCCTTTGGGTTTGGTTTTTATAAGTCCATGTTATTAATTTTTAATTTAATCTCTGTATTATTCTAAGGGGGCACCCCTGCCCAAGAATAATTTTTTTCTTTTTCAATTTGAAATATGGTATAATTTTATTAGCAGGTGGTTAACATATTAATATGACACCTGCTGTAAAATTCAAGGCATCGTGTCCTTCATTGATGTACCGACATTTATGTTTGTTACATAATTTACAACTGAGAACAGTTACATTTTACATAAATTGCACCGTATTTGTTAAGTTTAAGATTTAAGTCATGGAGCAACGTGCGGCTTATTTCTTATCGATGCCACCTACATCGCTAGTTTTTAGTAATAATACATTACTATTTATAAATATTAATGAAGGAAAGATATTTAATTCTAGACGTTGGAGTGCGACTTTACGCGTCGATACTTCTCATTGTGGCAAGACGGTTATCAGTTGGACGTACTGGGCAACTGCCGGCGACGGTTTGAAAAATACGTTACTACGATACAACCCTCTGGGCTTACTACAGATGCCTATAGTATAACGCATACCAAAACAATTGCCAAAATTATGTTTCTCAGTTTTTTTCCTTGGTGATACACATTTTCAAAGGTGTTTTAACAATCCGGAAATGGAAGATTCTCTTAGCAAGGAGGTGAGTTGCTCCAACGTTTCAAAAATTGGTGATTTGTGCATGGTAGATGTCACCGACTTGTCTGGCTTAGAGGAATCGTACAAATGGGAAAATCGAGAAATCAGCCAGGGGCTCGATGTTGGACGTTTTGGTACAACTTTAACAGACATTTTGGACGATTTCAAACCCAAAAATTTATTTATCATGGAGGAAGGACAACGAATGATAGCTCATAGTTATCCAAAACAGGATGCAATATTTGAAGAAACCAAACACGAACAAAATTCTTATAATGAATTAGGAAAAGTACAGAAAAGTCATGAAGGAGAGACAATAAATCTTGTTGTTTCTGATTCAAAAACTTCAATTGCTGACTCAAGTGGAAACGATCTGAACACGTCTACTGACTCAAGTGCTCACGATCAAAATAGGCCGAATAAAACAGAAGATTCACCAGAAGAAGCTGAAAAATGTACAGGCCTAAATGAACGAATAAACGACAGTGATATTGATAATGTTTCACCTTCATTTTTAAGCAATTCATCAAATTCTTTACACTCTCAAACAAAGGAAGGTTTTGTGACAATAATTCTTAATGAAAAATCTCATTCAGTGCCAATTGAAAATGTCGATACACTGAGTGAATTAAACTCAACAGATTCCAATGAAAAAGTGATAATTCAAAATCATTCAACCTGTGCTGAACATTTGTGCGACATAAATGATAATTTGAAACTGACAAGTGGTGAAGTTTTATCCGTTAAATGTTATGATGTAGACCAATCAACATTGCCAGCTAATTCTGAAAATTACTTAAACTACAAGTCAATGTCAGAAGAGACAGGCGATGAAAATTCAAAGGTATCGGAAGTTGCTGGCTTGAAATTAAATTCTTTTGATATCGGATCAAAGGAAACTGTACAAAGTCTAGAGCAAGTGGATGAGGGCATTCAATCCATTACTTATGAGGACTTTAGAGATGGTTCTTTAGAATCTCTCGGTGAAGAAGACAGCAGCCTGGAAATCATTGAATCAAAACATGAACAGAAAAGACACACCATTGCTATTCAAGAAAATGAATATACTGATACTGAATTGGAAGTTTCTGAATCAGATGCAGATGGGCGAATTGAATTCGGTAATGATTCTGATATTAATTCTGGTAAAACTTCCAAAGCCCAGTCGATTTCTCAAGAAAAAAGTTTTCTAAATGAATTAAAATCTGAAGGTTCATTAGAAAGCTTCATGTCGTATTCTGATAAGGGAAACTCCATCAGTGATGACTGCATGGCTGACCTTACAAATTTGAGTTCCATCTCTAGTTTTAGATCAGATGAGCCCACAATCAACGAAGGACATCAAAGAGTGGACGGTTCACCAAACGACAGTGGTGCTGTTTTTCACAATTCATCACTTCAAGACTCTATGCTATCGAACGTCATAGATTTTCAAACAGTCTTACAAATTAAGAAACTACTTTTGGCTCTCAGTTCTGAGCTGGAAAAGGAAAAATTACATTACGAGCACCATGTTAAACTGCTTACTGCACAAATTACCACTCTTGAGGCTAAACTTGATAAACATGATAAATCCACTGTGGACTGTGTGTGCTCATTTAATAATAAGATGAACAGAGAAATGGCCAAAAACGACAACACCTTAGTGAATATAGCAAACAATGTGATTTCTTATGAAGAGAGGCTAAAAAATACGAGCAACGAAGTTGAGAAGTGCAAACAAGAATTAAGAAGTGCACTTAATAAAAGCTTAAATACTATTAACAACACAAAAGAAGATTATGTGAGAGTGTCCGCCAAATTGGCGGAAAATGACAAAACTCCTAATTTTGTAAATGATTTGGATAGAATAATATTTTTAGCTGACGAACTAATGAAAAGCGATAGTTTCAAGGAAATTAATATGTTAGAAAAGATTAATCAAACAAATTGCAACCATAACGGTGAAAATATCAAACGGTTGGATGTTTTGAAGAGATTCTCTAAGAATTATTTTGATTTATTAAAGTCAAATAATGAATTGACAGTATTAAACAGAAAATTAGAGGAATCGTCAGAAAGAGACAAAAAGTTACTTGATGAGAAGAATGAAACAATTAAAGCTTTTTCCGATAAATATGACACCCTCAATGGTGAGTACAAACAAGTTCAAAACGTTTTGAAAGAAAAAGTGAACGAGCACAATCAACATCTCAAGATACATTCTGACCTTGAGAGATCCTTCAAGTTGACAAAGGAAGAACTAGACCAGTTGAAATATCATAACTGTCTCAATGAACTTGAACTGAATAAATTAAGAGATATAGAGATAATCAACAATAAACTGAAGGACGATAATGAACTTTTGAAAGCAGAGATTGAAAGCCTACATCACAATTACATAAATAAATATGATATTATGAAGAAAATCTCTTTACTTGAAGAGGAAAATGCTAGGTTAAAAGATGAAAATTCAGAGTTATCAGAACAGTTTAAACGTGAAACTGATAAATATGATGAGTTGAACGAAAGATGCAAAAAGTGGCAGTTGCTGTATGATTCTCTAAATGACAAGCTGAAGAAGTCTGAGACAACTTTCAATAAGATAAGTTCAAACAATGAAATGTTGAAGAAGGAAGTTGTTCAAAAAGAATTATTCGAAGATCACTTTATCAGCGGGTTCAGACAATTGTTTGCATTAGATGAACAACTTGTCGATTTCAATCCTGACAATTTTTCAAAAGATTTGATTAACGAGGGCTTTCAAAGGCTGAGACAGCGACTTATCAAATTACAGGAATTGGGCAAAAGCGCACATTACGAGAAGAATAGGGCGAACAACATGGAGGTTGAATGCAGCATACTCAACAGTATCATCGAGAGGAAAGAGTTTGAAATTAATTCCTTATCTGAAAAACTTAAGCAAGAGGTTAACAGTCATAAAACAACCATCAAAAGTTTGATGAACTGCAATCAATTATTGACAAATGAAAACTCAGGGCTTAAGAGTCAAATTAAAAATTTGGAGAATTTGCCCAAAGCCCTTAATAACATATGTAAGTAGTGCATACTATAAAAATAATTAAATGTGTAAATGTAATTTTTTGTCTTTTTCTTTTTATAATTTAGCTGAAAGCGAATGTAATGAACTAAAAGAGTACATCAAACAGTTGAAAATTGATCTGGTTGATAGCAACGCAAAGATCAGTTCTCTAGAGTTGCATATAGAAAGTTGCTGTTCTTATAATAGAAAAAGGGTCCAAGATTATAAACAAGAGGTATATTTATACAAAAAAATTGTAAATATTTTTTAATTAAAGATTAGTTATATTATTCAAAAATCGTGAGATGCGTTCTGGTGTGATGTAGGTTTCAGAAAAACATTTTCTTTATCATGCCAACGTTTCGATCTTTATTGAGATCATCTTCAGGGCCTGGGATTTACAAAAATTGTTTACATTTAACAAATACATTTAGGATTTACACATTGACATGATAAAGAAAATGTTTTTCTGAATAATTATCGATTAACGGTCACTAATCACCACACATTAGTTATACAGTTTGATCGTCTTCAATCACCCTGGTCTGCCTATTCTCACTGGTTTTGTCTGTTGTGTTTAGGTATTTTACTATAATCACCAGTTGCTGGAATGCATCTGATAGACAAAACCAGCAAGAATACACTGATGAGAATGGTCAGAGACAATCAAACAGGTTCGTCACTTCATAAAACTCATTATGATGTTTCACAATATTGCAGTTGTTCGCCATAAAAAACCAACTGAAATATGAAAGAAGGAAGTCTGAAATTTTCAGAAGAGAGTCCTTTCCAATCGCCATGACAACGTCCCATTCAAGAAAATCCGACGCTTTCTGTCAAACTGAAATAGCTCCAGTAGCTCATCAAAATACGGGTATAATTGAGGTAAGAGAATAGTAAATAAAATAAAATATTTTGTAATTATTTATTGTTTTCTTTTTCAGAGGTACAAGGTGAGAGAGTTGGAAGATAAAATTGTAAAGCTTGAAAAAGATAAAACTATATTGACAAAACTGTGTCACAAAAGAGCTGATGCTATAAAAATGTTGCAATCCCATTGCAAAAATTGATTTCATCTTTACGCCTGCACAAAATGTTTATAAGATGCCATTTAAAAAAAAAAAGAAAAAAAAAAAGCCAAAGATCCCTGTATATAAATACTAAAGACAGTGTATATAAATTTTTATCTCAGTAAGGTAGAAAAATAAAATAAAGTGCAATTACAATTAATACAAATATTTGCGTTTGAAAACTTTATGTTAAAAAAAAAATACATTTTTCTCTAGTGATTGACTTTTTCAAATACCTGTATTGTATAATTCTCATACCTATTATTTCTATGTTTTTTACTTTTATATATTGTTGAATATAATTAAAAATTGTTTTATAAAAATGAAAACTGGATTATTGACCCATCCTATAATTCGTTGTTAAGGTTGAATTTGACAGCTAAACAGTATATAATTGGAATTAGTTAAATTACCTTTTTTTCTTTTTCTGTGTGATTTGGTTTTTTCTATCAACGGAAATTTTGTACAAAATATGTTTACTAAATACATCAATTATTTATGAAACTGATTTTATTTTCCTTCTATTTTACTATTTTCCTCCGATGTTTTAGCAATGTGTGCCACATTTAAAAAGAATTTTTTGGTTTAATTAAAAAAAAAAAATCTTCACAATTAGTAATGAGTTGCTTAAATATCTGCTTAGTCATTGGTCATTAGTCATCACATACTGTCGATCAGAAAGCGATGTCGACATTTGTCAAAGAACCTGTTGAATTATTTATAAAACATGAATTAATCTACTATTGTTTCTGATAAATTTCTATTTCTTTTTGGATAATTTGTCTGTATCATATTCTCAAAAGTTTTTGTTTTTGACCGAAACAGTTCAGAAATGCTCGTTTCCTTCTTGAACTGATTGCAAAAATCATTTCAATAATTCTCTAAGCATCTTTGGCAATAAAATGTAAAAAAAGACTCACTTGTTAGTATAAAACAAACACAGTTTGTTCTTTTGCTGGTAATTTTACATGCCTGAAAGATTTGAGCAATAAAATAAGATTCCAACTTAAGAACTGAAAACAACAAAGAGGTTTGCAAGTTATGAACAAACTAGTTTTATATTTAAATGTGTGGTGTTTAGTGACCGTTAATCGATAATTATTCAGAAATCGTGACCAGACCGCATCTCACGATTTCTGAATATTTATATTTAAACTTGTGAAAGAAATATTAAATTGTAATTTAATTGGTAACAATCATTTTCCATAAATGTTTTACTGCGGATATGTACGGATTAAAAATGGAAATTAGAATATGAGAGAAATTCTGAACAATTGATAGTGAGAAGACTGGACTGAATTTATTTTGTTATGAAAATATATTAGCTTTAAGAATTTTTTTCTTAAGCAGAACTTGCATGCTCAAGTACCGGTCAGGCAGAAGTATACAGCCAGATCAATGAATTGACATCTGTGAAATCACAAATACCGGTCAATACAGAAATTCTACCAATTTGTATATGGTTTATGGTATCCTTTATATATGGTTTCTGTAAGAAGGTTGAATATTAATTTTGTATCGAGCCAGACTTAGGTTGTTAAATGAATTTTATTAATCAAGTATTAAAAAAAGTGGAATAAGAAACATGTAATACTAATAGTAAAGCACTTGCCGAAGATTAACATGAAATTCTCACTGCACCGTTGACATAAATTATCGGGTAAAAGTTGAAAAGTAAAAAAATCGTCTATATTAAAAATATAAAGAAATATTTCTAAACCACCTGCAATTTTGCAAATAGTAATGATATGACAGACGATTGAGAAAGACAGTGGAGTGTACTAGTTTTGATCAGTTTAAAAGCATTTGTTGTGCAAATTATTCTCTGGATTCATAGTTCAGTTCTATTTATATAATTAGGGTTGATAAAAGTATTGTTTCGTCACCCACTGTATCTATTATCCTTGAGAAATAAAAAAAATATATATGAATAATTATAATAAATAATTAATTATTAAGTCTTAATTTATTAAAATACGTTAGAAGAAAAGAATAGTAGCCATTTTAAACAGAAAAAGTTATTTCACGCATTAAACGTCACGCAATAATCAAATAGAGTTTGAAAAAGGCACAATGACGATGCAATTTTCTAATTTAAATATAATCCAGTAGTCATTGGTCGTACTGGACAGTCTTCATTATTCATTAGTGTTTGACCATCGTCTGTCAATTACACAAATGTTGTTCAACGTGTTGATTTTTGCCGTGACCGCGGCTAATTTGGCAAATGGAAAATCATGCCTAGAAGCGATTGTTACTGAAAAAAAGTCCACAATATTGGCCAGCGCACATCAGCCGCCTCGGCCTCCACCCGTCGACGAAATTGCAAGAATGGCGAGATACGTCGTCCATTACTCAGGTATATTTTGTTGTGAAAAAAAGTCAAATTTTGCACCTGTCAAAATTAAAACCAATTCTTATCCATTTTTAGAAATTATATTATTAAATTTACAACAATTTATACACGAAAGTTTATAAATAAAGGTTAACCGTAAGTAAAATCATAATTTTGCATGGTGGAAATCCATGGTCATAACTTCGACATCATCTGTCCAAACTAATTCCCAACTAAACACCTATTTAATTATTTCTTATCCTTAGTAAAAATTATTTAAACAAAAAAAACGCCAAAATTTTTTTCAAACATATTTTGACATGATTTCAATATGGCATTTAATTTATTAAAGAAACTAGAAGACTCTCAATGCTAATTGTAATAAACTAATAATATCAGCAACATAATTAAGTACATCAGCTTTTTTTATTTAAAAAAAAACAGGAATTATCAGTCCAAATGCTACATTACTAAACAACTGTCTTAAAAATATCGTGTTTGGAGAGTTTTTTGCAAACTGACATATCTTAAGATCACTATCCTTTTTTCCCATCAGAAGTATTTTGAATCCAGTACCATTTTCAAAACAGTCTAAAATGTAAAACTTGAGATTACATAAATGAAATAATTTAAAACAAAAATTAAAATTAAATTTAAAAATGGAAACTCGTTTCCGAAAAATTGAAAATGGTACATGATGCCAAAACATGGCAGTATATGATAGAGTGAATTATTTTACCCTCCTTCAAGAAGGCCTGGAAATAATGAAAAAATTAAACTATACTTAAAAAAAGAAAAACACAAATAAAATTTTAAAACATCAAAAATTCATTTCTGCTTTAGTGTCAAATAGTATAGGTGAAAACAGAAATAAAAATATCTAGAGCATTTATATTTTCAAACTTACATACATAAAATCGAAGTTTTTAGTTTGTTTATTACCCTCAAGTATGTTAAAAAAAAATCCAAGGATCTCTTTACAGCTTTGTGTGGAAGAAAGAAGTATCAGCTAGGAAAGCAAGGTATTAGAAATTGTAAAATTGGCTTTAATGGCATTCAGGACTTTATTGCTCTTTGGGTGTCCAGGACAAAGCATCAAACCGCTTTACTATACTTTTTTGAAATTATTCTCAATTAAAAAGCCATGGGGTATGCCAGGATTTGAACACTGGACCATTGGCAAATTCATTAACTTTAACCCCTCAGCCACAGTGGGCCCTTATAATTGACTTTAATGAACTTTCTTCGGGTTTCAAAAGTTAAAGAAGAAAATCTGCACAATTTTACTTCTCAGAAGACAATATTCAACATCAAAAACAAATCCACCAATGGAGACACCGTAAAGCCAAAATCTGTCTGGAACAGCAAGTCACATATCGATCAAGTTGATGGTCGATGACTAACTACAGCTTCATCACCTTGCAGACCTCAACAAAAAATTTAAAATTAAATAAACACGATATGCAGATAGTCATTATTAATTCGTAGTCAATAGTGTAATGAAAAATACTGAAACGAACAAATGAGATAAAAACAGTTCTTATCATAAATTATAAAAAATTTAATACTCCACTATCTAAATACAATCTATATTCTGAAATTGAATTTAATATTTAAGTATATCTGTATGCATATACAAACAAAGGAATTATTTACTATGTAGTAAAGTAATTCGTTATGTAAGAGGAGTTAAGATCCGACTATTCATTGAGAGTAGTGGACAAGAGGTCCCACCATTTTTCAATAACTTTTATATATTATTATCAATGAAAATTCCATGGGTTGTGGTAGAATTCCAACCCACAGAACTCCTAGTGTAGCAAATATGATTCTGATGCTCTAATCACTCGGCTGCTGCTGACCCCCTATATGAAATATCAGTGAATTTGTGACTGGTGAAAATGTCAAATAAGCTGTGTATAGTTAAAAAATATTTATAATGAATGGAACGATGTATATTTAATAAAATAAAGCCTTTTATCTATCTATATCTATATTTAAAAGTATGAAAATCAATAATAACAGTACTTGTAGATATATATAAATTGGTAAAAAGTGCCTGAGGACACTGCAGGGGTAAAGTTGATCTTAGGTTGTTTCTGACTTCCTGTATCTTGACAAATTATTATTCTTATTTCAAAAAATACAAATAGCAATTTTACAGAGTGGACTACACTTTCGCACATTTCCCATCAAAAAAAGGAGAACATTTCTGGGCTGGCTATGGGGCGGGTGTATTCAATAGCAGACGGGCCATATGGAAACAGCACTGGCGTCCCTTATATCTACGTCTCTCTGTTTGACGGTGTACCAAGAGACTTGAAAGTATTTAACATTTGATGTACATTTTTAAAAACAAATTTTGCCTTTTTTTCTTTTTCTGGAGATTGATAACAAGTGTTCGATGACAATAAGCCTGGCACAAGGAAATTTGTGCGCATCTAGAGGCCAGATTGCAGAAGATCCACGATGCCCTCAAGTCATTCTCTTTGGAAATTTCGTATTCGTAAGACCTCTCGATGTTACTCTTTTGTCAATATGTACATTTTTTTTTGTTTAAATTTACAGCTTGACAAAGACACTGATGAATGGAACTTTGCAGAAAATGCCCTGTTCTCTAGATACCCGATGATGAGACATTGGCCAAAGTGTATGTTATAAAAAAAAATCTTTCAACTTAGAAAATTTAAAATGATTTTTTTCAGTTCATAACTTCCTGTTTGGAAAGCTTGACATAAACAAAATCATTCTGGTTGATAACTTCGGAGGGAGCAAGTACCCGAATATCAAAGACTACTTCAATTCCCCTCCACAAAAATATGTTGAAGTGGTCAGAGCAGAACTTTTTTTCAATGAGTCATCAGTTCAAGTTTAAGACTATTTGAATAAATAAAGGTGGATATTTTGAAATGTAATTTGATTTTTCGTCAGTTCCATGGTTAGAAATGAAAGACTACCAAGAGTGAGAACTTTTTCTTTTTTTATAATTTAAGAATTAATAAACTTTACCAAAAATATACTCAAAACAATTGTCTCTATATATTTCATTATCAAAATTTCATTAAATACTAATAAAAAGTTTATTTTAAAAATTAAAATGTACATTATATAAACAAACTGGCATGAAAATGTTTAGGGTTTCCATAATCTTAATAAGCCATCTTCACTATATGTACATAGCAGATTTTGATGAGGATGATGAGATAGTCCGATCACATCTTTTTCATGAACCTGATTAAAAAAATAAAATAAAAATTAATATTTTCATACAACAAGCCCTTCAAAATAACCTACATTTAACGTTCTTTCTAGTTTGCCTGAAGTAATGGAGAAACAGTAAAGAACAAGATCTTCACCGACGCAATAGATCCACTCTCCTCTTGGGGAAAGTGTTGCACAAACAAAATCACCTCCTTCCCTTTTACCGCTCGAGAATGATCTTACAATCTAAAAGGCAAAAATTATTTTAAATTTGTTACCAAAAATCAAAAAATAAATCGAGTTAGTACCTGTCCCTGCATATTCATGACAACGACGGAATTAGTTTTATTACAAACAACAAAATGCTCTTGGTTTTTAGGCAGGAGGTGAACGCTGTTCACCCTGACATCGCCGGCGCCAAGTGACTTGAAAGTGTTAACACACTCAGTCGATTTGATATTCCAGACTTTAACTGTACCATCGGAAGAAGCACTAAAATCTTTCAAGTATTATATAAAATGTTACAACAAAAATAAATTGTAATTGCAATAGAGTAGTATTGAAGTACCTTATCACGTTATGGCCATCACTAGTGAAAATTGCATCATTTACAAAGGAACTGTGCCCTCTGAATTCCTTAAGGGACTTTCCTGATTTCAATCCGTGAATCCTAATAGAAATTGTTTAAATTAAATTGAGAACATTGTTAATTATAATTATTCTGTGGTAATTGCAGTCATTATTGATGTTATTCTTACTAAATATTTAAAAGTTAATAAATTTGTACCTAATTGTTGTGTCAAAGGATGCTGTGAGGATCTGACTGTTATCCCTTGAGAATTGTATACAAGTGATTCCTTTATTGTGAGCCTTTTCAAATTTTCTAAGACACTGGCCTGTCATTAGTTTCCAAATTTTGATCTTGCCCTCTTGTGACCCACTGGCGAGCATTTCCGAGTCCCGGCTGAAGCCCAGGGCCAGGACCGCCTCTTCCATCATCATGAAGTTTTCTTGAGACTGATACTTCAAATCTTTCCTTATCTTGCCAGTTGTAAAATTCCAGACTTCGATAAAACCGTCAACGCTGCCCGTTATCAGGAACTGGCCGTCCGGAGAGAAAATGGCACATTCAACGTGTGACTTGTGGCCAAACTTGATCTGCTTAGAAAGCTGCGTCGGATATTTCTCATCATCCTGGTCCCTTATGGCAGCCTTGCCCCTGAACAGATCGATTGTCGTACCTGGTGGAAGGAGGCCCTGGTGTTGCTGCCATTTCAATGCTTGGCCCAATAAAGCAAGAAGACGAGATGAAGGCACGACTGAAACTTCACCAGATAACGCTTGTGCAATTGCAGCACGTCGTTTTTCTTTGGATGTCCCATCAGCATAAGCCTCCCTGGGATCAAAATATGACCTCGCAAGAAGATTTTCTATAACAAATTTAAAAAGTTAAAATAATTAAAAAATAACCATTCTTTATTTATTTATTTTATTACCAAGATGAATATATCTATCGGGTTCATTTTGTTTCATTACAATCATCGGATCTGTCTGCCTCAAGAGGGACCTGGCTGCACCCAGTTCTCTCAGCTCTATCAGTTCCAAAACTACCTAAACACAAAGCAAAAGTTTAAATATAATACAGAACATCAAAAACTTTAAAATGCTTTACCTGTTCGTATAAATCGATCAGCTTGCTATCTGGCAATTTGAGAGACTGGATCGCTTTAAGGACAGTGTCCCAATGGCCGTTGTTAATGTCGGAGACAAAGCCATCAATACTGTCTACTGTATTGAGTGAAACACCAGTTTCTTCCTGAAAAAAAAAACTTAATTTTTACGATTTGCACGTTTATTCTAGACTAATTTTTTTGAATAACTGAAATACTACTGATAGTCTTTAGGCAACAATAATCAATAATGTAATCTAAATTTAAATATTTTTAATTGTTATAATCAGCGTATTTACACTACTAATTAAATAATAATTATCAGTTAAAGCAAATGAATTAAAAAAAGTTCAGTTTGTTCTGGGCCATTAAATGTTTTCAATTGACATAATCAATGTACGAGACAAGACAACCAAAGGTACCCACAATGAGACCACACGACTCCATCCATACTTCTAGTGGATATATATATATATATATATACANTGCCATTTAAAATCGAATAAAAGTAACATTTTTTAAAGTACTTAAATACATTTTTTAATAATTAAACAAAATCCATTATATATATACATATATATAAAGGAGTTGCCAATACAATAAAAAAAAATCTGCTACACACACACGAAATAAATAAATTCACAATGGAATTATTTAAAGTTAAAAAAGAAGTCAGTCTCTGGTCTGCAGAGGTTGAATCTAGATTTTTGTTTTTTATCGGAATGAATGGATTTGTTTGCAAGAATAGAGGGCCCACCAATACCTGAGAAATATTGAGTATGCAGGTATCAATTTATTGTGAATGTAATTTTTCTAGTATGGAAGGAGAATCCTCGGATGATATCAAGTAGAACTTCGTACCGTAACAAGTTTCTTAACATTATGCCGACTTGGACAAAATGGTATTTCATGTTGATGCAAATATTTTGAAAAAGATCCATAGGAGACCCTGGACAATTTTCCTCCACAGAAGAATTTTTTTAAAAATTTAATATATTTATTACAATATGTAACATTATCTATACATTCACTATTTTTCGTGGTCCGCTTGACCAATTAATATCATTGAATTAATTAAGGTTTTTAGTTGAGATAAAAAAGTCAGTGTCACGAGCGGGATTTGAACCCACGGCCTTCGGCTAGATACGCCTCTGCTCTACCACTGAGCTATCGTGACTTCGATCCTCTCAGGCACTAACTTCCCATCTCAACCTCACCTCTCGAATTTTCCCTCCTTTTTGCCATTTTTCAAATGTCGTGTAATCTATTTGATTCTCGGCGACAAATGAAATGGCCACGGAGAGCTTTAGTGAAGATATACTTCGTTTTACTTATTAAATCCATTATATTTCGTGGTCCGATTGACCAAATAACTTCTTTCAATTAATTAATCTTTATGTAAGGTATTGGTTGAAATAAAAAAGTTAGTGTCACGAGCGGGATTCGAACCCACGACCTTCGGCTTGATACGCCGCTGCTCTACCACTTGAGCTATCGTGACTTCGATCCGCTCGGACACTAACTTCCAATCTCAACCCCACCTTTTGAATTTTCCCTTCTTTTTGCCATTTTTCAAATGTCGTGTAATCTATTTGATTCTCGGCGACAAATGAAATGGCCACGGAGAGCTTTAGTGAAGTATACTTCATTAAATTCACTATTTTTTGTGGTCCACTTGACCAATTAATATCATTGAATTAATTAAGGTTTTTAGTTGAGATAGGAAGTTAGTGCCCGAGAGGATCGAAGTCACGATAGCTCAAGTGGTAGAGCAGAGGCGTGTCTAGCTGAAAGTCGTGGGTTTGAATCCCGCTCGTGAGACTGACTTTTTATCCTAAAAACCTTAATTAATTCAATGATAAGCGGACCACGAAAAATAGTGAATTTAATGGAATGCTCGTGACACTGACTTTTTTATCTCAACTAAAAACCTTAATTACTTATCTATACATGCAAAACAGTTCCATGAATGACTGACAGAAAACGCACAAACCAAACTGCTGGATCTACAGGACTGAAATTTTGACAGCACGTTCTTATGACATGGATAGCTGCTAAAAAAGGATTTTTTGAAATTCTTCTAAGGGGACCATATGGCTAATTTTTTTACCATGCATAGACTGAAGTGATCTGAAGAAGAGAAGAATTTGAAAAACTAAGACATTATAGCCTTACTGGCACTCTGTATCGCTTTAGAAAGGTACATTAAAACAGAGTCCTGTGTGGATGAAGTCGTGGGTAAAAGCTAGTTTACAAAATGTAATGAGTTAAATTTACATTAACATGAATAACAAGTCACAAGGGGAGAGAACGAGAATTAATCCTAATTCAGTGGGTCGTGGGGCCACCTATCTTCTGGTAAGATTATTATTATTATTTTTTTTTTTAATGGATACTAGGAACTGGAGGAGTTCCCCTTGAGCACTGCAGCTGTATACTACAGCTTATTGTACTTTCTTCCTGGCTCCACTTTTTTGGGGGGCCCGCAACATGCGTGTGAATTTGAGCTCCCGATGTGCCGGTGTTCTTCCATCAAAGAAACTCATTTTTGAAGGGGGGTGGGGACACATTCAGGGTCACTGAGATCCAATCCCACCCCCAGACCTTCCATTGATGAATGCTGTGCCAAATTTTTCAATTGTGGCCACCGGTCCCCTTAAGCGCCAGAAAATAAATTCAGAGGCGACGGTGAGAATCAAACCCACAACCGTAGGATCTACTAGCCAAGATTCTGATGCCTTAATTACTTGGCTACCCCGCCCTCTCCCCTGTAGGGATCGTTTCTATTGGATAAGGATCAGGCAGTTCAATTGGTGGTGGGAGGAGAGCCCCTGGACAATTTTCCTCTACAGAAGAAATTAAAAACAGCAATATAAAAACTAATATATTAATCCATATTATATTTAGCAATCATAATTGACCATATTAATTATTTCAATTAATTATTCTTTTAATCTAGTCTTGGTTGAGATGAAAGTTGTGTTTTTTTGTTTCGCCTGCGGCATCAGCCAAGATGCAAAAGTTAGTGTCACAAACGGTATTCGAACCCACAACCTTCAGCTCAATACGCTGCTGCTCTACCCATTTGAGCTATTGTTACATTCCGCTCATGACACTAACTTTTAACCAAAGATCGTGGGTTCGAATCCCATTCGTGGCACAAACTTTTTCATCTCAACCAAGACTAGATAAAAATCATAATTAATTGAAATAAAAACTAATATAGTAATTGGGTTAAAACAAATACACCAATTATAATAGTGAATGGCCAAAATCTGAGACGTCAAGGATGATCAGAAACGACAAAACAAGTGATTCATCATCCCACAAAACTTGTCTATTGTCTATAATTGTCTATTTTCAACGTACACTGATTTAATAACAAATTATGTGTTTATATTAAAAAAGAAAGTATAGTATTTTGAATTCATATTGTAGATACATCGAGAATACTTGTCTTGCTCAAAACGAAAAATATTTACATAGAAAAAAAATTGGCGAACCTGCAGGGTTTGTAGAGTCTTGACTAAATTTGACTCCTTCAAGTACTGCTGGATAAGCCGGACGACGCTGAAATCCAAGTGGAAACATTTTTAATAATAACATTATTATAGAAACAAAGAAAAACAAATTAATTACTTACTCGGCGGATTCGATCTCGATCGCCATCCTCCCTCTGCACCGGATCAAGAGAAAAACAAATCAAAAGAGGAAAACTGCCCAGCGGTACTGAAACAAACAAAACCTCAAGGACTGTTATCCATATTCCAGAATAAATATCTCTTAGTACCCAAAAAGTACTAAGTAGTAATAGGCGTTTCTTTGACGTAAAAAAATCGGTTTAAATTGTTTATATGAAGATTTTATTAATAATAAGTTAATTTGTAAAATTAAAGAGCAGTAAAGTGTATTTGTTTGGTCGGTTTTCAGTCTTAAGGGGTTTTCATTTTTTTTTAAAACAATGTTAATATATAAGACTTAGACTTCTTGGTTAAACAACGACAGTTTAAAAAATTGTGTAAAATTCTGGTATGAAGTTTTGAATTAAAAATCTATTGAATTTTTTTTGCTGATTTTTTTAAAGAGAAATTTTGGGTAATGGAGTAATTTCTTTGGTTTAAAACGTAAATCATCTGCCTTTTATAAACGATCGTGTTTACAGTTCTGCAAGTACGAAGTTTTAAAGGTAAAAACGTACTCGTCCGGTTTTGAAGTCGGGTAAGTTTGTTTTTCCCGAGCACACGGAAGATAACCTTCCTACGTCACAGGCCCCACAGATCCTCGAGCCGACTGGCCAAACGGCAGAAAACCGTCAAAAGGGAAATCAACCAAAAATTGTCCACCACCGTTTCCGACGGCAATTTTAAACCCACCACCCGCTGTGGGAGTTTGTGCTGGAATTTCGGCGAAAAATCCCAGCTGGCCGGTCGCCGTGATCGCGGACCGACTGGGCGTAAAAGGCCGTCAGCCATTTTACGTACGTTTTCTGATAAATTCATCGACGTAACTCCCCTATTGGTACGGGTCAAACAAGCGGATCCTCGTTTTTCGCTCGTCCTCGGCTTTTTATTTTGCAAAAAGGGACGTCGTTTCCATCCTAGCTCGCGTCTCCGAGTTTCACGGCCGCTTCTGCGAGTTTTCATCTGTAAGTTTTTCAGGCGTCGGCAAAGGGAGAAAAAAATAATTTACTATGAGCAACCGGGATGATGAATATGATTACTTGTTTAAAGGTACGTCTCAAAAGCGCATTTTTTAAAAAATAATTTCAATTGCATTAAATAACACCATTTTCTGCTTTATAAAGAGATTTTGAAAATTAATAAAATGTTTCACATAAAAAAAAGAAAGAAAAAACATTGCCGAGATAAATGCCTTGTTTTTCCTCTTTGAACAAATCATCCAACACTTATCTAAATTAACTTTTTCAAACAGACATTTTAAAAAAGGAACTTATAAAAATCAACAATCTTGCCCATTAATCAATCCTGACAATCTTCAAAATGCGGGCCCCGAGGCGGAAATTAAAATTATTTTTTTTACCAACTTCCAAAAAAAAAACCTTTCGCCCACATTTTACTCCATTAAAAAACAAATAAATAAATAAATAAATTGTATTGTGTTGTAATTTATTTGTGGAAAAATAAATCTGGCGACTCGGTCACGTTTTTTTAAATCTCGTATGCCATACTGGATTTACTCTTTTAACTCATCATATTTTTGTATTATTTCAAATTTGGTTTTACACTGATTTTACAATGAAAAAATTAATTAATTAATTTTAAAATAAAAAACCGCACAACCTCGGCTACAAATCCGATGTCCCCGTTGTTCTTTTCATCGCAAATATTTTCCCCTTGTTTTTCCCTCCCCATATTTTATTTTACACATTTATTTTAAATATTTAACATATCCAGGGAATTGTCAATGGTCGTTTTAACGTTTTTCATGTTGGATGTTCATGTTTGAACATTTGCACCAGTTGCAACTCACCGGACTACTTAAAATCCTCTCCCATTTTCTTTACCTTGAATTTTTTTTTACATATAATGCAAGTATTTCAAACAAGCTTATAAATCAATCGGTAATTTTAGTTTTTAATATTCCTGAAGTTTCTTGTGAGAGTAAGCGTATTTCTACCATTCACAACTAACATTATAACTAACAATTTTCTGATGATTTGGTTTATTCTAAATGTATTTATATATAAAACATATATTTATATTCACGATGATTAATTGGATACAAGTGAATCAGTAATGTTTATTTTTTAACATTCATGAAGTTGCGTGTTCATGTTTGATCATTTCTGCCAATTGCAACTTCCAAAACTATTTACAATTTATCTTTCATTACAATTTCATTGACTTTACCTTGATTTTTTACATGTGAAGCAAGTATTTCTAACAATGAGCTCATAAATCAATCAGTAATGTTCATTTTGAACATTCCTGCAGTTCTGGTTTGAGTTTGAGCATTTCTACCATTCACAACTAACAAGATAACTAAACAATTTTCTGATGATTTGGTTTATTCTAAATGTATTTATATGTAAAACATGTATTTATATTGACGATGATTAATTGGATACAAATGAATCAGTAATGTTTATTTTTTAACATTCATGAAGTTGCATATTCATGTTCGAGCATTTCTGCCAATTGCAACTTTTTACTATTTACAAACTACAAAACTATTTGCAGTTTATCTTCCTTTACAATTTCATGGACATTGCCTTGATTTTTTACATGTGAAGCAAATATTTCTAACAATGAGCTCATAAATCAACCAATAATTTGACTGAGGATCAGGTAAATGGCCATCGGATGAAGAAAACAACAAAAACGTGCCAAGCTTTTGTCGTATATTAATAATATAAGAAAATACTCAATTAATTATACACAATTTTTCATTTTGAAAAAATTGTGTATAATTAATTATTTTGTATATTTAAATAGAAGCTGATAAAATAATTAAAAATTTATTAATATAAGAAAATTTCAAATTGATTAATAACTAACTTAAGTAATATAAGCTCGGTACGTTTTTTGGGTTTTCTTCATCCGATGACCATTTTGCCTGATCCTCACTCAAATAATTTCACTCGTCAATCTTCACTTCACTCATTTAAAATCAATCAGTAATGTTCATTTCGAACATTCCTGAAGTTTCTTATTTAAGTTTTTCTCCCATTTGCAACTAAACAAGAAGCTAACAATTTTCTATTAATTTTTTAAATGTATGTACATATAAAATATGTATTTATATTAATGAGGATTAATTAGATCCAAGGCAGTCAGTAATGTTTATTTTTTACCATTCATGAAGTGTCATGTTCAAGTTGAACATATCTGCCAATTACAACAAACATGATTGCTATCACATTCTCGTTCTTTTGATTTAAAAATGAAAATTATAAATCATATTTTAAAGAGCTAGAATATAAATAAATTATTAATGTTCATTTATAACATTCATCATGTTTAATGTTCATTTTGTTTGTGCCATGTGCATATGACATGATGAATAAAAGTTGTCCATTGATTTTTAAATATATTCATATATTAAGTGTGTATTTATATTAATTAGGCAGGTAATAAGTCAATTTAATATTTAACAGTCCTTGCAACTGGCAAGGATGGGTAACATGAATGTGACAACATAAATGGTTAAAGAACCGATATTCATGTTTCAACATTTCTACCATTATACATCTCAACATTTTACCAAACAAAATGTCTAAGAATTTTCCTTTTTTTTCTTTTAATTTGCATATGCATTTATAATGATGAGGATGCAAGGCGATCATTAATTTATGTTTTTAACATTTGTGCATGTTTATGTTACCTCTTGCAAACAACCAGATAGATCACTATCTATTTTTTGCCGTCTTTTAATTTTTAATGTTGTAACGCGTGTATTTTATCTAACAAGAATATAAAGCATTTTATCTTGTTAATGTTTTGTATTGACTTAACTATAAATAAATAAATAATAAAAAAAAGGTTGATATTGAAACGTTGGCACGATAAAGAAAATGTTTTTCTGAAACCTACATCACACCAGACCGCATTTCACGATTTCTGAATAATTATAGACTAACAGTCACTACTCACCACACATTCAATTTTAAATGTTGATGTGTATTAACATTTCTTAAGTTTGATGTTAATGTTTCAATATTTTTTTCTGTTTAAGCAAACCAGTCATGAAACAATTTATCATTTCCTTGCCAATTATAATGTAAAGTGTTCTTTTTAATTTAAAATAGAGTGAAGTGATGGATTATGATTCTTTTTTCCTATTTTATGTTTCTGGTGTTTTAAATTATTCATTAAAGTTAACTGACATTTAACTGTACCGTACTCAGCTTTAATTTTTAGTTTTAAACCAATAGGAATGCAACAAAACTAAACGTTTTCACATTTCTGATGTTTGATGTTCATGTTTAAACATTTCTGTTACCCTGAATATTCTCTTTCTTTGTCTAGACATCTTTCTTTTATAGTGTACGTTTTTAATTACAAAAAAGCAAAGTGGTTAACAGTGGTTTAGTTGTAACATTTTCGTTTAGAAGTTTCATGTTCTGGTTTAAACATTTACTGTTAATGTGGTTTGGATGATTTTTCTGTGTTCAAACTCCTACAACAGGTACATGTTTTTATTCATATGCATTTTGAAGCATTTTTAGCCTCCTCCTCAATACACATTGAAGCTCAATATACGACTCATAGATTTAATTCTCAAATAAGTAAATTTGAAATTAAAATTTAAAGACCAGTGAGACAAGGTGTGAACTCAGATGTATCATTTGGATTTTTTATAAATCAACTAATTTCCATCAGTTATAACAGTTATTATGGATTTGGAAATGTTTAGTACTTAATTATCCTAAAGATAGATACAGATGACATCAGTTGTACTTATTTAAACAAATGCATTAGTCATTGTTTTGCATTATCGGAGATGATGCTGAATCACCATTTCAATTTTCAATGAATCAATCAAATAAAACTTGTGCAGTTAATAGTTACATAGTTTTAACTTAAAATTGCATATATATAAAATGATTATATTAAATCAGTCTGTATTTTATGTCAAAACTGTCAACATGCTGCATGGAGCAAAAAATATCCAAAGGAAATGTAAACAAATAAACAAAAACAAATGTGTGATTCAGAATAAATCAACTGGCATAAGTCAATGACAAAGGTTTTCACGACTCGACCCTTCTCTAGATTGTATTTCAATTGATCCAAATTATGGTCGAATTGACCTGGCCTGAGATCGGAAAGAATGAGAACAGGAGAATGAACTCTTATTACTTTAACGCTTTCTATATTTATGATAATTACCATTTAAGAAAATTCAGTTGTGCGACAATTTTTTTGTTTTAAATGCTATACATTCTGTTTGTATATTATTTTTTCTTTATCTCTTTATAATTATTGCTTTTTTTCACATACAAAAAATACATATTGTTTTTATGTTCCATTTTTTTTTTATAAATTTAAAAAGAAAAAATCCAAATGTACGGACGATTTCACGGATGTTACAACTGTAGGCATATGTCATAGAAGTACTACTTTTACCTTTAAAATAAATGTTCATGTTGGATTAGCATGATCATTTCTAATGATCGTGATCTTCATTGTTCAGACACAAATAGCTAAACAAAATATTATTTAATAATAGGTAATGACTCTTGAATGGAATGTTCTCCTTGAAGCATCAACATTTATTTTCTAGATTGAACAAGTAAATGTCCTAATCCTAGCTAAATATTTGAACTTGAAGTAATGACATAAAGATAAAAGAATCGTCAATTTCTGTTTGCCCTTTCATTTTTCTAACTTTGTTCTTTCTTAAAATTATTTACTTCAGGATTCTGAGTGAAACTTCAATTTTATTTCAAATAAGTTTTTAATTTTATGAGTATAATTGCATTTAGGTTTTAAAATTAATGAAATACACAATTTTTTTTACATTTAATTTAATTATTTATTTATTTTACGAGGGTTCGCAACAGCAGAGGTTTTATCAACCCTCGGGGTGTCTGAGTTTTTGAAAAAAAGCCCATTTGTAAGTATGTCGGATTCAAATGCAGGGCTGCTGGGTTCGAACCCGGGACCTTTACCTTACAGTGATGAGCGCCGTGTCAATGCCGAAACCGTTGCAGCCACCGATGCTCCCCCCCAATTGTATCTTTAAATGTAACACAATTTAGGAAGTTCAAAGCCAAAATACATTTCACTTTTTTGATTTTTGTTCTACGTGTTATATTGTCGTTATCTAATTTATCAGTTATCTTCCTTTAACAAATATCTTTTATTTAATAACTTTGTAAAAATTTTGTTCCAGTCGTTTTGATCGGAGATTCCGGAGTTGGGAAGAGTAATCTCCTTTCAAGGTTTACAAGAAATGAATTCAACCTGGAATCAAAGTCGACAATCGGCGTCGAATTCGCAACACGAAGTATTGTTGTAAGTATTCAGTTTTATGTTTAACATTTGTCCAATTACTCTTATTGTGTTAATTATTATTGAATTGAATTACTTCAAGGTCAAACGATTTGACTTGTTATTATGTTGAGGTTTTTTTTACTGATCCTTTTTCTCATGTTTATTAATTAATTAAATTGAAAAAAAGAAATCACAGCAAGTGTGATTTTAAACATTTTCTTAATAGAGATCTCTTTGTGAAAAGAATGAATGTATGAGAAAGCGAGAGCATGAGAATTAGAGTAAATAATTAATTTTAGTCAATTGCAGATTATTTCCTTTCTTTTTGCTTTTGTTTATTTATTTTTAAAAAAATTAAAAAATACTTATACTTTTAGTTTCTAGTAAGAACAAAATGGGGTCACCTAATTTCAGCATACAAAATTGTGAAATTGCATTTTCATCAATTCAGATTACAAAGCGTTTTCTTACTTCTTTCAAAACTTGTTTTTGTTTTTTAATATTGTATTTCAGTGCGTTGTCACTTATAATAAAATTGATAGTCAAGAATTGTAACGTATTAAATCGAATTAGTCAAAATTATTTCTGTTGCCTCCTTGAAAAAAAGAATGATATGAAGGTCAAAGATGTCAATTCCTATTCTGTTTTCTTATTCTGTTCGCATTCGAAACAACCTGCCGATCATTATATGAAAGCAAGAGGGTATTGATTTTTCTTTTATAGTTGAGCAATGACCTCGATTCTTACTTTGTGCTGTAACTTGTTAGATCTGTGAAGGAAGATAATCATAGAATATGATGAATATTGAATTATATTTAAGTGATAAGTAAAGTGATATAAATTATGTTCTAAGTGATAAATATTTCAAAAATTGACAAGCTTAAATGCATTATACATTCATAAATATTTAATCAAGTTTGAAGAGTTCTATTTTATTATTATTATTTTTCTTACTCAGACTCCTTTTGTAACTTCCAGCTAAGGAATCCCAGTTCTTGCTTAAGAGAAAGCCCTTACTGAGTAAGAGTCACTTATTGTTCTACAGAAAAAGTACAAACTAAAATTTGGCAAAAGATATCTTGATGCCCCTTCACCATTGATAGAACATGCCGTAATGATAGACAAATCTTCTTTCTAGAAGGCAGAGGGGCAACAAAGGGGCTGATAAATTGGTCAAGGAAAAAGGACACCTTATGACAAAAATTTCTGGCTTTGCTTTGTGGAAACAGGATAATAATAAATTGGATATGAGCACCACTCCCTAACCATGCTGTTAATATGTAAACCAGAAACAGAAAACTGTACAAAAAATAATAATAAAAAGTTAAATAAATAAAACAGTTATTTTGAAATTAACCAGGAAGTAAGACCTAAATTTAGGTCTCCCTAACAACTAAATAGGCTAGGTGTCAACCTCTCGCACTTAATAATTTCATCAGGTCAATTAACTTTATAATTAACAAATTCTAAGTAAATAGTACACTATATTTACATACTCAGTAAGATGCATTTATCTAAACTAAAATACAAACAAATTTAGTATATACATAAAATAATGATAACACTGTAACAGATTGCAAACAACCTTACAGACTAAACTTTTCTGCGAACTAGTATCTGTCTGCAATTGCAACACTTTCTATTGTGAACTCAGTTAACTCAACTAGGTGACTGGTGTGATGAACCAATTGCCGAGTTGTGTTTTTTATGTTGTACTTGGCCATCCGCCTGGGCAGACCACTTGACTGCATGTCAGTCAAGGTTGGGACGGTTCCCAGTCATTTGCTACAGGCAACTTTCCATCCGTTTAACTATTTTAATTAACTAACTGCCTCGTCTGAAAGAGGCCATGGACTCAAAGCAGCAGAAAAAAGTCCTCTTCAGATAATGCCAAGAAGAATAAATTGCTTAACATGTTCTATATCAGTGTGAAAGCCAGTGCAGCCTCCTGCTCCTTGCTAGTTGAAAAGCCAAGATTTGGAGTATACTTAGTACTTTAACAAAGCTTTGCGATTTGGGAAAAAGCTTAACAAAGAGCTCTAGAAAAAATGAAGATTGTTCAACAGACCATATTAGTCATGGTGCACAAGGTCGTGAAGAGGCTGACTCATTTTATCCTTAACCTTTTAACCTGGAAGAATACATCCATCCACCCAGGTTGAGGTCTGACTGTTATCTAGCTTGATTACTTTTATGTCTTTAAAAATTTACTAAAGTTTACTCAGAGGTTGTATATGAAAGAAAAGTTGTTTATGTGTATTTCTGAGGATATGTGCAATAAAATAAATAAATAAGTTAATTGTATTTTTATTATTTATATTTTTACTTTTAGGTGGATGGAAAGACCATAAAAGCCCAGATTTGGGACACAGCAGGTCAAGAAAGATACAGAGCCATTACTTCAGCGTAAGTTATATATAAACCATTAAATTAATTTTTTCCTGCAATGATGAAATTATGACGAAATTTAAAACAATCTGATTGTTTTGTTTTGCCATTTTTTAAAGGTAAAATTATTTTATTTTTGTATTTCAGTTATTACAGAGGAGCCGTAGGAGCGTTGCTTGTTTATGACATTGCGAAGCATTTAACATATGAAAATGTCGAGCGATGGTTGAGAGAGCTTAGGGATCACGCGGATCAAAATATTGTGATCATGCTCGTCGGGAACAAGTCAGATCTGAGGCACTTGCGAGCAGTGCCAACTGATGAGGCGAAAAGATTTGCTGAGAAGAACACGTTATCGTTTATCGAGACTTCTGCTCTTGATTCAACAAATGTAGAAACAGCTTTTCATAATATCCTTACTGGTATGGTTCTTAAAAAGAAAAATTTATATAATAATAAAATTGATTTATTGTTTGTTTAATTTTACGATGTTTTCCCGCAGAAATTTACAGAATCGTTTCTCAAAAACAAATCAGGGATCCTCCTGAAGGTGATGTTATCCGGCCACAAAATGTTGAAGCAATCGATGTTAAACCAACTGTGAATACAGAAAGTGTGAGAAAGCAGTGTTGTCAGTGAAAAAGTACGTTTATTCCTTATTTTTACGTGAAAAAAAGAAAAAAATCAAATCACAAAGTAGTTACAACCTGCTGAAAACTATTGAGGCAATACTAAAAATTATATTATTAAAAAAAAGTTATTTGCAGTGATCATTTAAATTTGGCCCCATCCCGAGAAAGAACATTGCTGCTCACATTCAAGTGAGCAAGTGGAAATCCATGGGGTGTCAATGTTAAATATCTTAATACACTCTTTTGTTTTAAAATGCAAAGATCATTTAATTGTTTTGTAATTATATTGTTTATAATATCTGCCCTTAAGCTGTAGTTCTTCTTTGTCTTGTATGTTGTTAATTTGTTAAAAACCCTATAATTAACCATGTGCAATATAACAATCATTTATGACTTTATGTTAACATTTAATAAATTAATTATATAATCTACATCAAAACATGCTCATTTTCTACTGCGAGCTTTAAAACCTCTGACCTCGAGTCCGATCTTGTAAATTAAAAATCCTCACCTTAATAAATATAATTTTGTCTTAAATGCAACAAGATAAGTATAATTAAAATTTTTAATAAACATACAAAAAATTAAATTTAAAGTACTAAATTTTTAAAACTTATCACACAATAGTTCATAAAAATTTCATGTCAGGTATATTGGTTTAACTGTATGAAATGTATAAAAAAAATATCTGGGATCATTTACAGTCTATGGCTCTTTTAAAATCTTTCGTAATTAATAATTAATTACCAATGAGATCCTGAAAAATAGTTTCATTTAACCAATTCAAGACAGAAGGTTTATTTAGTAATGATGCAAAAATTAAATTTGTAATGGATTCACAATTTTTAGAGACTCCTTTTAATGCTCATGTTACATCTTTAATTTAAACAGTGTTTCAATCATTTTAAAGCACTGATTCATTTCACAACTTAGAAATAAGCATGACATTTGCCTCATGAACTTTTTTGTTGCAGGCTTTTCATTGCACTCGAGTTTCAAAAAGAGAACTCCGTTCTTCAAAATGATAAGCAAAAGAGGAAAAAATAAATATAAACAAACAAAAAAAATAAAACAAATTATATATATATATATAAAATATAAGGAAAGAAAAAGTGTGGAAATGAATGAATGCGTTTGAGCGTATGTCTAATGATGATATGTGAAATTTATCCAATGCTTAGCAGAAATTCATAGCCCGACAATGCTCAAAGTGGCCTAATTAACAATTACAGTCTTTGGAATAAGTGTGGAATTTGGCCACCTCATTTGTATTTCATTTAACTTGCCATTATTCAGAAGCTTCTCATTTTTAAACTATTAACTTGTTAAGTTGTCCATAAAAGTTGTATGTATATAGTAGTTGTTTATTGAAATATTAAATAAAAAGTTCTAATAATAAATTGATTAAATAAAAAAGTTAAAAATTGTACGTTGTAGGCTGTTTGTGACATTCTAGTTTTTAAGGAAATACGTGCCTCATATTTATGTATTTAGAAGAAATAACTTATTAAATTTAAATATGTTGTTTTTCCTTTAAATTGGGAGTATTTTGGATTTGTACCTGGGCTATGGATTCCTGCTCCACTGACTCGTTGACGAAAAACAATTAGTAAAACAAGAAAAGTTTTTTATGACTTTTTTAATTTTACATCTTGTAAAATTGAATCATTTACCAATTCTTTACATTATGTTTTTAGTGTTGGAAATCAATGTTGTATTTGCAAATTTGTGTAGCGATGTTTTTTTCCCCCTTTGTTATGTATGTATTGAAAATTATATAATATAAATCATTTATTGCATTCATATATCATGTAATTTATTGTAATAAAATATTTCACAATATTAAGAGGTTTATAGTTATTGTCGGAAGCTTATTTCTCCCAGTGCTTTAAAATTTAACAAGTTCTTAAATGTTTATAAGTGTAACAAGAGAGAGAGTGAGAGAGAATTTTGATTAATAATTTACTTATATTTAATTATAAAATATAGACATTTTTTTCATTTTGTACTTTGTTATATTGTTTGGTCACGCATTATAGGATTAACTGTCATTGTGATATATTTTCGAAAGCACTACTGTTTGTGTAGTACCGTTATCAATTAAGGGCAGCAGTAAAAAATTAAAAAAAAACTTTCATTTATAATTCTAAATTGTATTTGAGAAAAAAATGTGGATCTTAGTTTCAAGTTTTGGGCCTATAACAGAGTTGTTTTAGACTTAAATTGATATTATGATGATGTGCTAAAAATCAAATTTAATTACTTTAAAAAATTAGTATTTTAATTATTGCTGTACATTTTATTTAGATTTCCTTATTATATATTCCACTTTGTTTAAAAACAACAAATAGATTTAAGTTATGAATATTTTACAATTCTCACTGGGGATTGTAATGTTTTTTCCCTTGTAAAAAATTGTTAGTACATTGACTGGATATAGTTAATTAGAAGGGGAATGGGTATTATAAAACTTTGCCACTTTTACAAGTTTTGCGTTATTTTGTCTTCAAAGTCCCAAGAGAATATTATTAGAATAAAGATTGCCAAGATAATTCCAAACGATAATTTTACACCCTTTGTTTGATATAAAAGAAAAAAAAAGTTAATTAAATCAAGACTCCCAAACTTGTTTTGGGTATTTGATAATCCCTATTAAGAGATTAATTTTTGTTTGTTGCTTTGTAAATTATATTTAATAACAATAAAGGAATTATTATATTTATTATTTAATATGGAAATCTATGATTGTTTTGTTTTTTACATCAAACCTATATCCTGAAAGTTCCCGGAATAAATCATATGAATACATTAAAAATAAACTTGGTTGATGGAAAAAAATTATTGGTACAACAGTTTGTTTGTAAAAGCACAGTAATAAAAGCAAAAACAAAAATTATGAGATTTTGCCATATCTATGGAGTAATGGACTTGAAATTGTTGTTACAGATCATTTTGGTCTGCTTATCCACACTCCATGTTTATGCATTTCACCATCTTTAGTGGTGGATTTCTGCGTAACAACTGCACAGACACAAAGAACAAAAAAATTATATTTTTAAATGTTTAATGATTAAGGCTGCTTCTTTTTAAAGATCTTGGCTGTTTCTTGTTAATTCTGAAGATGGTGAAATGCTAAAACGCTTCTGAGAATAGACAGACTATAAGATCGGTAAGGTCCAAATTTCAAGAATCAAAATGTAAAACAAGAGGGTTGGGTGTTGCAAACAAGGGGTCAAACCACTTTACAATACTTTTTCATACTCTCAAATATGATAGGCTGTGCCTTGATTAGACCAGAACCACTAGCATGGCAAAACCCCTGCCTCTGCCCACTTTGGCCCCTCCAAAAATGTTTTAACTTAAATTTTTTTATTTGGATATCGTGAGATGCTGTCTGGTATGACATAGGTTTAGAAAAACATTTTCTTTATCGTGCCAATGTTTCGATCTAAAGAGTTGCAAAGTGCGGCAGTCGACCAAAATATGTTTTACTGTCAGAATGATACGTTATCCACTTTGCATACGTCGAGGACAAGTTGGAAGATGGTTGCCTATTAAAAGACTATTATGGATTAACCTGATGTGACCTATTCACATTCTAGAGAGAATCACAAGTTCTTTTCTCTCAAGTTCCTCAGTTGGCCATTTATGTACAACTGGCTTAATTTCTTTCATACTATCTCTAAAGACATTCCATCTTGACGCCCACTTTCATTTGATAATGTTTTTAACATGAATGACTATATCATCTGGGCAGAGAGGAAATTGATCTGTTCTTTGTGGATGGTTTGCTACGTTCCTTGCCTGTTGATCAGCCTTTTTCATTTCCAGAAATGCCGACATGACTAGGAACCCAAGCAAATACCACATGTTTGTTAAGTGTTCTGATTTCATAGACATATTTGTGAATTTCTAAGATGTATGGGCCAATATTATTTTTATTTTTTTTAAATAATTTGGTATTATACAGTTTTTGTTAAATATATATGACCGTGTTGCAATTTTAAGATCAAGATTTTAAATTATGGAAAAAACAAAATAAAAATTTAACTAAGTGTTCTTATGTAATATGCAATATAAATGCATTTGAGAATAATTTCCATTACCATTGTTATATGTAACACATATTTTTTTTAGACATTGTCTTTTTTTATATTTCTATTTTGTTTTTTGTTTATTTAAATAAAACTTTTCCTGTGGTTTTTAAAAATAATTTTTTTGTTTTATTTTTGTAATAAATTTTTTGGATGTTTTGGAAATTTACACCCATCATGTAATCTTTATCTTAAAGCTTTTTTAAATTTATATTTTTCATTATATATAGCTTATTAAGATATATGACCATTTTGCATCTAACAAGTGCAAACATGGGAGGCAAATCTTAAGTCAGAAGAAATGGCAATGAGAGGACTTGAACGACAATTGGAAAGTCCACAAATATTGGAGTAAGATGACCACAAACTTTTCAAATATTAAGGTGGGATAAAAAATAATTTTTAGTGAAAGTTTATTCACCCGCTCTAATTTAAAAAATGGTGATAGTGAAAAGTTGAAAGAGTGTAAGCAATGTTTGCCTGGCTCTATCCAAACTTTTCTTTTGTCATGACAGAGGCAAGGGAGAGGCGTAAAATTGGAAATAGGCTCGGAGAAGAACTAAAAGGCGGCCAAGTCGAAATTTTCAAAATCTGGCGCAGTGCCATTTGGATTGCATTATCTAATGAAGTTTTCACCCTCCCACAGCTCCGCCTTGGTAGAGGTTATGTATTAAGAGAAGGAGTCGTACTGCAAAGCGAATTTGAGTTTGGATTCCCTTTTTCAGTCTCGATAATGGGAAATTGGTCCTTTTTTAATGTCCGGTCCTTTTAGATGATCCGAGTGGAATCAAGCGGGGGCGTCGTGACATAAGGGTTCGCTTATCCCGTTTCGAAAAAAAAATCCCACCCTTAAATCGGCGTTGGGGAGGGTCGAGATGACCCAGGCGGGCTCGTTCCGGCTTCGATTCGTCGACAGGAGGTGAAAAAAGGATTTTTCCGCATCCTCCCGATGGATATACCGCTGCCGGACGACCCTCTCCCGGTGGGAGGGCTCTCTCTGGAAAATATTCCCGTCCCAGAGGATAGGAACAGGTAACGCTCAACACTATTTTGTCCATTTATTAACGTTTGCGACCGTTTTCTACAGTAGTGACAGTGCTGACGGTCCGAACTGAGGATCCGCTTCTTTAGGAGAATCTCTGTAAAGTCGGGGGAAAGTTTGTTTACTAACTCTTATGAACAACATGACAACATGACTTCAATGTACAAAGCTCTCCTTTCAACACTCAAAAGATCTCCTTGCTGTATGACGGATGTACTGTTAATTCATTAATCAGTGAGAAAAGACGAAGAAAACTCATTCTCCCATCTTGACTAAAAATAACTAATTTTCTTATTGTGAACTTAATTGCGTCAGCAATACTGTGGGACCTTAAATAAACAAAATTCAGACTATTACGGTTGTTTTCCTTTGCATACAAAATAATGGATTCTTATTTTACAGACACAAGTAAAGCATTCTTATTTCTTCTTCATACATACCTTGCTAGAACTATTTGTCAATTTTTTAACGTTTTCACAGTGCTGATGGTCTGAACTGAGGATCAGTTATAGGTGAATTTCTGTAAAGTCGGGGGCAAGTTTGTTTACTAACTCTTATGAAAACATGACTTCAATGTACAAAGCTCTTCTTTCAATACTCAAAAGATCTTGCTGTCTGACGGATGTACTGTTAGTTCATTAAACAGTGAGAAAAGACAAAGAAAACTCATTCTCCAATCTTTACTAAAAATAACTAATTTTCTTATTGTGAACCTAATTGCATCAGAAATACTGTGGGACCTTAAATAAACAAAATTCAAAAATTCAGAGAGTTACGGTTGTTTTTCTTTGCATACAAAATAATGGGTTCTTGTTTTACATACACAAGTAAAGTATTCAGCATTCCAATCTTATTTGAGTTTTCTCTTCTTATTGCCGATTCATAGATACCTTGCTAGAACTACTTGTCGATTTATTCACGTTTTTGACCATTTTCTACAGTGTTGACAGTGCTGACGGTCCGAACTGAGGGTCCGTCTCTTTAGATGAATCTCTGTAAAGTCCAGCAAAAGTTTGAAACTCATATGAACAACAAGTCTACAATGTGCAAAGTACTTCACTCAAAAGACCTTCCTTTCTGCCTGAATATTTCTTGTTAATTCGTTATTCAGCGAGAAAAGACGCAGAAATATTTGGCTAAAAATAACTAGTTTTTTTGTTGTGAACTTCATTGCATCAGCAGTAATGTGTGACTGAAATCAACAAAATTAAAAAATTCAGCCTATTAGAGTTGTTTTCCTTTGCATACAAAATATTATAATGATTCATGTTTTTAGGCGGCTCCTGACATGCGGTATTCGCTGAATGCTGATTGAACATTTATTAAGTCTCGACATTCACCAAATAGTGTGCCTATGTGCACACACATGCGGGGTTTGTACAACCAGCCAGTTTGTGTGAAAACAGCAAATACGTATTTTGCCAAGTGCTGTGCGTGTCCTCAATTAGTACGAATCATGATGGACAACAGTGAAATTGTAATTGCTGCAGCTGTGGTTACTGTTTTGTGCAGTGGCTACAAACTCAGTAACAAATGAGTCACGGAATACTATTGCCCCATATTAACTTTGATCTGTTTCCATTATTGATTCAGCTTGGTATAGATGAGGAACTCCAAGACCTTCGATAGGCCAATCTGGATAACAGAAACAATGCTATGTTGTTCTTCTTTCATTAATATACAATTTAGGAATTGTTTATTATGAAAATAAATAGCAATAAATACTTACTGTTGATTGATGATTACAGTTATTTATTGGTATATATGGCAGTATAGTTGATTCCCGAATGTGTTCACAAATATTTGTGCACTTTGAAGCATAAAAAGAAACCGATAATTAGCTGAACAAGATGAGCACTGATTATTATTGCTTGGTGGATACCGAGCATCTGTCCCCACTTGGTAGGATTTGGCAAATCTGGGATGTCTGGAGCCACCTGTCTGACACAGGTATAACATTCAGCATTCTAATCCCTTTTGAGTTTGAGTTAGTGCAGAACTCTTACTTCTTATTCATACATACCTTCAGTAAAAAATGTTCTGCAGCATGATTTTTGACATTTATCAGGATGATTGAAATACTGGCACAGGTCGGTTTGGTTGATTGTGATTAAAAACATCCTGTACGATTATTGCTTTATTTATTTATTATTGTTACAAAAGCACTAGAGCGCTACATGGAGATTGGGATGAAGGCTCTGTGGAGGCAGGTTTCAAAGAAAAATGAGATTTGAAGGTCTGTGTGGATAGTAAAGTTGGATATGAAATAGGGAGCTTGAGAGTTGAAAGATTTTGGACTGGAGTGAATGGATTCTTTGGAAGTGCAAGTTTTACAGAATTATTGGGAAGTGTTCAGAATGAAAGATGTTTTACTAGGGGATCGGGATGAGGAGCAAGAGGTTGCTTGGTGGAGGCGTATTATCAACTTTTCGCTGCATTGAGGACAAATGGTATTTGTTTAGATGGATAGTAAAGTTTGATATAAAGTAGAGAGCTTGAGGTTTGAAGGATTTTGGACTAAGAGAGGGACTTGATTTATGTAATTTCTTTTTAAATTTCTTGTTAGTCAAACAATGACAACACTATTTATAATGAATTTATCAAATATTAAAATTCTACTGATGTTAGTTAACACTTATTTAGTTAAGTTAACACTTAGTTAAGTCCAGTCAATGTTGTCAAAAATTTGAAACGAATGAGAATAAGGAATCATCAAAATTTAACTTCTGAGAAATTCTTCATCGGTTGATTTTTTTTTTTTACTTGATATAAGAATTTAGGAAATTTTATTTCGAGGTAGATGAGTAGATGAGCAATAATTATTTATTTTATTCAGAAAACTTATATGAATGCCAATTTTTCCAGTATTTATTCTATGCCACTAATACTCCAACCAGAATATTTTGTCTTATTATTATTTTTTTTAAACTTTACCACTATAATAAAACAATCAACTTTATTCAGTACTTATAATATATTTTTACATGTTTAAGTAGTTGGGTATGTATATATCAAAGAAACATTCTCCAGGTATTCTCCAAGTGTTCCAATTGAGGATGATCCAATTGAGGCAAAGCCCGATTTGTCAGAAATCTCTCTTCCAGCATATCCGCCCAAAGGTGAGTCCTCGAAAGCTGTAGTACTTGGAAAGTCTGCAGCTAAAAAGAGACTCTTAGCATTTTCAATGGCTAAACAGAACATTGCACAGCCCAAAAAGAACAAATCTGATGAGGAAAAACCATCTGATCAAGTGGTGAACAAGAAAAAACTGAAAAAAGGTAATAGTTTTAATTTCATTCTTTTATTTGTGATTTTATGATTACTTAATTTTTTATGTGATTTAGGAGTTGTAGATAAAGCGAGAGACACCATATGTGAGATTGAGGAGCTTAAAAGGCAAGAAAAGGAACGGGAGAGCCTTCAATCAGCTACATTTCCATTATGGACAAACCCAGATGACCCGAATTTACTTTTGAAAGCAGGTAAACATTTATCATCATTCACAAATTTAATATGAAATTCTCATTATCAAATTTATTTCTAGATCATTACAGAGTTTCCACTGTTGAAAACCTCCTTGAGTCTGTAATGAAGAAGTCAAAAAGCGAACCCTTTGACTACGAGAAACGAAAGAGGGACAGGTACGGCAGTGATGAAGATCGGTATGAAAGGAGAGATAAGAGAGATAAACGTGATGATAAAAAGGAAAATAGGGATAAAAGGGACAAAGAGAAAGAGCAAAGTGAGCCAAAAAACTGGGGAGAATTCACCAAAGCCGGATTTCAGGTTTACCATTTTCGACGGCATAAATATAAATGGGAGAAGTACACAAATTCTTCAAAACGGAGGACTAAGTTAGTTTTAATTTAACAAATTTTAATTTTAATAAATTGTTCTTTATAATGTATTTCTGATTTGTTTTGTTTTTAGGTATGAATCAGCAGGAAAAGTTGTCAATTTTTTAAATACGCCAATGGTTTTAAGGAAACCTATTTCAGTCAAAGGGGTAAGCGATGATGTTACAAAAGAATTCCCAAGCTGGGGGGTTAAATTTACTTCGACAAGACCTAGCATTTCTTATTCAGTCAATCCCGAACATTGCAAACAGATTACTATGACAAGGGAGGAAATGTTGGAAACCCTTCCAGATGATATACATGAAATTGTTTCCAAATTTCTAAAGTTAGAATCATTTAAAAGATTTAAAGTACCAGATTTCAGGAGGCTGGATAGAAAATACAGCACTGTCGATGAGTTCCTCATCCCTTCAAAAAAAGTCATCACCTACAAATTCAGCGCTATGTATGAGTATGAATTGGAAAATGAGTCCGAATTAAATTATCCCAGTTTGACCAGCAAATGGGAGAGGGACGATAATGACGAATCGCAAGATGTAAAAGTTGATTTCAGCAGGGACTGTAAAGAATCTTCTGTAAGCCAATGGAATAAAGAATCTCTTTCAAGCAATAAATGGGAGGAAGGTGAACATCTATTGCAAAAAGAGGTTATGGATTCTTCAGAGAAAAGTGAAGAAATGAAACTTTGTAAACAAGAAGGAAGTGATGTAAAGGAAGTAACTAATGATGTACAAGAAAAAGAAGCCCAACTATCTGACAGTTCTAGATGTGATGAAAAAAGAGACAGTGAAGAAAATCTGCTGGATAAACAATTCATTGATGAAAAAGGTACATATGAAAATAACAAATGGAATGATGAAGTAAGAGAAGAGGACATAAATCAGTCAACTGACAAACATGAAACATTTACAAGTGGCAGTAATGATTTTATCGAAAATAAGGACAAAAAACAAAAGAAAAGAAAAGAAAATGAGAAACAGAAAAAAAGCTATAAACATAAAAAGAGAGAGTCAGAAAATGAAGATGATACATATGAAAAAACGCTTTCCACTGATAACCATAGTGAGGTTGACAATCAGAAAGACAAAAATGATAGCTTTAATTCAAATACAAGTGATGTTATTACTGCACAAGAACAAATAGATACAACAAGCAAATGGAAAGAAGAAAATTTAGAATTGGAACAATCAGAAGAATTTAATTCTAGAATTAAAGATGAAAAAGAAGATAACAAAGTGAAATTTCTTCAGAGTGAGTCGATAATAAAAAATGAAGGAATGCTGGTTTCTGAATATGAAGAGTTTATGAAAACTATTGAAGAAGAAAGCTTACCAAACAAATCTGACACGAAAGAGAAATCTCCAAATGCTGATAAAGTTGTTGAAAAAGAGACAGATGATACAGAGAACTTTTTAAAAGTGGACTACAAACCTACATCAAATATCAAAAGTCCGGCTAATAGGCAGGATAACCAGGAAAGGAGAGAGAATGCTTGGTCACATACCACATCATTGAACCTAATGTTAGAAACTGCCCTTCCGCCTGTTATTCATTCAAAGGACAATCTTGAAAAAAGCTCTAAAAGAAACATCAAGAAAAAGAAAAGAGCATTATCGGTCTCTTCTAGCAGTTCTAGTAGTAGTAGCTCCAGTAGCAGTTCTAGCAGCAGCTCTAGCACTTCTTCAAGTTCTTCCAGCAATTCTGATAGTGACTCAAGCGAAAGCTCGAGTACAAGCAGTGATTCATCGAGTTCCAACGATTCAAAATCAGCTCTGAAAAGTTCCCACAAGAATAAACAAAAGAGGAAGAGAAAAGAAAAAGTTTTATCAAGAAAAAATAGCAAAAAAAAGAAAAGCAAATCAAAAATTAAATCTAACAAAATTTATCTAGATGATAAAGATAAAACTTTACATAGCACTTGTAAAAATAAAAAAATCATTTCTAATGAGATAGATTTAAGTGAAATAGAACTACCGAAGGATGATGATGCAGTAAGAGGTTCGTCTGACATCATCCACGAAGGAAAAGAATATGTCCCTTTTAATTTTATTAAAAGTGAAAATGTTTCAAAAATAGAAAACACAAATGACACAGTGTATAGACAATCAAATGATGTGAGCTTAAAAAGTGATGGGCCTCCAAAGAGTCCTCATTCATCTTTTAAAGAACAGCTTATTGAGAAAACCCTATTTCCCTTTAAAAGACATTTTAATATTGACATGTTTCATGATAAGACAAAAAATCAGTTAAAAGCACCTTCACCACAACATTCGAATGATATTTTCGAATCCAAACCTGGTGAAAAAAATTCTTCTGTCGATAAACAAGAGAGTAATGACGACTCTCAGGCCAAATCTCTAGAATTGTACAGTCCTACTGTAGATGATGATGAAGAAGAAGATGATAATCTCATTGATAATGCCATTGCCAGGGCCAGTTCTTCCAATTCTCATTTAGACGATAGCTCTCAGATCTTTAGTTTTGGCGTGAATTCTGCGAGCGAAGAGGCTCGTATGCTCGACATTCCACTACCCCCACCTTTACCCGAAGAGACTCCTTTAACTAGTTTCCATAACATTTTACAACAGCCTCCTTGTTCGACTTCACCCAAAACCACTCGAATACAGATCCAATTGCAAAAGTCACCCATCGCTCGTTTGACTTTCGGGAAGCAAGTTACAAAGTTAAAGCCGTTGAATGTTTTTTCAGAGGAATATTCAGATTCGAATTCTAATTCTCCAAAAAGCAGTGTTGCTAAAGAGGATGCTAGAGATGAGAACTTAACTACAAAAGAAGAAAATTTGACCTGTAAAGATAAAAAAGAGGTGGATCCCACAGCAAAATATGAAAATGATTATCATGACGAAGAAAAAAATACTTCCAGCTCAAATCTAGATCTCAAAAATTCTGAAAACTACACAAGGGGTTACAGGTATGACAGAAGAGGAGGAAACCGTTGGAGAGATATTGATAAAAGAAAAAAGGACACCCCAGAAAAAGAAAGAAGGAGAGACAGAGATAGAGTCAGAGACAGGGATAGGGATAGAAATAGAGACAGGTGGAGGAGGAGTCCTAGAGATAGGAGGAAAGATTCAAGAAAGCGATCTCGTTCCAGAGAGAGGCGAAGAAGGAGCCCTGACAGACGAAATTCACCTAGAAGAAGGAATTTTTCATCGCCAAAGAGACACTCTCCTAAGCCGACTCCTCGGAAATCGCCATGTTCTGAAAGAGGCACCCCTCATAGGAGTCCTTCTCCCAATAAAGATAGAAGTATTATATCTCCAGTTAAAATTGAGTCATCTGGTATGGATTTATACGCGGATAGAGAAAATTCAAGAGATTGCAATGATCGTTTAGGTGTTTCTCCAAAAAGAAATCAATTCAACGATTGGGAATCACCAGAAAGGAAACGGTCTCCTCAGTACAGAGGGTCTCCGTTTTATATGAAACATTCTCCTAGAAGAAAGTCTTCAGTTGATATCGTATCACCAAGAAGGGGATCACCACATCGTTATTCTCCACGGAAACGTTCACCACCTGGGCGAAGGAAATCCTCTTGCTCGCCAAGAAGAAATTTGTCACCCGAAACACATGACTATCAATATTCTCCAAGGTCTAGAGTATCCCTAGAAAGGTGTGTATCTCCACACTCTTATTCTCCTAGAAGACAATCGCCTGAAAGACACAATTCAAGACCTTACTCACCAAGAAGATATTCGCAAACTGAAACACATGAACCGCTATCTTATCCTCTGAGGGGTAGATCTCTTGAGAGATGTGCATCACCTCGACCACCAAGAAGGCGATCGCCTGAAAGAGTTTATTCAATTAGAAGGCATGTAGCGCAAGAGATCAACATGTCACCTCGGCCATATTCTCCACAAAGGCGAGATTCCCCTTATAGGCGAGAGGATCTGCCATTACCGCATGAAAGAAACTCACCTAGGGCTTATTCTCCAAGAAGACACTCACTTGAAAGAAAACGTTCTCCTAATACTTATTCTACCTGGAGACATTCCCCCCAAAGAAGGGAATCCCCACGTCCATATTCACCAAGGAAATACGAATCAAATTATGAACGAGATCGTTGCAGGGAATCTCCTTATTTCCGAGAATCACCCTTCCATTCTAAATTTTCTCCTGAGAGAATTAGACGGAGATCCCCTGACAGGGGAGATAAACTGTCCCCAGGTAGAGCGTTTAACAAAAGACCATGTTCACCTATCAGAATGTATTCTCCTTCTCCTGGTAGAAGCTCTCATTCATCACCTCCTCATCATCCAAGGTCACCTAAAGGAAGGAGAAGGTCGTTTTCATTGTCTCCTCCTCGTGGTTCAAGAAAATGGGAATGGAACGAGAGTTCTGTCGATAGAGAAGGGATGAAAATACACAAACACTTCCCCCAGGAAAAACATGACTTCAACGCATGGGAGAACTATAATAAGCCACACATAGAGAATGACTTCCAAACCAGTCTGGCCGATTCGACAATCAGCGACTCAGAGCTTGTTAAAGAATCTTCCTCTCCCAAAAGGCCGTCTTTAGATGAAAGGCTCAAGCTTGTCCTAGGTGATAATTTTGAAACAAGTAAATGTCAAGCACAGCCCACTTCTCAACTCAATGAAGAATATTACTACTACCACAATCCTCCACCGCCTATCAGATGTCCTTACCCACCGGCAGCATTTGTAAGGACGATACGGCCACCGAGGATCCCTGCACAGTGGGATCCTACCCAACCTCCGCCTCCTATCACCAAAGTTGTTCAGGTAATTTAATTATTATGATAAACAAATTTATTTAAAAAACCACTTGAATTTATCATTTAGTGGGTATTATACTGCTCCCTTGTTTGACTATAAATTTTATTATTTGTCCCAGTAGTAAAGGTGATATTTCTTCCATCACTCCTGTTTTATTTTCTTCTGCAGTCTGCAAATGTTAACATTTTGGCAGAATCTGCCCCTCATTGGTGTTCATTGACACCAATCTTTTTCATATGTCCATTGAGTCTGCACTGTCCAATAAATATGTAAAATTGTGAGTCTTCCTGATTACTCATCGTTTGGAATAGCGAAAATTCATATAAGCTGAATAACTAATTAATACAGAAACCAGCAGAAAAATTGCTCTTAGTTTATTGTAAAACAGACATACCAAATTAGGGGATACAAACTTGGGTATTTTGAAAAATAAGTTGGAAGTTGTGAAAAAGTGTATTTTTCATTTCTGACCATTTTGAACATCCTATCCTAGATGTTTCGATCTGTCAGATGTTTTTCAGCTCTCACCACCTTCAGTTTTTAATAATTTTGGTTAAAAACCCTCACTGAAGATATGAACAAGTTGAAACATTTCTAAAAGACCAAAATGTTCAGAAATGACTGAACTTCATCCATTGAACATCAAGGTTCATCACCTCTCAGACCCCACAGTTTATAAAAGGCATCGCAATTGGCAGTAGTTTTTAGTAGGCAAATCAACAATATAACTAGAAAATACAAAAACTAACTTTTTTGTAGCAATTTTATTTTCACACGTGGAACTGTTATTACCAAGCAGAATTTTCAAAATTGCTATTCCTGGTTTATCTTCATGTTGCCTTCTACCCTCCTCTGTTGATTTATTTTCTTGAGGCAAAGTTGTAATTTTGTTTTATGTTGTTTTTTCCATCATATCTACTGTAATTTTTGGCTAAAAAAGGTTAAAATTAGTTTTAACCAATTTAGTACATAATAATAAATTGTTATTTTTCCAGGTTGGAAATGTTTTGCAAGTGGTTCCATCAGATTTGACCCCAGTGGACCAAATAAAACCCCAGCCAAAGGTATGTGATCATTAATCATTTTATTGATTTTGAGTTTTTATGCATCGCAGTTATTGCAGGTACAGAAAGAAGAAACCAAAGGTGTTCAGGTGGTTCAAGTCGGCAATGTTCTTCAAGTAGTGCCCTCTCAAATTCCTACAGTTCCATCAATTCCTTCACCATTGGCTGTTCCAGTCCAAGTGCTTCCCGTTCCTCCTCCGGTGATCGTGCCAGCACCAGCAAAGCCTTCTGAAGAGGAAAATCCGCAACCTGTTTCTCAACCGCCTGCAGCCCCTGTTGAACCTGTGCCTTTGACTATAAACCCTCCAGCACCTGAACCTCCCAGAGTAAATAAAATCAAAAGTCTTCCTTTGCCTCCTGGTACATATATCTATATTTATTTGTCAATTATAACTTGGAATAAATTAATTAACTTGCTTAATAAAATGTTATAGGACATTCTCCTGATACACTTCGCAAAATTGAAGATCGTCAACGAAGGAAAGAAGAGAAAGAAATTAGGAGGAAGAAAAAAGAGGAAAAGGCTGCTAGAAAGTTACGAGTAAGTGTCAATTTAATTATATGTTGTTTTGTTTATTTTTAAATAATATAAAACTGTTCAGAAGACATTCATGAGGGATAAACTGACAATAGCTGAAGAGCAAATATCTGCAGAATTGGTATGTGTCATAGTGAAATTTTTAAGAAATAATTAACTAATTGTTGAATTAATATTTTATACAGAATAAAGAGAATGATAATGTACCAGATGTAGTTAGGACTACGATCTTTCCACCTCCAGACAAGGGGATACTCCTAACAATGGGTTTCGGGTAATTAAATTTTCAACTATTTGTCACATTAGAACATGGCAATTATTTAAATTGTCAATTTTTTTAAAGCTTATTAAATAAGGAGAATCAAAGAAAGACAGTTTCTTTTGCCGATGGGATCAAACCAGGAGAAGGCACTTCTCCTTCAGGAGGAGAAGAACATCCACTTTCACCGCCTCCAAATGTGAGGAAAACCATAAGAAGGAAGAAGAAAAAACGGAAAGTGAGTAAATGGATTTTTTTTTCACAGTTCACAGTTCAACTTGTCGAGTGTAAGTCACAAAAGCCTATACTGTTGATACGACCCTAAATTTATGGTGATCTTTGATCATGTATGAGAAACTTCCCTTAATTAAAAAAACACAAAATTCCTTATAGAGTTATTGCCTTACATTATCAATTCGTACTTGAACTTATTTACTCTTACTTATTAAAATTTAAACTTATTTACTCTTATTAAAATTGGCTTACAATTATTTCATTTTATATTTATCTTTAGGTGAAAGTCAGGCTAAGAGTCGATGGTACTAACACGAAAGTAATTGACGATGATGAAGAAGATGACCTATCACCTCCACCACCTCCTCCAGGAACACCGCCACCTGAGGCGTACTTTGACTATACAAACCCAAATTATGTTTACCCACCTGTTTATCCTAGGGAGTTCAAATTGTGATCTCACAATATGGTTCTCTTGCACAACTGACCATATAGACAATTCAATTCTTGTCGTCAGACACGGAGAGGTTGAGTATAAAGAGAAATAATAAATGAAACTGTTGTATGATTTGATGCATCAGTAAAAAAAAAGTGAGTTGAACTTACATTTTAATAAAAACAGATTTTATTTGGGTGTACATTTGTGTATAACTGTGATTAATCGTTCGTGTAAGCAAACTGCTTGTTAAATCTGTAATCTGTACATACATGTAAGATTTAATTATAAATTTTAAATTTTGTATATTGTTTATTTGTAAAGTTTATATTTATTTTATAATTTTGGGTTTTTAAAACATGTAATATGAAATTTGATTTTGTTTTTCCTATACCAAACAGTAAACGATACTTTGAATTCTTTGCTTTCTTTTTTATAAATTTGAATGAAATGTCACTCTTTCCACTTTGAAGGGTCACTGTGATGTACATTAATAGACAAATGAAATTTCTTGGCATTTATGTATTGCTAAAAATTTTGTAAAATGAAAATAATTATAATGGTTTCGTGCTCATTAATAACGTATCGCCTTACTGTTGTATCTAATTTTCAGCTCAGTGTTTTTAAAAATCAGCTGAGGTATTGTTTGTAAAAGAAGAAATATATAAAGTGTATATAAATGAAATGCTGGATATGTTCAGTTTATTAATGAAGTACCCGATCATATATTTTTAGTGTTTTGTTCGTTTTATTTTTCGAATTTACAACTATAGGATTAACTACAACAAACAAATATGTTAAAAGAGAAATATAGTTGACTATATAGTCTTGAGCAGAGAAATTTGTTGATACACTGATATAAACAAACATTCACTTGTCATTTGCTATCGCTAAGGATTAGACCACAGGGCCATCAGTATTGAAGAAAATCAGAAGTGTGACAGGAAAGTTGGGTTACTGGATTGGGATGATTGCTGAGTGAAAAATGGAATTAGTTGTATCTCAATTTGATGGTATGGGAAAAGGGCTGTTAGGTCATGGTGAAGGTACGATTGGACACATAAGAGCATTTGTAATGCATTGGCGAGTTTTGAACTGGAATAATATGATTCAATAGGAGTTGGATGCTTTTCTAGCCCTGAATTTCTGTACAGTAAGTCTTCATCAGTTTTGGTAGTGTTGAATATTAGTGTTTTATTGGTAAAGGTAATTTGGATTGTCAGTCCGAGTCATGAGAAAAGGTTTGATTATGTATCAAGTACGTCTAATAGAGCATCGTACTGCTCTCCTTTCTTGGCTCGGTTACAGTAATCCTTACATTTGACATCCCAAAGAGCCGGAAGGCCATGATACATTTCAATGAATTGTTGATACTTCACAAACTGACTGATATTGCGCAGTAATGCCAACAGACGGTGCAATATTTTACAGGCTGTACAATATATTTTCAACTTTTCGTCAATCATGCAATGTATTGCACAAACTTTCAATATCGTCTACACACGATCAGTTAAATTGCACAACCCAAAATACTGTGCAATAATATTGATCGTCTATGGGCCGTTTTAATCCCCTTGACTATAGTGGAGCATATGCCAAACATGCTTTTCATCTTGTCTGATGAGTGCAACAATTTTTTATTTTAAACTTGTAGATCAGGGGGCACCAGAGAGAAGAACAGTAAGGGTTTTTACTTTGAATCCCAGTGGCCCTGATTATGAACACAACATACAAATGAAATTTTTTGCAAAAAAATCAGAACTCAGTGGTTAAATGACCACATAGTTGAAATTCGGGGAAAAACATTAAATCAATTTAGAATATCAATGACTCAATGATATCCCAGACAGGACCAGTCAACGACGATTCCAAATAGATTTTTTCTTTTTACCAGCTCCAATCTATCTGAAAATTCCTTCACTGGCATTTTTAGTGCATAGTACATGTCAGAAAATAATTTGTGAAAAAATACACAAACTATTGAGTTGAACTTCTCATAAACAGACATCACCCAAAAATGGGATTTTGTCCAATTAATAAAAGTGTCTGCTTATAAGAAGCATCTACCCTACATATAAAAATTATTAAGTACATTAAGTCAAGTTAAAAAGTAATTTAATTTGAACGAATGTATGTATGTAGTGTGTAAACAGACAGTAATTTTCCTTTTCTCATGTACTTGTCTGACTTCAACCTTTCTCTGACAGAAATAACTTTTTTACCCACATTCATCTCCCAATTTGGTTTGTCACAATCTCAGTCTGAGAACTGACCAGGAAACGCCAAAAGCGTTCAAGATGGTTGTGAGAATTTCTGAAATATTACTGGTTTGCAAGTATGCAACACGTAAAATTTATGTGTTAAATCCTGAGGTGTTCTTTCTGCTGTCAGCTTAGAAATTTTTCATTGAAAAAGCTATAAACAAAGTGCGTGTCCCCCAGTGAATTTGGTTAAAAATAAAATTGAAATAAAAAATTAAGTTAGAAAGTAAAAATTCAAATTTATTTAAAAAAAAATAAACATATCAAAAATACAGCTATTTTATAAAAATAAAAACTTGAACTAAAAAGAGCTATTCCTTTTTAACAATATATCACTTACTAAATATTCCTCCCTTCAAAGCACTGAGAGAGTTCAATTAAAAATATAATAGCTGTAATAACAATCATACAGGTCAAATTAATCAATCAAAAAATAATTTTAAATTAAGTATTTTATTATATTAAAAAAATAAAATAGTCAATGTATATTTTAACTGAAAAGTTAAAAACAAAAACTCTAAAGTGACCGATGCCAAAATTTATACAATAAATAAATAACGAGTGTAAGAAACAACCCAATATCGCAATATACATTTTAAATTACCTACAATAAATCTTATTTGTAAAAAAATAAAAGAAAATATATCAATCAATAAGACAAAGAATTGAGTTTTTTGCTTTTAATTAGATAAATATATCAAATTTATAAGATTAACGATTATACGAGGAACACAGATATTTGAAGTAATTCACAACATAAATACAATCTTGACCGTAGATATCGATCCACAGAGTCTTTGAACAAAAAGTATTTCATCATTCACAAAAGCAAGCAGCATTTTTTATATTTTTATTGCATTGGATCCTTAAAATCATAGAGTAAAAGTTAATCTCCTGTGTTCCTGCTTGGCATCAATCAAAAAATCTACTATTACAACTGTAGGATGGGACTAATTCACACTTCTACAATTAGATATCGAAGAATTACACCGACTAAAAATATTTTAACACTTAGAAGGAGGGGGACAGAATATATTGAATAAAAGATATTCCCCTTTTATCAGCAATTGACAACAGACTTTCTGAAGTACTAATTTTACTAAATTGCCTGAAATTCAGTTAATTTTTTTTTGCTTTTTGTTTTGGTTTGCTTACAAATATAATATAAAGTATAAAAATATATTGTCATTGCACCTATTCGAGAAAAGCAATTTGTGCAGACCAGTGAAAAAAAGTTATATAAAAATGTGATGTAAAAGTTTTATATAAAAATAATGTTAAGACTATTATCAACACATCTCATCACAAAGTTTGGTTGATTGTAAGATGTTCTTGATTTTGTTTTTACATTACAAAGTTTATTTAAAAAATTGTTATTTTATCAAAATTATTGTTAAATGTTTACAAATTTCCTAAAAAAAACCGATCCTTGATAAAAAAATTTCTAAGAGGTAAAAAAAATTCTTTAAAACACACTAAATATTGTGTTTCATCATGGTAACTACAGGGTTTGTATTAGGTTAACACTTTTTACCTAAATTATCTACACTATACAATCACAAAAGAAATTTCATTAAAAACAGAATATCATAAAGGAACTCGATATTAATAACGATTAATAAACGTACATATACATGAAAGTTACATGTAAAATCAAATAGTTGTGTTAATTAGAATATATAAGTGGAAGAAAAAAGTTTGAGAGAAATTGTGAAGGTTTTAAATTCATAAAAATTAGATCCCCTAGGCTACTACTATGACTTTCGCTAACAGGCTACCATGAAAATTATCACGTTTGTTTCATCTAAGACTTTTATGGCACCTTGAAATGGTTCGGCCAACCAAATACTGCTCTCGGACGGTCTGCTGTTTCTTTCACAAGTGGCTTATGATATTCCCTTCCAGGTCGAGAATGGATTGTTGACCAGCAAATTTCACAATAATACTAAAATAAAAAAAGTTAACAAGAATTAGGAACTTTTAGGCTTTTGCAAAAAATAATATACAACTATTTTCAAATTTGTATGTATTTAAAAAAATACAGTTGTTTCACTGCATAAATAAAACCCCCAATATCCCAAATATACCTAAAAATATACAGATATATTTTTCATGTATATTTTCTCATGTTCTTTCATACCTAATATAAAAACAAAAACAAAATATTTAAAAAAAAGTAATATTTTCCTATAGCAACAGAATGTATAAATAATGAAATATATCTCATTGTTATTGACACAAACACATAAATATTTAAGTTATATATTGTGTAGTACAATAAGCCCATAGCACTTTTCAATAATTTGATAATTTTTTTGTGTTTTGAAGCAATGTATGTCTAGCCATTATTGTTTTGCATACTCTGAAAAGGGTTTAATTATTATTATTATTTTTTTTTTATTTGCCAATTTCATTCATGATCTTGTATTTTCATGAAGTGTTTTGCTAACTTAAAAAGAAGGAAAACATTGTCCATGTTTGTCATTGAATGCTTTTTTTTATCACCCCAAGAACTGAGACAGTTCAAGTAAGTGCATGTCAGGCTACTAGGAAAATTTGTGAAATCTATGATGAACTTTACGAGAAGCCACTGTCTAAAAGTGGTTTGCTTACCTTTTGTCACAATAACCCACACTTAACAATATAATACAAATAAATTCACTAATTTTGTGGTCCGCTTGACCAATTAATATATTACAATTAATTAAGGTTTTTAGTTGAGATAAAAATTCGAATCCCACTTGTGCCATTGACTTTTTTATCTCAACTAAAAACCTTAATTAATTGTAATAATACAAATATTTCAACACTGGATGTCTGAATGATATATGATATCTGCTCATGTCAACAGAAGAATTTATTAATACATTTGTGAGTCCCTCTTTTTAAAATACAATGCAGCCGATAGCCTTTTAAAAAAATGGATCCTTTACAACGGGGCTTCACAAACTATTCCACAGACCCCTTGGGAGTCCATGGTGAACTTCACGAAAAATTAATAATTACAAAAATAAACATAGAATGAATAAATAAAATTAAAAAACTAATAACAGTGAGTACTGAAAATGAAAATTTTTATTTTGAAGCATAGTCATTGGGATTCCACAGATACCCTTTAGCTACGAAACAATTGCCAGCCTCTTTTAAGAAAGTTTTGGATGAGTCTTCAAATTATTAATTATATCAAGTCAGGGCCATTGAAATCAAGACTTTTCTCAAAACTATGCGTCGGTATGGGAAGCCTTCATCATTTCCAGCTTCACCATACAGAAACTAGGTGGCTATCTTGTGCAAAAGCACTTTCACAATTACAGGAATTACATTTTGAAGTTTTATCTCTGTTGATGGACCATAATGTCAAATTGGCCAAAGTTTTCAATTATGAGAAATGGCAATGTGTACTGTCGAATTTATCAAATATTTTCATTAAAATGAATTATGGGTCTTTCTTTGCATGGGAAGACTATAACAACTTTTGATGCTAAGTTCTAGACTTCAAAAGAAAAATCCAGTTTTGGGTTTAATCTGTCGAGAAGGAAAATATTATCCTGTGTTAAACGATTTTTTAAAAGGAAACCAACTGGAGCTTGCGAACAGCTCGAGATAATACAATGCTGCAAGACCACGAATGGGTGGTCGAACCATTTCCTGTTTTTATGAAGCCAACCATACTATCTTTAAGTAAATACAAATAAATGTTTGATAGACATTACTTCAGTCTTGGAATCTACTTTCGAGTCCGATACCTCCATTTTTGACTCTGTCTGGAAAACAAAAAAATTTGGAAAAAATAAAATGTGTCCTTCCATTTGCCACAACTTACTTTTGGTAATCCATATTTTTTTCACTAAACCCTAAGCTGTCTAGAGGCTGAACTAGACATCAGTCTCCAGTATCAACAATTAAAACCAACATATCTAAATTGTGCAGGTTAAAATAACCTCACTTTTCCCATTAATTCAATAATCATTAATGTTCAAATTATTACTTTGTGATGATCGTTCGGATGAAAGGAATCTGCACTGTGGAAGAGAGGGGACGATCACCACAAACACATTGGAAAAGGAGGAGATAAGCATCTATCCAAAAAGGAGTGCGCTGGCAGAAAGACGTCTATAATTTACAGTTTTGTGCCATATTAAAAATTCAAGGTACTTATATCTTTGCGATTCATTTCGGTTAATTTTGTATTTTGTTTAAAGTTTTTTACCTCTGAACATTGCCTGTTAAAAGATTACTAAAAGATTGCTAGAAAAAAGTATTTCTCCAATATTGTTAATTTTTTGTTTGTTTTACGCCAAGAAGAGGCTTTTTTTTTTAAATATATTATTTAGCGTATGTCAAATTTAGTTTTTTTATTGTATAAGATCCGCCATCACAACTTTTGAATTTGGCTTGAGTTTTACATACCTACTGATTCCGTTCTGTCCAATTTTATTTTGTTCCGGATTTTGTAAATAAAGGTAGTGTGTCAATCTAATGCTTGTTTTCATAGTGATAGCTCTCTCTGTCAACAAATTAGGAATGGACTGGCTAATTTCTAACACTCAGTAGCTAATTTTAAATACTTGAATGCGAGGGGTCCGACCTAGATTTTGTTCTCTGAAAGGAATCCGCTGGCTAAAAAGTTTGGGAACCCTATTTTACAACACTGTTCAGAAAGGAAAATTCTTGGTGGAACACAGTCAACGTTAACAACTCCCGAAGCTAAATTACATATCAAGAAGGTAATGTGCGTTTGGTAGGATTGGAAGGGGGTGTTCTATTATGAAATTATCTTATTATAACCAAAAATTCTAGCATAATTAAAGTCAGCAATTGAGCAAAAAGATCAGCATTGGCTAATCACATTGGGAATTGTTTTCTGCTAGGGTAACACTTGCCCACATGTGGATTTTTACTTATTCTGAGCTTTGAATGATAAAAAAGCATTAATTCACACGTAGAAAAAAATGAAGTGCTAGAAGGCTTGAAGGGCAAAATTACATGAAAGATGGCAACATGTAGTGGAACAAAAAGGTCCATATGTTGCTGATTATATTTGTTAAAATTATCTATGATTTCCATAGAATTTATTATCCAAAAATGCTACTGATTTATTTTACAATCCAATAAAATCAGTTCATATAAAAAGAATGCATATGCATTATTAAACAAATAAGTAAAGGTTTGAACACTTCGTAGATGTTCCTTAAATATACATATGGACTTACTTGTAAGCAAGTAACATTTGCACAGAAAAATGGAGCAAATTTGCCAAGACACTTTTGGCCTTGACATTCATCACACAACTGGTCGTCCAAAACATAGGGTTTAATTTCAACCTAAAAAACCAACAATATTTTTAAAAAAAATCTATATAATCATGTTTGAAAGAAATGTGCATTTCGTATATACCCTTTTGTCGATGTCTCCATGCTGGAGTTGAACATATCTTCCATTGATTGCTGCAATATAGCTTTGCTGGTTGCTGAATGCAACCCTCCCAGCACCCTTGGGGTATTTTAAGTCTGGATCGGTGTCAATCCCAGCATAACATACACCACCATACAATTTTTCCATTATTGTAGCTAACTCCACTGTAATAATATAAAATATCGTGGAAAAAATCACAAATAAACAGTTATAATTAATAAACAGTTTTTAAATAGGAAATACATACCGGCTTTTAATGGTCTAGGAACTCCTCCAACAAACACGGTTTTTCTAGGGTCTAAAAGCATTGTTGCATCAAGAACAAAGTCGGCATCGGAAAGTTTCCATGGCCTGATTTGCACTGGTTTATCCTTGATCGTGGGAGATGATACATATAAATATAATTTACCATCTTCCTTAACACAAGAATCAATTAAGTTTTGGACTGAATTTTTATCCTAGGGGGAAGAAAAAGATAAAACTTAAGTTTTTTTCTCCTATGTTTTATAAATTTGTTATCATTATACCTGAAAGAGCAAAAAAGCATATCCTTTGGGAGGAAAGTAAGAATTATTTTCAGCCTTATGCGGCCAGTCGACTGCTAGTGAACCGAAACGTCTAAAGCTAGCAGTTATTTCTTCTAAACAACAAAATTAACAAAGTTAAAATATTTTCTTTAGTATTTTTATTTTTAAATAACAAACCTTCATCTATATCAGGAGGAAGACCTCCAACAAACACTTTACGCGAATACTGTTCTCCGAGATCAGCAAGTTGAGTAAATTGAGGAGTTGTTGGCGGGCAATAAAGTGAAGTCAAAGGACACTCTTGTTGATACCAAGTTGCCATTTTGATGACACACTACCAAATGGGTGAAGAATCGGCGTTTTCTGAATTAATTTGTGCCCACATCTATGGAAAATAAACAAAAAGTTGTTTTTAACAACCAGTTAAATATTATAACAAACAAACGCCATGCATTAAAGATCATTGTTACTTATAAGTTTAATGAACATTTTTCCTTCCTGTTTATTTGATACCTATCAGTAGATGTAAAATTATACTAACATAAAAATAATTTAACAAACATATATATAGGATCCATGAGAATAATTTCACATAAACCACTATTGTCTACTTCTTTTCTTTCTATACCTCCTCAGCCAGTAAAACAAGTCACATAAATCACATAGTTTTATGAGAAGACTATGTAATTTTTTTATAATGCAAATCTATTTTCGTATAACTGCAGAGGCTACAGGGCAAACTTCAAATTCCAAGTGTGGGTCATATTTCTCTGCAATAGCTTGAACAGTGAGAAAGTTAGCGTTTTTTTGTTTGTTTTTTTCAATATTGCCGACTGATAATGAGACAATTTTAGACTATAACAAAATATTTTATTTTTTAGACAAAAGCTCCAGAAGTATAGATTCACCTTGAACAACTTAGATAATATAGACGGACAGATTATACTTATAATATGGTTGAAACCTATGATTTCGGCCTGCAATCCTTGCTGAGTTGAACTATCAGACACATTTTGGTATTTCGCCATCTTTGGTTTGTCTATCATGGTAAATGCTGAAATACATCTGACAGACCAACCAAGCAAGGACAGGCAAACCAAAATCATTGGTAGTGACCAAATTACAGGTTCATCACTCCATAGAAGACTAGAAAAAATCTCAAATTTTATCTATGTTGCAAATCGAGGTTGAAATGAACTTTTCTATTCATCTGAGGCAGATTTTAATTTAAAAAAAGAAGAAGGATTTTAACTATTTCAGTTATTGTACTATTCAATTAGAATTATTAGCTTTCTAGCCTGAAGGAACATTAAATAAATTGTGTATTTGGCAACCAACAGTTGATAATGTGGTTGAATTAGTGAAATGCGGTTAGTTTTGATGTGAGTCAGAAAAATAACTTTTTTCCTTATTTGCTGAGGTTTCGACATCAAAGTGATGAGCTGACTAAAGGTGGAAACCTCAGAAAATAAGGAAAAAAGTTGTTTTTCTGACCCAGATCAACCCTGACTACATCTCAAATCACCAAATTAAACCATATAATCTTCAATAAATTGTTTACTTGCAGTTTCAGTTTGCTATTCATCCTGGTCAAGTAGGTTTCTGAATTTATAATTTTGTCCCTTGTATATGTAAGTGATGTGATTTATATTTTACAAACTTATAAAATGACCAATGACAAAACTTAGAAATATGAAGTCACATAAAAGACCTTTTTATAAACCACACATTTCATTGCCTTGGCAGGCAGCATGACAAAGTAGCCCAAAATGATCCAGACAATCAAGGTGGTTTTTCTCTTGCAAATTTCAATTATTGAACTGTTAAAGTTTGAAAAATACTGCCTCAGTTTTCATCCACATATCCCCCAAAAGTTGGTTATTTTTTGTTAAATGAAAACTAGTTGGGTCAACTTGTGATACAAATTGTGAGTTTAGAAAATCACATTATGATTACTGTGCCAATAAATTCTTGATTTTTAGAGATTGAAACATATGGACCTAAGTTCACAAGGGAACTTACGACGTACTATGCAATAAGCTTTTTATTTTCAACATTGTCAACTGACACTACGAAAAAAGTTTTTGAACATAACGAGTTTGGTTCTGTAGATAAAGATTTCAGGAGAATGAACAGACAAAACTCTGAACTATGTAAATTAAATATCAAGATATATGCAAAAGATCTTTTTATAAGCTACATTTTGCCTGGGCCAGGCAGGCAGGTCCAAATGATTAGAGATGATCAGGCTGAAGTTTTCGCCCCCATACTTCAATGTTTCACAGATAAAATAAAACAAGCTGGGCCAATTTTTAGGCTGAATTTAGTCATTATCATCTGCCAAACCCTGGAAATTGGTTATTTCCTTGTTAGTGAAAACCAGTTAAGAGTTGTGTCAACTGGTGATAAACTCGAGCTGTGAAAGTTAAGAAAAGCCATATAACCAATAAATTGGTGTTTTTTAAAGGATAAAACATATGGACCTAGGTCCTCTAGGGTACTGACCCTGTACCACCCGTCAAGTCATGCGGTACGCACGTGGTTAACATTTACAACAGTGTAATTAAAAAGATATATTAGTAAATTATCAACCGCGTTTTGGATTGCATCTACAAGGTAAAAAAAAAGTACCCTTTGAAAACAACGCACACTGATTTTCAAAGACTAGGGGAAATAATTGTAAAATACTTACACATCTCTTTGTCATTCGATATTGCGCATCGCATCCACAGTCGGCCCTGTATAAAATCTATTCCATCCAGTAAAATCGAGCCCTTTTGGAAAATTGACGCCCCGTTCCGAAGGGACGGAGGAAAAGGGAGATGGAGCAAAATTAGATTAATCGAAACGAAGATGCAAAATGGAAATTGATAATAATGATAACCGCGCGCACTCATGTGAGCGTTGTTGTTCGCCCATTCATCCCTTCTCCCTCCAAATACGAATCTTCCACGTCTCACCTTTCAATCAGATTTACTCCACATAAAACAACGTCAGAAACACTTATTATTTTTAAACAAAAATTGCCTAGACCCAAACTCGCAATAAGAATAAAAATTCTCAAAATTGAATCAGTTTTTCAATATTTTATGATTATTTATTTATTTTAAAGGTACAAAAGGGCTTTAAGCCATGGTTTCATGTACAAATACTAGAAATAAATTTAGCTGTATAAACATAATAAAATAATAATAACAGCAATAATAATAACAAAACATATAATAAAATATATTTGGTCGACTTATTTTTTATTTTTATTTTTTAGCCTGACTCCATTATTATTATTATGGCCAAATTTTTAAATCATGGAACAAGCATTTGAAATTCTAATTATAGAACGGGAATAAATTTTATAATTAAAAAAACATTTTTTTGTGTTCATTTGGCCTTCCAAATTAAGTATTTAAAAGGATAAATTAAAAGCTTTGGATAGCAATAATTTATGAGTGAATGTTTGGAGTCAAAGCTTTACAGCACTCAGAATTTCAAACCTAAGATTGAAATTAAATTCACTAATTTCGTGGTCCGCTTGACCAATTAATACATTACAATTAATTAAGGTTTTTAGTCGAGATAAAAAACCTTAATTAATTCTAAGATAGAAGGTTCAAATGTTAGAGCGTGAAATCAACTTAGCCATTAAAACATCCTTAAAAATTAATAATAATAATAACGTATACAAAACAATAATGACAATAATATATTCTTTAAAATATTAGATAGATAGATTAAATAGGAGCTGGCCTCTTTACGAGCTGTGCACTGCGGCCAGTATTGGTATATTGTACATCTCTATTTTGTTTATCTAGAGCTCCTCATTAAGCTTGAGGCTTTTTACTAGAACCCAAAGCTTTCTCAAGGGCTCTCGTGTGTTTCCTTCAGGCCCTGGCTTTTTCTCTCCCAGGATTAGGAATCTCAGCTTACAGGATAGCATAGGCCTTCGTACCAACAGAGGATGTGTTCCGCTGTTTCTTCTTCTTCTTGGCAATATCTGCACATCCTTGTTTCTGCCACTCCGAGTCTATATATGCCTCCAAAGTCTGTACTGCTAACTGGAGTCCAACTATTATTCTAGTCCTAGCATGTTCTAGATTTAGTAGCTCTGCTGTTAGTTTCTGCAATGGTACTTTGATAAATTTTTTCACATGTGTCTGTCCCGAGCTACATTCCAATTGAGCAGATTAATAAATTATTATTAATCCTTAGTCTAACGGATCCGCGTTTTTGGGAGCTTAGTCAGCCATAAAATGGCTCAGGGCCAGTAGGTATCCTCATTGAACTTTTCTTGATGTAACTCATAGATTTTGTATGTTTTCAAGTTGATGAGTATATCAGGTGTATTTGTCTAGGAAGTATTTGATTACATGGAATGTAGTCAAAATGGCTTTTTTATTATACAAAATTATGGAAAGACAAACAAAAATCAAAAAGTACTATGTCAGATTTACCACTAAACTAAAATATTAAATTCTAGATACAAGATTATTTGTGGCCACACTCAACTTCACAAGGCCACTAGAGAATATTAATTTATTTTTTGACTAATACACATCCGTCTCTGGTAATACAAGACTTCTCTAGAAGATGAAACAATCTGAACTTACACTTTAAACCTAAGTGTCATTGATGATCAATCACCAATTGACACATTTGGAAAAAAATCATAATAAACAAAAGCATATAAATTATTTCACCAATTTCATTTTCTTATTATTTTCCAAAAGTTTTTGTAGTTAATTGCTAAATAATAACATATGGTAAGTGTATAATCAATCATATGTGTTGACAAATACATTTTAAAAGGTGTACAGGGAAGATAGATGTTGAAAGATTTATACATTAAGGCATAATAAAATGAACAGGATGTATAGAAAGTACCTGGTGTTGCTTGACAAATGGCCAGTCGACACTTCCAAGCCATCGCAGGATTTGGGCCAGTATATTCGCGAACGGATGAAATTAGAATTTGAAAATGGCAAGCTGTCAGGTTCGACGAGATGTCAAAACGAATGCAGCAAGATATATTATTGCATGACCCGCCTTGCGGACAGCTATTACAAAAGACTTTATAAACGAGTGTACAATACGTCTTCGACTGGGCTGACGGCCAAGCAGTGCAAGCTCATACTTTCAAAAGATTTCAATGAGAGGCACAATGAGGAATCTGAAGTTTACAAAAAATTACCACCCATTAAAATATATAATAGCTGATCAAATAAGTATATTTTTACTAAAATATAAAGGAGAAGTGTAAATAAAAAAATTATTAATGCATAAAAAGTTGTGTTAAACAAATCAATTGGTATTTATGTTGAACAAAAAGATGATCATGCCATTTTCTATAATAATTTATTGGACTAAATACATAAATACAATTTACACATTTTTCAGTTTAAAGAAGATTAAAACTCTTCTTTAGGACAAAAATGCTTAAACAGAACACAATTGTGTTTAAGAAAAAAGTATTTAAGTAAATATATTATTTATTCATATTGATAAAATTCTCTTAATCCAATGATTATAAATTAATTATTTATTAACTATTATTGTAATTGATATTTTGTTTTCTTTCCTTTCAAAATAAGGATTTTTTTAAATTTATAACAATGTGTATTATTAAAATAGCTTAAAATATGATCAAACTATAAGTTTAAACATGTACATTTATAAAATAAATAGTTTTTAATAAAGGAATGTGAATTCTTAATTAAGTGTTATGGAATTTTTTTTTAAATTTGCAAAAGTAGGTTCTCGTCAATAATCTTCATATTTTTTAACCTAAAGAGGCTCAATTTATGTGATAAATACATAGAGCCTAAACTTCATTTTCCACTGCATTGGAAATTTAAAATTATACTCTCAAAGTAAGACAAAAAATAAAATTAAAGGTCGAACTAAAAGAGATCAACAACATTGTTTGATAGATCGTTTATACTCTCTGGATTTCAAAGAGTTTGACATCTGTGTCGTACCAAATCGGTGGATCAACGTTTCTGAAAAAAAAAAAGAGATTTTAATACAGCCCAAAGTATAAGTTTCATAGTTGCACAATATATTATTATTTTATATTAAATTTTTATTAATCAAAACCAACAGATAGTTGTTCTCATTTATCTGTCTATATGAAAGGAATACGAATGTCTAATTTCTGACAATGCTGACTTTTTACATTTTAAATTTATAAAAGAGCTCAATTGACAAAATGAAACAGAACGACTGCCATGTCCAAATGCCGAAATGCGTCTGAGAGTACTAGCGAGAATAATCAGACCAGGATGGTCTGAGATTCATGTAGCATCTTGTAGACATTGACAAAGCTTACCTTAAATAAATGACACCCCACATATAAGTCCTAAACCAAGTAGTTGTACCAGCATTCGCCTGGTACTTTCTTATCAATATGGGATGTGGCACTGGTAACAATCCGACAAGAGTACCGTGTTGAAGAAATTTCAATATTTCACTTTCGTCAGTCAAGCCCCTGATAGAATAAAACTTGTTACATGGTTGATTTGATTTATTACAAAAACCAAAACCAAATACATACTTATCAATACAGATTTTTTCAACTTGAGGCACAAGCACTTGAAGTAACCTCATTATTGTTTGTAACGGTAATTTAGTTTTCCATGAATTTACCCAATCTGAAGTAGCAACCCATTGGGTTGAAGGTTTTGATCCCTTGAGAGAAAAAAATTACAGTAGTTCTAAGTATTATAGTTATTAGTATAAGTTATTATATTCAATATATTTACCACTGGAGAACTAACAGTAGGTTTTTTACTTGTAGTTGCTAGTTGTTGTGGTGACGATGAGGTTTCATTACTTCCGTTAATGGTAAGAGTAGTTAAATTAGGTAGATCACTAGCCTTAGTATCAGTCTCACCACCACCCTCAGCAACATGTGCTGATTCTCTTCCAGTCATTTTTTCAATCCCTGAAAAAAATTGTTGTAAAAAACAAATTATAATTTTATCGATGTGTCAAACTTACCAGGAGTATCTGGCAGTGTTGCTTTCAATGTTCCAGGCTCAGCTGGCAGAGCTGGCCTGCTACCCTCCATGCTGGGACTTTCAGGCTGGCTCTGGCCTGGAATGTGCCGGCGGCTACTCCTCCTACTTAACGATTTTGTTATAGTACCATAATCACTAGGGAGATTTGCAAGACTGTGGAATACTTGTCTCTTTCTTATTATCGTGTAAACAAGATTAGAATTACCTGAAAATTGTTTGTAATAAAAAAAAAAATCTCTGAATGCTTTATAATATTTTAACTTACCATCGAATTGATACTGGATAATATTGTTGAAAATTTCAAGCAAGAAGAAAACTAAATGGTGATTTGACGGTGAAGAGAAAAGAAACCAAGGTGTACTAAAGGCTTCGAGTAGATGCAGGAGTTTTGTGCTGGCAACCATTGACAATGTCTTCAAATAGGGCGACACTACAAGGGACAATAAAAACTTTTACTTCTACTTTTATTAAAATGCTACTATGTGCCAAAATATTATTAAATCCTACCATTGACCAGAATTGTCAAAAGACAGTCAAACAAAGGTTGAAGTCTTTGGTGGCCAGTTGTTATTATTTTATGGAAGACTGTGATTAATAAATCTGCATGAGTGCCTGCACAAAAGTGAAAAATATCAATGTTTTTATTTACCTCTTATGTCTAATTTGAATTGCTACCTAGACAACTTTTTTGCATTAAAAAAATAATAAAAATAAAATAAAATAAAAAGATAAAAACACCATGTACCTCACACTACATATTACATGATGAAAAGTCCATATTTAGGAACATGCAAGCTCGGTTAGGAATCAATACCCATATACACTTGGGGTGCCTGTGTTTTTAACAATGTAAGTATCCATTTATGTTTAGTGGCCTAATTGACCAAATTAATGATTTCAATTAATTATTCTTTTATGACTTTTAACTTCTTCATCACAACCAAGATCTTACATAAAAAAAATACGATTTGTAAGTTGCTGGTTTTGAACCAGGTACCTTTACCGGACTGATGAGTTGCCATAATTATTGCAGTCACCAGCACCCCTTTCACTTGTGACTTTATGGGGCTAACAGTAACATATGTGATACATCTGCAGTGTCTTTACGAGACAAATTTATCATTTATGTGACATGTTCACTTGCAACGAAATTGTATCGCACGTGTATCTTCAATACAAAATGAAACCAAATTGTATGAATTATGAACTGTAATGTTTAAAATATAAAATTAATAATAATTATTGAAATCAAGTTTATTTTTGACATCAATAAACTCAAGGAGACAAAAATAATATTTCAATCAGCTGAAAATAAGCATTGCCTCTGTGCAAATATACTTTACAAAAAAATAAATTCTTTCCTTTTTATAAATTTGATGATTTTAAAAGATAATGCAAAGGAATAATCTTCCAATAAGTTAAAACCTTTAAACTTTTAAAACCCAACTTTTTGCATAATCACGTTAAAATCTTTCAAAATTTTTAAAATAGGAGAAACAAAATGAGTAGTGGAGGCGATTGCACGGTTCTCCTGAAAAGAAAGATCGTTGCGGCAAAGTGTAAGGCGAAAATAGCTGAGCTGGAAAAACAGTACAACAGCTTGCTGGATGAGATAAAGCAAAGGCAGAGAGAAGAAGAGACTTGGAAGAGGAAGGAGAATAATTTGTTGAAGATCTACCACTATCTGAATTACCTCAGGGACGTTCAAGAGAGAAAATATGACGAGGAACGGGAGCTTGCAAAAGCAGACGTTATTGACATAAATGAGCAAATAACCAACTACGAACTGTTCATTAAGAACACATCAGAAAACAACGATCTTATATCATCATTTCTCTGTATTTTCGCCTCAAAAATGGATGAAGTTTATGGCAGTAAGCTAGAAACTTCGATATTAGTTTAACTACCTGTAAAAACTGGAATGTCCATAGGTATTGTAGCTGTGTAAGGCTTATTTAGCCGTACTCCAAAATTTCTTTCACCACTCAATAAAAGTATGATAAAAACTCCAATATGCATCAGACCAACTCGTGCTAGAAATAAGTTACAAGTAATTGCCAAATTGAGAAATTAACTGATGCACTGTCATTAAAAAAACAACCTTACATTGATCTGCTCTAGAATCATTGAGATGGTAGAGTATGGGAACCAGAATTTCTAGCACATCACTACTTTTTAAAACATAATATAAAAACTTCTGAAACAATAAAATCATTTTGCTCAAGTTAGTTGTTTAAATGAGTAAATATAAGTAATTTTTACTAACAACGCATCTAAAATTTTAAAAGGGCAATGGAAATCTTACCTTATTATAATCACACATCTTCCAGAAAAATACTAAAAGCTCTTGATGAAACTGGACCTTTTTCGTTGAGTTTGGGAGGTATGTTTGAACAAGAGGATTATTTAAAAGTCTTGTAAAACCCCTGAGTACAAAACCAAAGTCTTCATCTCTGTGTATTCTTGAGAGGTAGTTGATAAAAAGGTTGTCAGGACAATTTGTCTGTAAAATCTATTATATCAATACAAATATACAAAAACAAAATAAAGTCCCACAAAAGTGATATTTACATTATAAGAATGTGATGAATCGTGATCTAAAGTGACGATTAGGATTTGTAAAGCAGCATCTACTAAAGGCTCAGAAGTATCAGAGAACAACAGATGGTTGTATGGTAGACCTAGCCCGACAGGATCATACGCACAGACCGTATTGAGTAAAGACGTGAACATAGGGAGAGCATGCCTGTTTTCAGCAGAAGTGAGGTATTGGACCCATTTATTCGGAGCTGCCTGTAAATCTGTAATGTGCGATAGGTATATTTTTAGTTTTGTTTTGCAATATTAAGCAACTTACCAACTGGTGGTTGGTACATCGTCTCGCTAAAACAGGTGAGGAGTAATTTCAATAATTCAGTCCTCGATGCGTTATAATTGGCGTAGTGTGGAGGCGAATGGGCAAATCCAACGCCTGCTTCCCAAATATATTCACAGCTGTCTATAGACTGCAAATCTTCAGCCTTATCCTTAAAATTATTTTGTTTTAGTTTAAATTAACAAAAGAGAGGGAGATACATTGTATATATTTATTATTAAACACTACATATAGAAATTAAAAATTATAAATCAGACAATTTGAAAAATTAAGAGGCATAATTAAATATGAAAGAGCACTTACTGGTCCTGCTTTTTTGCTCGCTACAGTGAAATCAGGGCAAAATAGAAGGTCCTGTAAAAAAATACAAAACAATTAAACATAATTGTAAAACATTGTGTTGGTGTCTGTGATTGATGAACCTGCGGCTTGACTCTCTGATTAACCTGGCATATTCTTGCTGGCTTTGTCTGTTGAAGCATTTTGGCAGACTTTACATTTTATAAAAGGTCAAATGGACAAAATGACCAGCCATTGAATATGTACAACTACCTTGTTACTGTCAAAACATAAAACCAAAGTGATAATCCAGATCAACTTATTTATTTGTTTTGATGTCAACCACTGAAGATGGTTGAACTCTAAACCTGACCAAAGGGGGAAAAAAGCTGATCAGAGACCAAGCTACAAAATTATTAACTATCGACAGATATCAGTGAACATTCAAAATAAACGAGATGGTTTTGCCAAATCAGAATGAAATGTGCAAAATTAACAAGTGAGTTCTAGTATATCTTAGGTGTCAGGACACAAAGGAATTCTGGCTAATGAACAAACAGACAAACTGGCTAAAGAATCGATAATTAAGATAAAAAGATTAAAAACCCCTCCATCCTATGTAGTTTAGGTACATATATTCAATGATGACCACATTTGCAGGCAATAATATTATCTTTGAATATGAAGCAATCATTCAATGGAGAAATAAAACCTCAAGAAAACCCAGGTAAAAGAATAGCAGTAATGATAGTTTTAGGGCCAATTCACACCCACGGGATATGCAGATCTTTTCACCATATGCTAGACAAACAGGAGACTGGATGACTCAAGTAGCCCTTCAATTCATATAGTCATGACTTGAGTAGTACTTCACGATCATACAGTCAGGACAAGAGTAGCCCTTCACCATCATACAGTCATGAGTAGCTCTGTATCAAGATAATGAAACAAACAAGAAAAACATTTTGTTGCAACAGGGGTAAAAAAGTGTCTGCTTGAAACGGAGAAGCTCACCAGAAAGTTGGGCGACAATGGTGGAGGGTTGAAAATGCCAGGGCGATATAAGAAAAACAGAGGAGAGGACAGCGAGGTGAGCTGCTCAAGATGGATGCTGTGTGCAATGCAAAAAAGTTCTATTATTTTAGTCTCCTGTAGATTGGCAAATTTCTTCTGGCTGGTTGGGGTCTTCGAGGGACTCATAGAGGAAACTCATCAGAGAGACCAGGCTTCATTAAATTATCTTTTTTATTTTATTATATTTTTACAAACCATAAGAATATGTGAAATTATATTAATAATTATTATGTGAATATGTGAAAGTATTTTGTTTAATTTTGAACATTTTATTGTAGAACTAGTCAGGATTTTTTTTTTTTAAATAAGTGTACTGGTTTTAATTTCAACTTTTCAATATAGTTAGTATAATTTTAATTATCTTATTTATAATCAAGCCTTTTAACTGGCCTTAAAATTAGTATATTTATTTTGAAAGGTTCACTATTCCCGGGAAAATAGTGTGATGTCCGAATTATTTATTTATTTTTTTATTGAATCCAGGACCTTTCGACATTTGGTTCAGACAGCCATAATTAACTCAGGTCTGTTGTCAAGGAGCTCATGACAGCCCTTCACCATCTTACAGTCACGACTCTAGTAGCTCTGTAACAAGATAATAAAACAAGCAAGAATTTGTGTTTTCGTTGCAATGGGATAAAGAAGGGTCTGGTTGAAACGGAGGAGCCCACCAGAAAGCTGGATGATGGTGGCCAAGATGGATGCTGCGAGCGAGAGCTATAAACTATTATTTTAGTTTCGTGAAGTTTGGTGTATTTCTTGTATTTCTTCTGGCTGTACAAGAACTCCAGAGAACCTTGAGGGAGCTTACACCGCAAAAGGGATAAAGGGGAAGATGCTGAGGGACTCCAGGGACTCATCTAGTGCTCTCATCGGAGAGACCAGGCTTGACTTTATTTTCTTTTATTATATAATTATTATTGTCTTTAATCCATACGAAATATGTGAAAATATTTTGTTTAATTTTGTACATTTTATTGTAGAACTAGTTGGGATTTTTTTTCATTTTTAATTTCAACTTTTCAATAAAGTTAGTAAAATTTTATTTTATCTTATTTGTGTTCAAGCCTTTTAACTTGCCTTCTTGCATCACAACTATATTTATTTTGAATGTTGAAAGGTTCCCTATTCCCAGGAAAATAGTGTGGCGCCCGAATTATTTATTTATTTATTTTTTCAAATCGACCCAGGACACTTCGCCACTTAACCTTTTTAAAAATAGTTAGAGCTCATCATCGGTTGTAAATTCCTTCAACCTGATAAAGTGCTATACGCTTGAAATCCAGATTTTTGAAAACAACTAACTGTGAGTAGGCACTATCTTTTTAAAAAGATTGAACAACATGCTCTCGCTTCAATCAATTCTACTTCTCCACTTGGTCCAGGCACCCACATTTAACTTGTGCCAAGTTGCTTGTAGTTTGAATAAAAAATTAATCAGTTTTATATTGGCTGTTGGCGAAGTATATATCTAGTGCGCTTCATTTTGTACTCATTGTCTAGTATTTTAGTAGTGATGATGGTATAATAATCTAGTATTACTACCACCAGTACAGAACAAAAAGATGTGAGAAAGTTGTGAAAGATAAGAAAATTAAAAATATTTACTTACAGAAATAGCATTGAGCAGCGAATGTGCTAGTGACATAGTCCCTTCGCCGGCTTTTTCCCCAGCGTTCTCTGGCAAGCTGGTCCAGAAGAACCCTCGCCACTCAGGATCCTCAAATATATATGGTAATATTCTTGTTAACAGCCGCACACAGTTCAAGACTGAAATAAAAAGTTAATGTTATATCAGTTATTGAAGGTGTAAGTTCTATTTTATTTTTATTAAAACCAAGAAAAGGCTACCTGTTTGTTGTTCTTGCTGTGTACGGCATGAATTGTCAACAGCACGGACCAGCTTTTCGACAGCTTTGTAGCAAAGCGTCGCTAAATTCGAAGGTGCTTCTTCCCTCAGGGCTCGTATCTCAGTCGCTGGCACTAACGTGAAAACGTCCTGAACGTTCGTCACGTTCTCAGACCAGAACTGGTCCCAGAAAGTGTTGTCACCAGCATCTATGGGCTGAACAAGACATGTTTTAATCGACCCGGTGTTAAAGCTAGTTTATTGCAATTCTCAACCGGATTTACTTGGGTTTTTGCTGTGAGTTGTATCACTGCTTTTCTAAAATTAAGCTTGGTGTCCGAATTCCCCATTGTTCTACGAAAGAACACCGATTCTCGACAGCTGTCAAGCTATTGGGAAAATTGCAAAGGTAAATCAAAAACGTTGACTTGGGGTGCGAGAATTTCTACGAGAGAGAACGGTTTGACTTCATTTATTCAATCAGAACCGGAATTGATTGACATGAGAATACACTCTGAAGAAGTGTTGATTGTTGTCATCATCTCTGGCAAAAGCCACATAACACGATGAGCTGATTAGGTTCAGTGCTGCACCGCTGATTACATTTCTGGCCACGAGCTTTAAAAATTTGTAAACTTTACTTTTAAATTTGATTATGAAGCATTTATGAAGTTATTTTCTTCAAGTAATTGTAACACAACAAAAATATTATATTTTTCATGTATATGTGCTAAAACTTTATCAAATTGTAAAATCGACGGAGGGGCACATCAAACGTGACATTTATTTATTATTTTAAAGTTCAAAATAGAGTTTAAAGCCCCCTTATATGTACATATCTTAGAAATAAATTTATAAACATATTAAAATAATAATAATAAAACATGTTGCAGCTGGATACATGGCTTGAAAATAGTAATATTTATATGACTTCCATGCTGGATTTAGAAAAGGGTACTCAACTGTTAATACTTTTTAATAGTTTGATTACTATGAAAAGAATGACAAACAAAAAAATTATGCCTTCTTTGCGGATTTCACTGTGACGAATGAGCTTTCTGGAAGTTTCATCAAAATGTTTATCTATTTTATAATCAATATATAAGAATATCTAGCTGTTTGCGATGGCAAATGATCATTTAATTGATTTTTAATAGGTAAAGGTCTGAAACAGGTTGTACATTTTTATTTTCCTACTACCTAAATGATTTACATGAACATTTGTGGGGATGGAGTGAGATGCGGAGGAGTTACGGAGCTGCTGACGATGTCCTTGTAGCTGACTTGAGCAAGCTGTTAAATAAAAAATTGATAATAATTTGCTATAAGAATTTTGCTTCTTAAAGGATATTAGATTAACCTGAACAAATAAAAAATAATAAAAAGTTGGTTTTTAAAAGAAGATATAGAGGTGGTAAAACAAAGCATAACAAAATTACCGTTGTCTGAGTAACAGAGGGGCATTGACGAAGATGAAATTGGCCAAGCAGTTTGATAAAACCTATTGACCCTGAAGGCCTGGACCGTTTTACGGTATACCAAATTACCAAAAATATAGATTCAGTAGACAATGGATTAAGGGATAAGGTAAATAACAAAAGCGTAAGTTTTTTTAAATCCAAATTTGCTCGAAATTAGTGGACGATCGCAAAAGTAATTTTGACTTTGTAAAGATGAAGGAATTGTTCTTAAATCTTCATACGGAAACCAAATTAAATAATCAATGAGTATTATAAGTCAATGGACAATTTCAGCCACTGGTCCTTCAAAACGTTTTCATAAATTATTGAAGACATTGCTTCTGCTGCTGTTGGTTTGGCTCCAGTAGACATCATAGGAAGATACGAGGAAAAGGAAACCTAATAAAAACTACGTTAATAAAATTTTATTTCAATGTTTACAATGACTACAATATTTACAATATAAAACAAAAACTAAATGAAATTTCAATCTTCTTTAAAAATATCTTTTAAATCTACGCTTTTTCCCAACTTTTCTGTCGGTGTGCTTGATGAAGCCTGAGTTTCCACATTGACAGTTTTATTCTTGGCAAGTTCGTCCTGTAATTTGGCGAAGGCTGTTTCAAATGCTTCTTCAAGAGAAATGCCGTTTTCTTTAGAAAGGGCCAAGCTGGAAGATACACACTTTTGAGACAATGTCTGATGACTTTCATCATCTAGCCTTCCCATCTGGAAATTGGATAATTTCTTGTGAAATAAACTGTAAAATGAAATATATTATGAAATTTTCTCTCTGTATTTATATTATACTGATATATACGTACGCTCTGATTTTATCCTCGGGGTAAAATATATCCCTTATGGGCTTGTCAGAAACTTTCTGACTGTATAAAGGAGGAGTTTCTGGAGGAAAGGCCTCGTATACTTCGTACCAGATTGGCCTATCTTCTAATTTCATTGCACCTGATTTTATTAAACCAGTTATTCTGAAAAAAAAAAATTATTAAAAAAATAAGTTTGAGATATATTCAAAGTGAAACAAAAAAGAGTGTATAAAATTAGAAATGCAACATCTATAACTTGATCCAAAATTTGAGCGATCTAGTCTCATTTTTGCAGCGTTTTGACCATCTCCATGTGTCATAACAGAAATATATAAAGAATCCGGCATGATCAGGGATGATGGAACTATTCATCAAATGTGAATCTTAATGTCCAAAAAGTATTTGTCAGATATTTTGGGTAGAATTTTCCTTGCTTTATTAAAGGGAAAATTCACTGTAGCTGTACAAAGTGAGAGATCAATAGAGTCTAAAAGAACTAAGATTTTAGTTTTGAATATTCCATCTCATGCATAAAACTTAGATATATTCATAATATCCAAGATATGGAGGGTTCTTTTTAAACAGAGAGTGTTAGTTCGTAAAAGTAGTATTTTATGTGTGGTATTTAGTGACCGTTAATTAATGATTATTTGGAGATCGTGAGATTTTTATTAAGCGTCATAACTGTAAAATATTGAAGGAATCATTTGTAGCGGACTACAGTACTAATCTAAGCTAATAACTGATTTTGTTAATATTGGACGTCCAAAACAGTTTTGACCTGTGTAGAAATAGGGCAATTATATGGGCAGTCTGAACTGTCAACTGATAGTGTGATATTCTGTAGTGTGCCCTTAATAAGAAGATTAAGAATTTCAGCAATTATTTTTAATAAGCAATAAAATTCATACTTTTGTGCCTCTACTTATAGACTGTCAATACTGACATCAATATCAAAGTTGTATACAGCAAATGATCTTTCATAAAATCTGTAATTTTTGCTTTTGTAACTGTGCAAAATGACACTACAAAAACAAAGATTTAAGTTTTGAACATTCCAGGTCAATACATACGTTCGTACTATCCAATACACGAATTGGTCCTTATAAATATAAACTGCTCAAAAATGAATAGGTATATTGTAATGTATTCTTATTCTATTAATTTTAATTAAATTAACTGATATATTCTTGTTAGTTGTATAAAACAAAATAGAAAATACGAACCAAAAACAAACAAATGTTAATCCTATTTTTTAACAACGGATTATTGTTTTAACAATCCTATTGTTTACTACTTAAGAATAGTAAACATGAAGATTACTCATTTTAATTAATTATTCTTTTTATGTAAGATCTTAGTTGAGGTGAAAAAGTTAGAGTCACAAGCTGGATTCGAACCCACGACCTTTGACTTTCATCCACTCGGACACCAACTTCTCATCTCAATCTACAAACTTTCAAATTTTCCTCTTTTTACCAACTAGATAATCACTCGTTTTGTAAACAAACAGCTTTTTTGTCTTTTGTCCATTTTCCATTTATATTCTCTTTAACTATGAAAAGACATAATCTTGAATCAGAAGTTCAGAATATTATTGTAAGAATGAGTCATTGAGGGGGCCGCAGTAGCCTAGTGGCTAAGGCGTCAGACTATCGGCTAGTAGATCCTGCGGTCGTGGGTTCGATCCCCAATTGACATGGCACTCATCAATGGAAGGAGCGGGATCAGATCTCAGCTACCCTGAATTTGGTCCCAACCCCCTTCAAAAATGAGTTTCTTCGATGGAAGAACACCGGCACACCGGGGGCTCAAATTAACACTTGTGTTGTGAGCCTCCAAAAAATGGAGCCAGGGATAAAGTACAATAAGCTGTACAGCTGCAGTGCTCAGGAGGGAACTCCTCCAGTTCCTGGTATCCATTGTAAAAAAAAAAAGAAGAGTCATCGAGGTCACTGGCAAGTGGATATCGCAGAGGCAGTTGGCGTTCCTCAGAGCGTGGTCACCCAGGCTTTACCTGATTCCGAGAGACTGGAATTGCCAATAGGAGGCCTGTTAGTGGATCTACGCGCATAAGGGAGGACAGAAATATTGTTACTGCTGCAAGACAGAACCCTCAGTGCTCACCAGATCCTAAATGAAGCAAAAGATGTTTTGGCAAGGCTTCGTAATTTGAGATGACGTGCAGCAACACCTCGCCATCAGCAACTAAGGAGAATATGGTGCAGCAAGCGCCTAGAAGAGAACACCAATTGGAATGCTTTTACGTTTACTGATGAATCACATTTCTGTCTGTATAGTGACAGCAGGCTCCAAAGAGTCTACTGAAGCAGTGTAATGGTCTGGGCTGGGATTTATACTGGAGGACGAACTGGACTCGATATTGGTGAAGGAACAACGCATAACAACATAACCGTTATGTCCAAGAAATTATTGACAAATACATCCCTCAAACCAGGGATCCATTGGCAGGGATTTTCAATTTCTGGATGATAAAGCCAGACCTTTTAGAGGCATAGTAATTCATCAATGTTTAGAATACCTGGGAATTTCCCATCTGCCCCTTCCCCCATTGTCTCCAGACCTCAATCCCATTGATCGAATGTGGGATGCATTGTAGAGAAGGCTTTTCGATCACCATCCACAGCCAGTCGACCTGCAGTGACTGAGTGCAGCGTTGCAACATCCGTGAGTGAAATTCCTTATGAAATTAGTGATGACCTTATGCCTAACAGGCGCATAGAGGTTTTAGAATACAGAGGATGTTATACACGGTATTACTTTATTAATTATGCAATTAAAACATTTCATTTTTCAAAAACCCTTAATTAAATTTCCTTCAGTAAAAAACCTAATAATTTTGTAATACATTTTAATGCAATTTATAATATAAATGCTAGGGAAAGAAATACTACAAAGTTGGCAATATCCCTATTCATTTTTGAGCAATTTAGCTCCTTATTTTACAAGATCAGTGTATTATAAAAAAAAATATTGCCGGTCCTAGAAGAAATTTGTCGTGAAGTATGGTGCAGCAGACCTCACGGTATTTTTCACAATTACCTTGTATAAATCGTGCCGATTCTTTCTAGCCGGCTATGAGCCATTGAACTTTTAGCTTTTGTCGTAGTTTTATTGTTCAAATTAGGAGACCGACGAAGACTACAAAGACGAAGGTTACAAAGCGAAAGCGGGTTCCGGTCGAACCGATCGCACATGTGTTGACTGGAAAATTAATTCGGCTTTCTTTTTAACAATTGAATTTATACGAATCTAGTTTTTATTTTTAGTTAAAAAAAAGCTTGAGGTCGTTTTATATTCTTAACTACTTTCTTTTGTTTGAAAAGGTAAGAATAGTTGTTTTTTTGTAATAATTTTTTGTGTAGTATTTTTACGACAAAATGACTTGTTTCAAAACCATACTGGACTCTTTTGACGTCTCTTTAACGTCATATATAAGCTTTTGTGTGTTTTTAAAGATAGACAACAAAAACGGTCACGTGGCTTATATCCTTGATAGTTCTCACTACTTTAGTTCAAAAGAGAGAGAAAAAAGGGAAATGTTTTGTTTATATATCAGATCGATAAGGAAAAGCTCTCGAACTTGATTATTTCAAATGGGGGAAAAAGACGCAGTTTTGGTTGGTGAAAAATGGTTGATCCCGGCGGCGCATGTGTTGTAGGTCGAGTGGGATTTTGGGTGGACGAGTGGTGGCAGGTCAAGACGGTCTCGCTCATGGTATAACTCCCGTGAAAATGCCCCGAGCTCATTTCTCACCGGATCCTCGTCTGGTCGTCACCGACAGAACAGATATGTTTTGATACATCATCCAGTAGGAACCCAGAAGACCTCCAACATTCTGAAACAGTATTTCCACAGTATTATTCACTATGGATCTCAAGGAGAAGAGAGTATATAAAATCGTGCTGACTGGAGGTGAGCAACATGTGCTTGACAGAAAAATTAATTAATTAAACAAAAAAATTAACTTTTGTAATTTTGTGTTTTTAGGACCTTGTGGAGGCAAGACGACAGGTCAGGCCAGGCTGAGCACGTTCTTTGAGAACCTCGGTTGGAAGGTGAGACAGTTTTACATTTTTATCATATTTAAAAAAACCAGGTCAGGAAATTCTTATGATTTAATTAAAGAGAAAACAAAAATGTTTTTCTTTTCTTTTTTCTTTTCTTTTCTTTTTTTTTTTCGAGCCACTCGTTGGCTTATGAGTACGTTATCGTATGGCGACTATCTTTTACAGGTATTTCGGGTCCCGGAAACGGCTACTGTACTCCTCAGGTACACAATTTTAAGAATATAAAAAAAATCTTGTTTCAGATATTGTTCTAATTAAAAATGCAAAAAAATCTGAGACAACAAGAAAGTTTTGTTTAGTATAGTTTTCAAATTTATGCAAAATGTATAAAACATTTTGTTTTATATATAAAATCCTTTGCTAAAGCTTGAAATTTTAATTAAAAATACTTTTTAAAAATGAAAAAACATCATTTATTATTATGGTGTAATTTCTTTTTTCAGTGGAGGTATAAAATTTTCCGACCTGACTGAAGAAGAAGGTAAGACGATTGAAGACATTTTCTATTAAATATAATAATCTATCTAAATTGTCTCCGAACATGTCATTTTTACATTTGTGCAGTTGGTCGCATGTCAAACTACAGTTCATTAAGTAGTAATTTGTCATAACGTGATTTATAAAGGCTATTTCCCTCAGTGCATGGTACCGAAGAGTGTCATCTATAAATGGATATTGTGTATTTTTATTGCATTGTCTTATGCCCAAGGCAAGCTGCCAGAAATTCTCGGTTACACAACATTCAGCCGATCGGTGAAATTTTGCCCTTTTTTTCCTCTCATCCCTCGTCATTTTCCTTTCTTGATCTTTTGTCTATTTTTAGTTCATCCACGTTGTCAGAGAAAATAAACCATTCTGGCCTTCGGTGAACTTGAAAGGGTGGACATCATGTTTCTTCAGTCTTTTTCACAATTAGACACATGGCTTATTCAAACATTCCCCCCTTTATGTACTGATTAAACTCACTATTTTTTTATTTATCAAGTTGCGACTTCCTCATCTCAGGCATTTTGTAAAAACACCATTTTTCTTTTCAGCAATTAATATTTTTGGGGATTGAACATTGATTGGTTAACAGAAAAATTAATATAAATAGAATGTTTTTACTCAAAATTTTCTTTTCTTTTTTTTTTTTTTTAAATCTTTTTTACAAAATCAGAACATTAGTTTTGTATATTTTATCATGATCGATTTTAATTTGCCCTATTAGTCACACTTAACAACAGCAAAAATAAATCAGTTTTATCTAGGTGTGATATCAACGCTTAGGCATTTCTATTTTCTTTATCAAACACTCTTTTGTAAGTTAGAATGTTTTTTATACAAAATATATTGTGAATTTTTCAAAGGTTAAAATCAAATAAAAGTTACATAATGAATATATAATTAGAAATTGGTTAAAATAGTTTTTTATTTTTTTAATAACCAACCAAATTTGATGCATTAATGAAAAATTAGTTCATTATAAGAAATTAAAAACCATAAAAAAAGTTAGTTCAAATTTGCCTGACATACAAAAATATCGTGTAATATATATTATTACACTGATCTTTGCCCAATAAATTTGTAACTTGCCAATAGAATCAATAAATAATCAATATTTCCATTTAGGTCATCAAATTACGACAACCTTGAAATCAAATATCACCCACTTTGCCATAGTCATTCTGCAATATTAATTTATGATCGGTCTCTGCTTAAAATGTATGTTTATTACTAGAGTCTAAATCTGATAAAAATGTTCCATTAAATTTTAACTAGCGAGCAATCTGTCATTTGAACGACTGAACAGACTGCCCTTTTATTGCTGGTTTCGTTTGACAAGACATTCTATCATACTCAGACACTGTCTGATGTTCCTTGATTAAAAAACAAAAAACAAACATTATAATAAAAACCAACTGTACATAGTAAAGTTGCAGACACAACTGGTGAAAATAATCTAGCATTAATAATTACAATCAAACTACAGATTCATCTTGGCCCACAATGCTTCACAAATAGAGAACTATTTTTTAAATTAAATTAGGCTGTGATTGTACAATAGTAAGAGACAACTTGGCATATATGCCCTAAATGCTTATATATAAATTCTTAAGATATTTGCTCTTTGATCATAGAATTATATAAAGATTACATTTCCTCATTACATCTTATTAATCATTTTAAATATATTTGTGTGCTAGAATTTTAAGTTTTTTTCTTTCTGGGCATTTTAATGTTTAATTTTTTGACCAATCCTTTTAGCCGTCTAGATGTATTGGCATATAATCTAATTATTGGGAAAATGCTTACGGCTTCTTTCTAAAAATAACATTTTGAGGGGAGGGGTCAATGTTCAAACTTAACATTTGTAGAATTATGTTAATAAATATTTTGTAGATTGCTTAGGATTAAAAAAAAATCCTGTCAGGAATGATGATTATCAATTTTTGGTGTTCAATATTTATTTTATTTTTATTTTATTCATTATTTATGTGCCCATTTAAAACAAAATGTATTGATAGCGTTGACTTTCAAGGTTGTTTAAATAGTCAAACTACTTTTTATGAAATGTGACATTCTTATTCATAGTGCATATTCCATTTTTTTTTTTTTTTTTTTTAAATTAAATTTGACTCAATACTAAGATATTTTCAGTTGACGATTTATATCATAATCAGTCCAGACAAATAGGAAAGGCTCCATCGTTATAAATTGATATAAATGTGACGAAACATTTATTGAGCAAATATTATTTTTACAAGATAATGGCATTTTCTTTGTTATGAAATCGGCAATTTGCAAGATTAAATGGTTATTCACATTTTTTTAATCCGCAAGTAGCCTGTTGTATTTGTTTTTCATTAAGTTAATTATCCCTACGCCATCATAAAGTTATAAAATTCAAAAATTATAAATTATAAATGTAATCAGTCATTCATTTTTAGTAATTTTTTAAACGACTGTGCTTTAACTGAAACTATGAAGCGTGTTACAGTATAATAAGTTATAACTAATTTCCTTAAAAAAAAAGAAAAGTCGTTACTGGATAAAAGTCTTATCTTTGTGCAGTTGTTCACTTGTACTGTGAGGAAATAAGAGAGAAAAAAAGATAAAATACTTAGTCTAAATTTTCTTTAGGTATTGAAAATTAACTTGCCCAAATTATTTATACATTTCAAGGCTTCTCTGACATTAAAACATTGCATGCCACTTAAAATTACAAGTAATTGAGGAAAAGAAGAGAATCGCACAAACATTTTCTTTTGTAATGTTATGTAACTCAAGGAGTAAACTGTTTCCTTGAAAACGTAAAGATAATATTCTTATTAGCAAAATTAATAAGGCTAGCATTGATATTTAGATTTTAAATAATATAATATTTAATAATATATAAAAAAAGAAATGTTGATTAGATTTTTAATTAATTGTAGATAAATGTTTATAAAGTGAAAATTAAAACTAAATTTTGTGATCACTGAGTGTGGTCTTGTAGTGGGGCTAGTTGTAGTTGTGTGCCTATGTGTGTAGGCGATGTGGCGCACATTTGCCCAAGGTGCGTCGGGGCTCTTGAAAGCACATGCCCGAGATGCGTAGGGGCTCTCGCTAGGGATTCTTCACGGGATTCTGAGGGTGAGTCTTTTGGACAGAAAGAGAGAAAAAGAAATTCTGCAGTACATAGGGTTCTGCGCTATGTTGCACAACGAAGTTTGTTTATACTATAACTTGTATGATGGTTTTCTTTAAACATTCGTTTTGCCATTTAACTGTTGTGTGCAAAGCAAACCTCACTGTGTGCCTGTAGACATCTTAATACAACTGTGACCCTGTATGCTAAATGTAAAAGAGACTGGATATCTCGTTTTATTCGAATCTGCTTGGTTTAAAATGCGTTAGTTGTATTTAATATACACTTGTATATAATTTGTTTTAAAGCTTTATTTACATAGAATTGACTATGCGGTAGTGGTTTGTGGCCATACAATAACCCTGAAATATGTAATTTGACTACTCAAATTAAAACTTTAATGTGTGCTAATGTTAATTGAGGAAACAGTTGATTGATGGTGTTTTATGTTTATTTCATAATATTCATGTTCACCTTGAAATCAGTTAATATAGTGTAATCAAACTGGCATCAATAAAGGGGTAAAAATGTTGAGTCATGCAGAACAGTTGAATAACTATGACTCATTACTTTTTTGAAGCATTTAAAAAAAAAAATTATTGGAAATAATAATATATAAGTTTAAATGGAAACTTTTTTGTTATATTTCTTCCTGATTCTTTGAAAATAGTTTCTATTTTTTTCTTGATTTCTTAACTTGCGTTTTTGTGCTAACCAAGTAAATTTAGCTTATTAGACATACAAATATTACTTTCAAATATAATTAATCTTCACTAACATTTGTTTGTTTTTGTTTGAACGCTCTTTAGCAGGAAGGCTTGAAAGTGTAAATTATATTTACTTTATTAGAGCCGTTGCCCTTGTAATTGATTAAACCGTCGATTGTTTTTTGTTACAATTTATACCCTTAGTTGATGAATCTTCGTGTTCATTAGTAACTAATTAATTACATTTTCGTTTCAGCATTCAAATTTCAAGAAAACCTATTGAAAACGATGATTCAAATTGAAAATACTTTTTTCGAGTTGGCCGAGACCTGTCCGAGAAACTGCTTGATTATATGTGATCGTGGAGCAATGGACGCTTCAGCTTGTGAGTTTGGATTTTTGTTAACAGTTTATTTAACTCTTAAAATCCTTAGATATTTAGCTTATATTCCCACTATAATAATAATTTTATTATTACAGTATGAGACAGTAAAATAATGCAATTAATAGTGCACAACCAGGCTGTTTTGCTTTACTACGTGTTTAAATTATGCCTTTGATTATAATTATTTACTCACAATAAAAATCAGTCAGCAATAATTCATGAAATGTCACAAAGTCTGTGGCAAGGATTAGGAGCCTTATCATCCTCAAACTTCCCAGTCTGATAAGCCTGTAAAAATACTAGATCAGGAAGATCGAGGGCGATTAATTTACACAGAACTAGTTATCAGATTATTATTATTATTATATTTCAGTTATATCTAAAGAAAAATGGGAAAAATTGTTAGCGGCCAACAATTGGAATTCAGTTGAATTGAGAGACAATCGGTACAACCAGATAATACATATGGTCACAGCTGCAAATGGTGCGGAGGATTTTTATACAACAGAGGTATGAATTTTTAAAATGATTTTTTGAAATATATTATTTGATTTAATTGCATTTATTTGTTAGGACCATGCCTGCAGGAGTGAAGGTGTCGAGTTGGCGAAAGAATTGGATTACAACGCTGCTTCAGCTTGGATCGGCCACCCTTACTTTGACGTTATCGACAATTCAACTGAGTTTGAAAAGAAAATCAGAAGAATGATAGCGGTACTAGAATTTTAATTTTTCCATGATGTTTTTATTATAACATTTTTTTAATTTATTTATAGAGCATATGTCAAAAAATGGGAATTGACACTGGCGACAGATTGCTTACAAATGCAAGGAAAAGAAAATTCCTTGTCAAAGGACCGCTACCGGATGATTCAGTATTCCCTCCATTTCAAGACTTCGATGTTGTCCACAATTACCTGACCAACTCCCATCCTTCACTGCAAGCTAGACTTAGAAAAAGAGGGCAAAAAGGTATTTTGAAAAATGTTTAATTTTAACCAAAAGAGTATGATGTTAAAACTATTTGATCAGTTTCTCTTATTATTTAAAACGATAATGTTAATATATTTTTAAAAGGTCTGAGATGCTGCTGGCAAGACAGTACATTGAACTATAATAGTCTTGGCAGTTATTCAAATTTGGTAAAATTATAGTTGTTTTGACACCCTTGGGGATTAAGTTCATTCAATTTTACATACTGCCATTGATTAAAAAAAAACCTACTAAAATAAAAAAAATATTTTGTTAAATAGAAAATAGACTATAATGCCCTTATTAATACTTTTTTAGTCGTGTTATTGAAATATAGTTACTAATATTTATATAACACGGTTTTCAGGGCACTGGAGTTATACTCATACTATAAGGAAACCACGTCTCCACGGTCAAGTCGTCGAAGTTAAAACTCAGTTGACGCATAGAGACTACTTGAATCTCTTGACACAGAAGGATGATTCCCATTTCACCATTTTTAAAAAGAGGAGGTGTTTTCTTGACAGTAATCAATACTTTCAGTTGGATATTTATAAAGCTCCTTGCCACCCTAGGTAAAAAAAAAAAAATTAACTCGTTAAATTTGTATGAAAATTTTTTATTTTCTGTAGATGCAACGGGTTAATTCTTCTTGAAACCTATTCCGCCCTGGAAGATGGAAAATTGGAGCAATGTATGCCAAAATTTTTAAAGGTTGTGTGTGAAGTCACAGGAGATCCAACGTATTCGATGTACAATCTTTCCCTTAGGGAAGAATGGACAACTTCAACAAAATTCTGTCATGCTCTTAAAGGTACATATTAAAAAAAAAAACTAATAAAAAATTGTCTTAATTTAATTGCTAAAAAGGTCTTTGTAAGTGAAAACATTAAAATCTTAAGTCAATAATATTAATTAATATAACTATATCATATGTTTTACATTATATTGTCAATTAAAAATTGTTATGGGAACAAGGAATCAACAAGTAATTTATAAACACAGATTAGCATTTGAAGTATTGCACTGTAACAATTGGGAACATGATCGCCTTTCAGTGACCGATTATAGTATTTATGTGGTAACAGTCGCTGATTATCGTCCACGAGTAGGGTTTCCGTCTTGGAAAACTTGGCAGGAATATCTTGGCCAAGATCCTGATTATTTGTCAGGCGTCCAAGAGAAAAAGTGTGTCGATGTCTGAAAAAATTGGCTACAAAATCACAAATTGACTAATTTTGGAAAAAGAATTGCCACTCATAAAACTTAGTTATTTGTGAAAAGTTTCATAGATTTTAAGCCTGGGATGTACCATGTGGTTTGCTAAGGGTAAAAAAATGAAATTCTAATTTCCCAAATGTCACGAGTTTGGTGACGACCCACCTGAGTTGTGGGTGCAGGTAGCTTGGTGGAGAAGTTCGTGGGGCTGTTCAAACGGATATATAGTTCGGGCACCACTCTATTTTTCCTCTCAGGGAATAGTGACCCTAGTAGTCGACCAAAGGTAATCAAGCTTGAGAATAATTTACAAAAAAAAAAAAAAAAAATGAAGCAAAATGAAAAAGAAAACTTCTATTAAATAAATAAATTAAAAAAAGAAAAGTTAACACTTCATTCAAAATTTCCTGTTGGCCAACTTACAAGAATTACAAAAAAAAGGTATCTCTTATTGATCATGTTACACAAGGAGCTTTAAAGGCAACATATGCTTCTTTTTTGTAAATATGAATAAAATCGCATTCAACATGAGGAAAATTTGCAGTAATGGGTCAGTGTCTTGCCTCACACAGCTTATAACCCTGACACCATCTAACGTTGTGGTCTTTTCCAATCGATGGGACATTTTTTCGAAAGTATTGATACTTCGAAAATTGATGATAGAAAATTAAGATCCAGTTTTTTTGCTCATTTATTTGATTCACATGCTTAGCTGAATAATGGGTAAAAACCATTAATTTAGTAAATGTGAGATTTATTGCTGTAATCTGTGTGGTTGTTATTAGTCATTCTGGACTGCCTTTACTCGCTGTAGTCTGTCAGACGCTTTTCGGAATTTGGTCACATTTAATGGTCTTAATAGACCAACACTGAAGACTGTGAATGTTGTTATAATATTACTAACGACCAAATCACAAATAATTTATTAATATAATCAGTTTTAAACTAAGATGCTTTCTATATTCAAAGATTTTTTGCACTGTTGTAAATTTATATTAAATTAAAAAATCTTTTTGTAGCCCCCTCTTTGGAAGGAACTAATGGAATCGGTTCTATGAATGGCGGAGTCGGAATCAAACAAATTGTCAACGGAAAATGAGTTGGCAGCAATGAGAACCCGAGTACCTGTCTGCTTTTGTTATGTAAAATGAAAAAAAAAAGTTATATACATATTCCTAGACTACTAGTCTCGTAGCCCCCTCTCTAATAGTCGAAATAAAGTAATAATCAAACGCAAAAATGATAACCATTATTTTAAGATACAAGTTAAAAAAATGTAGTTTACAATATTAGCTTTTTTAGATCTGTGTTGTGGCTAATTTTCATGTGGGAGTATTAAATGATAAAGATATTAAGCATTTAAGAGGGAGTTAAGAAATATTAAGATTTAAAAAAATATTGGGGGCTTAATACTCGATTTTCGATAAGTCTTGCCAAATTTTTGTTTTGTAAATTTATAATACTTAAACAGTTCTAATTAAAAAAAGTCCTTATCTCACTTAATTATTTATTGATATAAACATTGATTGTTTAATTATAGTATTAATTTAGTATTATTTTTTTAAGAAATGTATTTAAATTAAAATATTTAAAATCTATTAAAAAAATTTCTGTGCCTTTTCATATAATATATATACAAAAAGAATATATCACTCGAAATCATATTTTTCTGTCTTCAAATAAAGGTTTCAATTATATTTTGAAGATTTCATTTTTTATTATCAAATTTATAAATATAATAAAATCTCTTATAAATTGATAAAATAGGAAAAAAGGGGATTTGTTGCATTTACTGGAAAAATGAATATTGAAGAAACTTTTTCAACCCTTGCCCCTTTTATTTTTATAATTTGATACGAAGTAAACTTTTTATCTATAATATTGTAAAAAAAGACTACAAATCATAGTGTAAGTTTTAATAAATTAATTTATATATATGTGTGTGTATATTGTATGCAATTTAAAATAATCATATGGTAAAATCTGTGCTATTGGTGTTGAAATTGATGCACGTTTATTAATTGTTGCCCAGTTCCTGATATGTTGCCTTTGAAACAAAACATTTTTGGAAATTTATTTAAGTTCTTAATCTATGGTTAATGATTTGCCTATTATCAACCAACATATGCTTAAGTCATTTAACATCTAATCTTTCCAATGTACTTAAATATTGTTTAATTTTAAGTAGTAACAAAATGCAGTCAAATGAACAAAAAGTTGAAAAAGAAATTTTGTTTAAAAAAATTGTTATATGGCTTCGTTGTTAAATTTTTTTTAGAATGTTAATAAATATTATGTTTCAAGTTGGCATAAATATTTTTTGATGGTTATTAAAAAAATTGAAATTTTTTTGATTGTTATATGGAACAATTTCAATTCAGTGCCTGTATTTGTTTATTGTATTATGAAATATAATCTAAGAAATTGGTTGCATTAATTATTCTAAACTATCCCATACAATAATGACAGATATGAAACTGTTTATCAACTAACTTGTGAGAGAGGCAGAAAAGAATTTTTTTAGTTCACAAAATATATTTTTTGTTTTTGAATTTTTCATTTAGTTTTAAGGTGGTTCCAGACATGCAGTGTTCGCCAAATGCTACTGAACATTTGCCAATTCTCAAGATGCTTCTCTTGGTATTTGCCTTCGTGTCTATGTATACACACATGCGGGGTTTGTGCAAACACATAGTTTGTGCAGAAACTGCGAATATGTATTTGCCAAGTGCCATGCGAGTCTTCAATTTACTACCAATCATGACGGACAACAGTGAAATTGTCAATGCTGCAGCTGCGGTTACCGTCAATCATAAATCAATCATAGAGTACTTTTGCCCCATCTTACTTTCAATCTGTTTCCACTCATCGAAAACCTCGCTCCAATTATGTGGATTCGGAAGGTAAGCATTCCAAATTATTGGTTCAGCTTGATACAGATCGAGGAACTCCAAGACTGTCATGTTGGGCCAATCCATTCCTAACTGACAGAAACAACGCTATGCTGTTCTTTCATTAATAAATCTTTACTAGTTGAAGTTTCATTCATGATTGATGATTGCAGTTCATATACGTACAGTGCAGTTAATACTCGACGACTGTGTGGATGAGTTGAGTTTAGCTACTTCAAGAATATTTGTGCAGTTTGAAGCGTACAAGGAAACCGATAATTAGCCAAGTAAAGCCTGCACCAAATATTGTTCGTTGAATAACTGAGCACTCGTCCCCACTAGTCGGGATTTGACAGTTTTGCACAGCTCCCAAAATGCATCCACCTGTGGTAATGTAGTGCATTCCTTGCAGAATCTGTGTTGGATTATACCAATCTTCCACAAATGCCTGTTCACTCCACAGTGTGATTAAGAATCCTGTTCGGATTCGAAGTGTTTTTCTGTTTCCTTTGCTGCATTCTGTTACTTGCCATCTGAAATTCACAAGGGTGTTCTTAGATTGTCTGGCCAATCAGTGATTTTCCACTGTTTTTCCCATTTCCATCCTATCTTTTTGTCTAATACATATTGTGTAATTTTTGTTTGTGATTTGCTTTCGAACTGTTTTCCTTTGTGATAATTTCTTTTTGATTATATATTAGTTGTGTTATTGTATCATAACTCTGAATCTCCCTTACAAAAAAAAAAAAAATCTCAGACACCCAAATCTCGACTTTCTTGAGGACCTCAAGACCTTCAGAGTTCGAAGTAATTGTCAGGTCAACTGAAAGTGAAAAAACAAAACAAAAAAACAAGAGTAGATATTTGTGGAATGGAAACAATTTCTTCAAGAGAATAAGGCTAGTAGGGTAAAAAGTAAAAAACTTTTTATTTAGGGAAAGCAGGATGCAATCTTTCGCTTATATGTAATAAAAAAATTTAAGTAAGTCACAGAAAAGGCAAAAAAGAAAAAACTGTCTATATTTTCTTTAAAAACTGTCTTTGTCAGGTGTAGAGGGTTTCAAAATACATTCATTTCCTATACCATCAAGTCGGGACCAGACAAAATTGTCCATTACAGGGGTTTCACTATATCAGTCTGAAAGAAAGTGTTTTTTTTTAGGAAGGGAAATTCAAAGTATTTTAATATAACTAATATGTAATCAAAAGAAATCGTAAAGGAAAAAGCTTGAAAGCAAATCAAACAAAAATAACACAATATTTTAAAACATAAATTTTTACAAACTTAAAATTATTTTATATTAATTTTTTTAATGTTTCAAATATGTACATATATTTATTCTAAATACATAATAAATATACTTATATGTACATATGGCAATATTGATTATGGAGTGAATTGTGTTCATAAAATTTGTTTTGTTATTCACCCCTCTACAATGGACAATTCTTCAGTTCCATTAGCTGTCCGTTGTAGAGGGGTTTCACTGTATCAAAGATTATACAGACGTACGAACAGGTGACTATAGAAATTAATCTAATTGACGAGGATGTTGTTTATTAACTTTCTTTTTAACAGATATCACTCAACAAACTAACAACCTCTACAAATGGAACCACTTTCAGCTAAACACGACCCAGTATTGACCTAATGGTTGCCAAGATAGAGCAAACAACGATGGTTGAATGTAGATGTAGGCTGTAATTCCTGACAGAAAGAAGGTAATTTGGTACAAAATTAAAATTTCCAATTTGTGATTTTTTTAATTACTCACATATTAACAAAATGTGAAAAGTCCGTTAAAAAAATAATAGTTTGATATTTTTTCTTCTTTAAAATTAACATCGCTTATTAGAATTCATTTTATTTATGAATTGTTAAAAATGAATGAATAGTAAATAGTAAATAGAATAATTATACAAAAGACAAAACTAATAGACCTAAATAATTCTAAATCTACACTAAAGAGAAAATAATAAATGATACATTTCTTGTTTATTCTTATTTATCTTTGCTGTCTTCATTTTCGTCAGAGGCCTCATTCTCATCCTTCTCTTCGTTCAGCATTTCCTGAAATGTTCAAGTTAGTTTTAAAATATTTGTAAAAAAAATCCATGCAAATTCTGAACTTACAGTCAATGTTGTGATAACAGCCTGGGTGTCTTCAATCACCGCCTTGCATTTTAAGTTTTCCTCTTCGAGTATGGCTATTCTTTCGTGGAGTTGTTCATTTTCTTTTAAAGCCTGTTCAAGAGCAATCCTTCTCTGTTCGGCTAATAATTCCCAGTACTCCTTGCTTGGCTCAACTGTCCAAACAAATGGAAAATCGCATTAATAAATAACAATTTGATTTTTTAAAACGGATCGATTTACCTTCTGAAGTAAGATCTTCCAAAATCGAAGCCACTTTGTCAGATTTGGACGATTTGGCTCTTTTAACAGGTTTCGGGTCAGGCAACCTAAGGCAAGCAAAAATTTAAAAATATATAATTTTAATAATAACTATTTTTTTAACATTTCCTTTTTTTTGTGTTAATTATAACAAATTATATTATTTGAAATGTAGGTTCTTGAACAGTTGTACAGCATGACTTTGAGCATCATATTATTGGGATGTCTACCCGAAAAATTGTTACAATACTGAAGAGGGCTCAAAGCAAGGGGTTGAAAATGTTATGAATTAATTCAATAAATTATTAAATCCATTACAGTTTGTGGTCCAATTGACCAATCAACATTTTTCAATTAATCAATATTTATAAAAGGTATTGGTAGAGATAAAAAAGTCAGTGTCACGAGCGGGATTCGAAGTTAGTGTCCGAGTGGATCGAATGTGGTAGAGTAGCGGCATATTTAGCCAAAGGTCGTGGGTTTGAATCCCACTCGTGACACTGACGTTTTTATCTCTACCAATACCTTTCATAAATAAATAATCAATAAATTATATTTTTTATCCAAAGTCCTGGATCTCCAAGCTATCATTTCTTTTCCAGTGGTTAGAACAGTGGTGTATTGAGTGAAAGGTCATGGGTTCGAATCCTGCTCGTGACACTAACTTTTTCATCTTAACCAAGACTTTAGATAAAAAGTATAATTAATTGAAATAATTAAATAGGCCAATTATGACCACTAAACATATATGGGTTATGAATTAATATAATTCTCTTATCCAAGCTATACAACAGTTAAGAACCTATACTTCAAATAAAAATATTTCATGTTTTAATTCATTAACCAGTTTACAGTAGAACAACAATAGCCAAAATTATTATATTAGTTACAATATAAGAAATGCTGAATTTTTGTTAAAGATAACATGAGTGAGTCATTGCTACTAGGCTAAATAGCAGACAATGCAATGTAGCTAGTACTATAGTTTTCCATGTTAGACAAAAGTTTAAGTTTAAAGGGAGAAATCCCTACTATAGATTGCATCAAAATGATCCAGTTTTCGATAAAATCATCACGTGTGATGCGAAATGTATTCTGTTCGATAACAGGAGGCGTACAGGTCAGTGGTTGGACAAGGATGAAGCCAACACTTCCAGAAACCAAATCTGCACCCAAAACGGTTATGGTGACTGGTGGTATACTGCTTGGGTTGTTCACTATAATTTCCTGTATTATGGTGAAACTATCATAGCAGAGAAATATTGCCAAGAAATTGACAAAATATAGACACCTATCACAATGCCAACCCTGTGGAAACTTAAGGACTTAGGATATGAAAGTTTACCACACCCTCCATATTCACCTGACCTCTTGTCTACATACTTCTACTTTTATAGGCATTTTAATCACTTCTTGAGGGATACATTTTTTGGAGAATGCAGTGAAGCCGAAAACGCCTTCCACGACTTTATCGTGAGCCAAAATAAACATTTTTAAAGATCCATTATATGTAGTGGTCTATTTGCCAAATTACTTCTTTCAATTAATTAATCTTTTATGTAAGGTTTTGGTTGAAATGAAAAAGTGCCACGAGCGGGATTTGAACCCACGACCTTGGCTAAATAAGCCGCTGCTCTATTTCATTTTTAGAAATGATGAATGGTGGAGTGCATGTGTTGTTCAATCTTTTTAAAAAGTGTGTGGTGATTAGTGACCGTTAATCGATATTTATTTAGAAATCGTGAGATGCGGTCTTTTAAAAAGATGGTTCCTGCTCACAGTAAGAACATAAACATTTTTATATCAGCGGAATAAAATCGCTTATAACACATTGGCAAGATATGCAAGATTGTGATGGACAATATTTTCTTTTTATAATTAGAAAATAAATTTTCTTTATTTTATAAAAATTAAAAATAGTTTTGACTGCCCTTTCAATTTTTGAACCAGCCCAATATTTCCATTTTTCGTTATGTTTATGATGTTTTATATACGTACAATTCAAATATAGTGTTGGAAAATATTTTGAATACATTTTCTTTATTTTATAAAAATTAAAAATACTTTTGATTGCCCTTTCAAAACCTGCATTATTTTTGAACCAGCCCAATATTTCCATTTTTCGTTATGTTTATGATGTTTTATATACATACAATTCAAATATTGTGTTGGAAAATATTTTGAATACATTTTCTTTATTTTATAAAAATTAAAAATACTTTTGACTGCCCTTTCAAAACCTGCATTATTTTTGAACCAGCCCAATATTTCCATTTTTCGTTATGTTTATGATGTTTTATATATGTACAATTAAAATATTGTGTTGGAAAATATTTTGAATACATTTTCTTTATTTTATAAAAATTAAAAATAGTTTTGAGTGGCTTTTCATTCAAAACCTGCATTATTTTTTAACCAGCCCAATATTTCCACTTTTTGTCATTATATTTATGATGTTTTATATATGTACAATTCAAGTAATTACTGCTTATCAACTTTTAATAATTTAATTTTGTTTCCTCTCGATAACTCAAATTATTACTGTGGCCCCTTGGGTTTCAAATCATCAAGAGTCAAATGTTTTATTTTTCCTTATTATTGTCCATATTATACATTGTGAAATCATATAAAGTTCAGCTGTGTAAACCATATAAATTAGACGGGATTTAACTATGTTAGTGAATACATGTTAGAGCATTGGTGTACTGTTCAAAAGACTTTGGGTTTAAATCCCATACATGACATCAGCTTTTTTTATTTCAAATCTCTTGTAAAAAAGTTTGTATGTATTGTAAAGCCACTATGTTCATGAACCAGTAGCGCTCCGCAATCCTGTAACCAATTAAAGTGGAGATGAGGCTGCGAACACGGTTGCTCTGCAGTGTTCACCCGAACAATGAAGTACGTCTGAGATAGTGGCTAGTGCAACACATATATTAATCCACTATTTGACTGAAGATTACAGAAGGTCCTGTAACTTTTGGCAACCAAAAAAAAAAAAAAAGTTCTGAGATGCTATATCAGTTCAGGATAAGGTTACAGGAGCGGTACACACAATATAACGTTCCTCACTGTGTCCATGAACCTACTGTGAACCTAACTCCCCTCCGAGTTCGCCCAAAAACTGACAGCCATCGGAACGATCTCGAATGTTCGCAAACTGTTACATGCTCTGAGTGTAGGAGCAAACACACTAAAGATGAACCAGGTTCGCAAACATAGTGGGTACACCACTTTACATTTTTAGCAAAAGGACTGCAATTAATGTAACGCTGTCAGTTTTAATTTGTCACTTAGCCTTCGATTCAAAGTTAGCATAAAAAAATCGTGATGAAGATTTGGTACATCTATTAAATTCTATAATTAAACATGTCTCTACAGAAAAATTGAAAGCCAATGGAGATTCCAAAAACGGTTTGGGTTGAAACCACCTGTTGACTGTGGTTTGTAACATCGTGACTGTACTTTTTTAATTTAAACAAAACGATTTTTAAACAATTAACTTATAACTTATACTCACGACGTTGACGGTTTTTCTTTAGTAACTGCCATCTGTTTCAGCCTGCCTCCACCGACGAGGTTCTCCTTATCGCCTGCAGCTTCTTGGAGAGGATGTAACGACCTCCTGACACCGTTCACACCCTAGAAAAAACCCACAAAAAATGGGAAAATCAAATTTCTGCCCGGTTGAAAATAAATCTTGCTGCGAATATAAATAAAAAACTAAACAAACACGATCTTCGTTGTTGACCGTTGGGCATTTTTCTGCTTTCTCCTGTTGGAGATGTTGTCCAATCAAATCCGTCCTCATATCGTTAGTCTCAGCCTGTAACAAATAAGCGAGTTGAAGAAAATGAGAATTTTCTTTTGGAAAATCAATCTCCTCACGGATAAATAATCGAAAACATTCACAAAATACGAAAAGACTAAGTTTCAAAAAGAAATGCGTCGCGACGAAGCGGAGTTTGTCAGTGTTATCGGTCACAAGACGTAAAACGAGCCGGATTAACACAACGAACAAACAGAAACGAACCGTCGCTACTCACAACATGGGTTTTCCCTCCTTTCAGTGTTGCCGGGGGTCAGCCTCAGCCCTTTCACTAATCAAGGAAAGTGCCATGATCAAATCTTAAAAATTCATTTAAATGTATTATATTACAAAATAATAAATTATATACAAAGTTTGTTTAAAAAAATATACCTGCAGGATAAATATAAAAAAATTAATATCCATTATAAATAAAAAATGAATTTTTTAAGTTTATTTATTTATATTTTAAATAAAACAACAGTTTAATTCAAAATTTATTAGAAATAATTTAAATTTATGCATTTTCACTGGTTTTGATATTGGTACGCATGAAATCAGTGTAGTGCTAAGTGATAGTGAACCTATGACGTCAAGACGAAGGGAAATGTCAAACGAATGTCAATAGAGATATTTTTTTGCCGGAGTATAAATAATTTATTTGAAGGATATAGTTTTTTTGTTGTGAAATAGAAAGTTCTCGTGGTTGATTGTATTATAAACTTTCTCATGGCAGTTAATTATCTTTTGATCCGAAGTATGTGATATCAGAAAGTTTAATAGTTTCCTGGTCGTTTAATTGTTAAGAGATATTGTCGGTGCAAGGCCCAAAGATGCCACCGATGCGAAGCAAATCGAACGAAGGTATATCGAACTACCAATTGCAGAAATACGAGCTTATTATCGGGTCGACGAAGTCGACGGACAAACCGGTGAAGATATTCAAAAGCGCTAACCATTCGAACAGCGTACTGCAAAACATGAACCTTCTACGTAAGAACAACAAGTTCTGCGATGTTGAAATTGTCGCTGGTGACAATGTCATTAAGGTGCGGTTGAACAGATTGTTTTAATTTTTTGGACGGTACTTAGCATGTTGTTGTTTCAGGCGCACCGTTCTGTCCTTTCAGCGAGCAGCCCGTACTTTCAGGCCATGTTCTCGACTGGGCTGATAGAGGAAGAGAAAGACAGAATTGAAATCCATTACGTCGAACCGAAAATCCTTACACTCATCGTAGACTTTATATATACAGGTATAAAGGGTGATGATGTAGATTTATTGATTTCTATTATACGTATTTGGTACAATTTCTGAAGCGATAAGCATCCGAGATCTAGTTGAAATAGTCGAACACATCAATACTCTAACTTGCAACTCACATCTCAACCAGTAAGTGAAAAGCTAAACACCGGTTAAAACACCTACTTTTTGGAAGTTTTTTAGTATTTTAGATGTTTCACTAGTTTCAAAAAGTTTATTTGGTACAATTTCTGGAGCGATAGGTATCTGAGATCAATTGAACACATCAATACTCCAACACGCAACACACACACCTCAACCGGTAGGCGAAAATCTAAAAACCAGTTAAAACACCTATTTTTGGAAGTTGTTTGGTATTTTAGATGTTTCACTAGTCGATTTAATTGATAAAATATGTCTGACAAAAATATATTGTAAGGCCAAGAAACGCAGGATGATCAGGAATGATTAACTATAACTCTTGTTTCCTTGACCAATTAAAAATGACAATTCTTATCATTTGTGTTTACAGGTGAGTTGAGTTTATGCCAAGAGAACGTTCAAGATCTTATAATTGCGGGAGACATGTTGGAGCTGAAAGAAGTGGTCAACGGTTGCACAGAATTCTTGAGAAATGAACTTCACATTTCAAACGCTGTTGGGATTTATCGGTACAGCTCATTATCCATAAAGTTTGTATCTATATACAATATTAAATATATTAATAATATTAAACTTTCAGATTTGCCGAAGACCACAACTGTTTAAACTTGGCGAAATCCGCTGCAATATTTATTGAAAATAATTTCCCGAGTATAGTGTTCGAGGAGGAATTTTGCGAACTGCCTAAGAATCATCTTTTAAGATTTTTGGACAGCGAATTACTAAAAGTTGACAGCGAATATCAGGTTTATTTATAGTTTTACAATAAATAATATTAATTTGCAAGAAACTTTCTTATAAGTTCTCTTTTTTGTTAGGTATTCCAAGCAGTACTCAGTTGGATTAGTTACGATTTGCCCTCAAGAAAGAGATACGTGTTTGAACTTCTTACTCACGTCCGTTTACCTTTGATATCAGCGTCTTTACTAGACAGATCGATAGCGGAAGTGCCTGATGCCAGCCTAAAGGTGTGTATTTTACTTTTTCATCTATTGATTTATATTTATTCATATTTCTTTTAGGTTGCGCTAAGATCGGTAAGAAAAGATTTGATATCAAAAAAAGGAAATCTTGTCCCTTTGATAGCATATCCAAGGCTATGCGCAAAAAAGACAATATTTATTATTGGAGGGGAGAAAAGAGAATTGCTCAGCTCTTGGACTCGTTCTTTGGAATGCACTTACGATACAATCGAAAGATTTGACTGTTTCACAGGGTAAATGTAGTCATTAATTTTTGAATTGATCACTTGAATAAAATAAATTTTTTTATTTATAGAGAATGGTATGCGGGAATAGAACCAATGGAAACGGGAAGAATCTTACCAGGAGCTGCTGCTTTGAATGGAAAAATTTATGTTGTTGGTGGAGAACACGAATGTGAAATTTTAGCTGATGGTGCTGTTTACGACCCATTAACTAATACCTGGTCTAAAATAGCTAGTATGGTATGTTATTTATGAAAATTTATCATGAAATTGCTTGGTAGCTTCAATAATTATGTAGGTTTTATTGGCATAATAGTTTTTTAAAAATTTATTTTCATTTTAAATGTCTTCTGTGGCTCTTCCCCGGTATATCGACATCACGCCTCTTGTTCTTTTCTTGTATCAACCGTGGAAAATTGAAAAAAAAAAAAAAAAATTAAAGTCCACACCCGACCAGGAAACCCTGAAACAAAGTGATATGAATTTTAATTTTTGTGTCATCGAAGTTTGGTCACATAGAGTAATGGGCTTCTAGCGATGCTTCCTCAATGGAGTCTTCTTCGACCAACTGCTCCATGCTCTTTGTGGACATCACACTGGCTGTCCAAGGACAGTTTTTACGAGCTCGTAAAATGGTGCTCTCGGCCTGTACTTCCAGGCATTATTTGTAGGCCACCTGGATAAACATTCAATTGTAATTCTCAAAGACGTGTATTCAGTACAGATCAGTGTTGACCCAAACAGGTCAATAGCTTTTCTCAAGGCCGGAATCATTGAGAATAGAGACAGAATGAGGTGAAGAGGATAGATGCAATTTGCCTTCAATCGCCAATTTGTTATTGAATCAAGCTTTCCTCCTCATACTACAACTCTTGGGAAGTTTTTTAAATACACTGAGGAGAAGCCATAATTAATTAAATAAAACCTTCAAAATTATAGATTTGTCATCTGAGCTTTAGTGATTTTCTAGTTGTACAAATTTACATTGTAGTTATTATTTTTTCTACCTTAGGTGGAAGCAAGATGTGAATTTGGACTGTGTGCAGTTGATGGGGATTTGTATGCACTTGGAGGATGGGTAGGCTCTGACATTGGAGGAACAATTGAGAGGTCAGTCTGCTTTCATAAACAATTTAATTCGATAAATTATTTACTAAAATTATTGACTCTGTGTTAAGATATGACATGGTGTTGGATGAATGGCATTTAGAAGGTTCACTTCCAGAACCGAGATTCAGTATGGGTGTCGTTTCTTATGAAGGTAACTTATTAATGAAAAAAAAAATTATAAATTAAAATATGAATTTCATTAACTTTTTTCTTCATTAGGAAACATATACATCGTAGGAGGATGCACTCATAATCAAAGACACGTCCAAGATTTTATAAAACTTGATCCATCGACTGGAAAGTGTAGCTCTTTAGCTCCAATGCTTGAACCTAGATCACAGATTGGTGTTGCTGTCTTAGATGGCTATTTATATGTCGTGGGTGGTACAAACAAAGACAACGATGTCCTAAGAACAGTTGAAAGATATTCTTTTGAACAGGTATTTATTATGGTGCTGCTAATGAAAATATACAACTTTTATAAGCTTGGTTTTTGTTTGTATCAATTACTAAAGACTGAATATTAATTATTTTATCAAAACTACTCGTTTATATTTTCTTCTCTGAGATAGGATACTTGCATGCTAGAAACTTCTGTAAATTTTATTGTTTTTTTTCTTCCAAAGAATAAATGGAGCCCAGTTGGTACGCTTAAAATGGGCAGAGCCAGTCCTGCCGTAGCAGCTGCAGGTGGCTACTTATATGTACTCGGAGGTGACCAAACGCATGAAATAAATTTCTACCGGGCTCAAGTCACAATGTCATCCGTTGAACGTTACGACCCTGTTAGAAACGTTTGGGAGGAATCTGTCCCCCTGCGAGACAGCAGGAGCGAAGCGGCCGCTGTCGTTCTTTAACAATAAATCTGTCTTGCCTGACAAGCGAATCTTTAAACCAACATCAATTCCCTATGAAAACATATCAATTAAAACAAATTTAAAAAAAGTTTTCAATATCAGGAATTTCTAAAAAGTTTCGAATGTGGAGTGATTATGAAAATGTTGAAATATTTTATTGTTATTATCATGAAATGTTTATTTTTTAAGAAATTTTGTTTTATGATTATTATTGAAATTTAGTGCTTGATTGTTTAAAAGTAAACAGAGTTATCTCCAAAATCAACTTCATATATCTTTTCATATTTAATTTTAATTTTTAAAAAATATTATTTGGATTGAAAAAAATATTTTAATGAGTAGTTTTACATAAATAATATTTAAATTAAACAATAAAACTACTGAAAAATAGTTATTAATAATTGTTTTGAAAATTCCAATTCTGTATTTTTTGAGAAAACATTTGTATATGTTCCTATTATTTATTTATTGTTTTATTTATTTTTAATCTATCAACTATTGAATAGTATTTTTTTTTTCAAGTGAGTGAAAGAAGTTAGGAAGAAGAATTTAAAATTCTTAAAAACCAAAGAATAGGTTATCATTGTTAACTAAAAGCATGATGGTTCCTAGTTGTTAAGAAACCATACAAAATTGTATTAACTTCCCCAAAAAAATAAAAGGATCAATTTTACAGTTTTACATTATAAGATGAATAAGGGAGTACCATAATGTAGTGAACAATTTAAATGTAAGCAATTGTAATTATTAAGGGCCTGGGTAAAGTATTGAAGGTGTGCAGTACTATTACTGCACTTGACCAAAATTCTTATAAACTATGATAATTTTTATTGCACATATTTACTATAAGTAAATAGGGGCTCACAATTAGCTATGCAAATTAACGTTATCATGCTCAATGCTCATTTGCCTCAATATGTTCCATTACACGTGTTACTGTAAGTTGCATTGAGACTGATACATATTCTTAAGATTAGATGCAAAACATATATGTCCATGATCATTTATGACCTATTTCTTTTGACGTTTTGATTTACAGTTAAATATTACAAGTAGGCACTTTTGTGCAAAGTTACTGGTTATCTTTAATCATGGCTGTGCTGTAAAAATTAAATACTGAAGTTTCCCTGAAAACATTGGACGTATCAAAAGCTTCTAAAAAAAAGCTTATGGTTGATTAGATTAGCTTGCAAATGTTTCAATTTTTTACACAGTGTTGGCGCTGTCTTGAATTATTTTGTATAACATGAGCTAAATGCACTATTTTTTTTTAAATAATCAAAAGTTTTACTAAATTTCTGCTTTATGAATAATAATATATATTAATATGTGCTTGTTCATTCATATAATAACTACGATGTTAATCAATGTGCATGAGTAGTTGAAAGAAAAAATATGTTGTTTAAAATGTAGTTTTTAATGTTAGCATTAAGTCAATTGATTGAATACGCTTCGTTAATAATGTCTATATTCAACTAGGTTGAAACGTTTTGCCAACACTGTGCTTTAATTAAGTCTCGCGTTTCAGTTTCAACTATAAAGGGAACGAATTTTAAATATTTCCTTCCTTAAATTATTATTGCTTAATATGTAAGGTATGTGTGAACAGATCGATATAACACACAGTTTTAAGGAACAGAATACTAAAAATCCGTACCATGAACAAATAAAAGTTTTAAGAAGAAATTTTGCTTAAGTATATGAAATTAATAATACATATTTATTCATTGAATTAAAATTTTTGATTGTTTATAAATGTGATATATTGTTTTATAAAATAAATATTACCTATAACTATACTGTGTTAATTTATTTTTTAATATGTGAATTTCCCAACTAGTTTTCACCAAGTACAAAACAAAAATAATATATACAAGTTACAGGTGGATTTAATTAAATAAACACCATTGGTTTCAAAGTAAATTGTATTAATGTTATTTCATTACACAGTGTTACACCGAACCTGAGACTTAAGCTGGTCCTAGTGTCTATTCTGACATCTTTGTATTGCTCTATCCAAGACTCATGAGGTGAAGTTTCTCCACCTGAGGTCACATACACTCTTATCAGTGAGGACCCAGAAAAGGAAACGTATTGGCTGAGTGGTTAGTCTTCAACTCTCTTAAGCAGCCCATAGACGATCAATATTATTGCACAATATTTGGGGTTGTGCAATCTAATTGATCGTGTGTAGACGATATTGAAAGTTTGTGCAATTCATTGCATGATTGACAAAAAGTTGAAAATATATTGTACAACCTGGAAAATATTGCACTGTCTGTTGGCATTATTGTGCAGTATCAGTCAGTTTGTGAAGTATCAACAATTCATTGACATGTATCATGGCCTTCCGGCTCTTTGGGATGTCAAATGTAAGGATTACTGTAACCGAGCCAAGAAAGGAGAGCAGTACGATGCTCTATTAGAAAAATATCGCGAAAAATACCCAACAGCAGACAGACCACAAGTGGTCAAAAAAATAAATTCTTTGCGGACCAACTTCCGCAAAGAATTAAAACGTATTCGGGATGCTGAAAAAAGTGGTGCCGGTGTGGAGGATGTCGAACCCTCGGTGTCGATTTTTTCGATTATAGGAGCGACCAAACCAAGGAGTTCATCGAATAAGTCTCCGTCCATTCGTAAAAAGTTACAAAAATCATTAGATTCAATGATTCTCAGTTCATTGAATAACTTTTCGTGGGTGTACTTTTCCCGATCGATAAACCACTGTTTGGCCCATTTTCTTTCTTTCCTGAATGTCTTCTTGTTCTTTTTCAAGTCTACACTCACAGCAATTAAAACACAACACAGTTCAATATCACTCAACATGACTTCACAAGGTGAAAACTTTCTAGCGCTTCCAGGAGACTGATTTGCACTGTGCTTCCAGAAAGTTGCACAATATACCTTGTCTGTGCTCGTGGTTGTACAAAATATTGCACAAACTTCAATGTCGCCCTCAAACTATTCAAGTTCATTGCACAAACAAAATTTTGTGCAATATTATTGAACGTCAAGGTGCAACCATCAAATTATTGTGCAATCTATATTGTACAATAATATTAACCGTCTATGGGCTGCTTTACTTGACACACTAGCAATCTGTTGTTGGAATACCAGCATAGCCCTTGGAATTTTCAAACCTCTACTGTAGACCTTTATGTACTTTAAATTTCTTGGTGAAGCAGGGCAGGAGTAGCCAAGTGCTTAACATGATAGACTCTCGGCTCATGGCTCATAGAACCAGCAGTTGTGGGTTCGATTCCTACTATCGCCCTTGGCCTTTTTTCCACACGACATCCCCAAAAAATCAGTAATATGCGGAATCTTGACTTCTCCTCTGGCTAATATGCAAGATCATAAGGCCATTTTTTCGGTACTGATTTTAGGGTGCTAAAATCCTATTTTGCATAATTTTACATCGTGCATTGAAATTCGAAGCACTCACTTTGAATCGCTCTCCTTTTGATGTGCACTGATTCCATTCAAAATTTGACATTACATTCCTCAAATATTATGGTTTTCAACAAAAATTAATAAATGGAAGGAGGAAAAAAGTTGAATTTTAAGTGAAAATTTATTTTTTACAAAAATTATTCATTATGTATATTAAAAGACAATAACAAAAAACAAAATAATTACTGATTATTGATTTATTTAGCTCAACTCAGTACACGTATGTAAATACAAAAACTAAAACTAAGTGTACTTGATAGAGAAGAGGGGAAAATCAGAAAGATAGTAGGGTCAATGGTAGTGAAGGGCGGGGCAAGAGGTAGACAAAAGTAAAATATGTACAGAAATATTGTGGACAAATGGTTTTCCAGAAAAATTATTGTTTTGGAATTTTCCGAAGCTTGAGAGATAGAGTCAGAATATGGGAATATGGGTCAGAATCTCTGACACCTGTTACCTATGTCCAGAATCTGACTTTGAAGGTTAAGTCTAACCGAGGAGTTTGTCAGCATAAGAGGGCATCCATTGTATGATTTTTATACTTGTATAATTTATATAATTTTTGGTTATGGTAAATAGTTTTAATACTTCTATACTTTTTAACTTTTATTTTTACTTTTTAAACTTAAAACTTAGATCATTGAGGCAAGAATTTATGGAAATCAGTGGTTTCAACGTGTTAGTCTTTTCTATAAAACAAGTTTTAAGCTTTGTGTAAGCCAATAAAACAATTTTTATTCAAAGAAGTATTAATGGTACTTTTGCAATTATTTTTTAAAATTGTTCTGTGAAATCTTTAGAAAAAAGAAAAAATTGGGAAAAATGTATAAAAAAAGCTTTACTATAAGACAGTACATATATTCAAAAATGAAGCTATTTATTTCTGTATATGTAAATTAGTAAATTTGGATTTCCCCTATGATTCTTCCACTGGTTCTAGGCTTTTTTATATTGCTCTGGGGCTCTAGGTTTTTATACATCTCTTGTGTCGAAATTAACGAATTCAGAAAAATCTTTATGTTTCATCCATGGGGTGTGTTCAATAAGTCGGTAGAGAGTTAAGGGTATGGACGGAAAGACGGACAGGAACCACGATGCTGATGATGGTAACGTATCTCTCAGCATTGAAAGAAGTCCGCTTATTGTGTCCGCATAGTCCAATTTTGAAGGTACCAGTCCAATTAGTTGACACTCAACCATTTTAACCTGTATCAAGTTGATTTAGATTGGTACATGTTTAAAAAATAAAATAAAATATTTAAAATAATCGTACCCATCTAGTGTGAACATTGTTTTGTTTAGCATATATATCAAGACATTCATGGAAACGTGATACTGATATTGACAACTTTCTGTTTTCAGGGGCTACCCCGGCACAAGTTAATATAAATCTCCAACGTTTTTCTTTGTCCCACAGAAAAACATGCCTGTAAAATAAATGTTTTTAATAATGGAAAAATAAAATAAAATTCTTTAACAACCTCAAGACCATTGAAATCATTGGCCGCTCGTGTGGTTTATGAGACAGCATCCATGTTATTAAATCTTTTATTTCTTCATGTTCCAAAGCTAGCCTCGGCTGGGCTGCTTCTAAATTGTGCATGATTTCATGTGGAAAACGTCCATACGGGTGAATACCCCCTGTCACTATATAATGAGCTATCATTCCACAAACTTGAATATCTGATAGCTTGCTTACTAGAAGCTTGAAAATTGATTTCATCTTTTTAAAATAATGGGTTTGAAAAATTAGAACGAATATAATAATGTTTTACTGATATAAAATATCTACTTTGTGATGGTTCCGGTAATACCAGAAAGTCTCCTGGGCCCACCAGATAACAGTACCGATCTGAGGTTGAGTTCGTTGATAAAGAATCTGAAAATTTCCAATTATAAAATATAATTCATATTTGTTAAAACAGAAATATGAAATTAGGTAAAATGATTTACACCAGGAAATTATGAAATAACTAAAAAGGAAAATGTTCTACGTTAAGGCATCACATCTCATCGTATCACGTAAATATTTTATGTTTACAAAAAGCTTGCATAATATTATATTATGCTTTTTAAATATTATAATACACGGTGTTGTAGCAAAAAACAAATAGACTAAAGAGAGCAGGGCATTTAGATAAAGAAAAAATACAAAAAATACTAAACTATTTGAAGAACATAACACTTGACTGAAAACTTAAACAAAATAAAAAGACTACAACAAAATCAGAGAAGAAAATTAAAGAAAGGAGTGAAAGTGTTTTTTAAATTATTTTTTATAGATTACAACAATTTAATTTTTATTTATTTAAATTTTAGTCTCCAACTCAAATGTGTTTTTGTAATTGTGAGATCTCTGTGTGGTATGCTGAGTGATGTACCCCAATTTCATCATTGCTGATCAATTTGTTCTGTCTTTCTGACCTTTCTAGGTCGATAAAGGCTAAATTTTTTTCATTAGAAATTCTTTATTTTTTGTTTGTCTTATTATTAAAGTATGAATGTGAGTGTTTCAATAATATTTTTAAATAGTTTTTTTGCCATTTCAACATTCTTCATATAAAGTTGATGGTGGGTTGGCCTGCATGTTGGTCAACAGTTGTTGAAATGTCTCTGGGTTACTTTTTGGGTCTGTCTTCACTGAAGTCACCCCCTGAACCCTCACTGAAGATGTCTCAATACCAAAACGTGTTTCAGTAATTCAAAAACATCTGAGTGTAGACGGGCCCAATAAGTAACCCAGTTCAGTTTCACTCTTATGAATATATGCACTCTGCATTAACTGATTAAAGAATTTCGTTTTTGAACATTTTGAACAAACTAAAATTGAATTTACACCACACCTGCACTATGAGTGTTGTGTGTGTATGCTTGTGTATTTGTAATTTGTGCACATATTGGTATATTGTAAGTGAAACAAATAGGTGGAAGGAGAAGTAATAAAAAGCATATTCCAAGCAGGTCACAAATGATAGATTGTTCACCGACGAGTCATGCCCTTTCTTCCTTGGTCCCTTCTTCTATTACATTTCCCATTCACCATCAGATCCTCTGCACACTCCCATAAAACTCGCTCCACACCCTCACACAGACCTACAGCGTTCAGTCATTCCTTCCTCATCTATGCCCTAAGCCTGTGGCACTCCCTCCCTCACTCTATCTGTTAAACCCCATCCTTTTCCACCTTTAAGACCCACCTCTTTAATCATCGCTTGTCCTTACAATTTATTAATTGTCCCTTTTTAGTGTAATTTCCATGGTAGAGGATTTTATTTAATATAGACTTATCAGGCTTGCATCTTTGCAAAAATGTTGCGTTCGTAATTAATTATTTAAAGGGACTTTAAATTCAAGAATAAAGTTTATTTTTCATTTCATTTCATCAACAACGAATTAGCATTTTATAACAACCAACTTGGAACTTATCTTAATGTGGAATATAATTTAAACTACAGAGGGGTTCCATGAAAAATTTTTTTTAGTGCAAACCTTTACAATACTTTCTAATAATGATACTACTAGTTGAATTTCTATTGTTATTTAAATGAAAAAAAAAAATGTCCTACGGATTTCATTATTTATTTAAAAAAAGAAAACGTTTGGTGAAGAAATGAAAAATCTTAGTTAATAGTTCTTCTCGCGTGTTTTAAGTCGTAAAAAAGTTTCAATTTCGTCAGGTTAAATATATTTTTAAAATTTTCTTCGTGTTCTCGTTCAATTACCAATAGATCGGCAATGAAAATACTAAAATTTAAATCTTTGCGTTTTAATTTGCTTAGCGTAACTTCCGTTTTTATTTTTCCCCCCTGTACCCGCAAAAGACGGGCTCAACAATTTTTTTTTCGAGAAAAATTAAATTTTCATTTTTTTTCGCGCCCTGCTTTAAAACAATAGAAGTAACACGATATCAGCAGTTTTTGTTTACAAAGAAAGGAAATTTGACGATTCGATTTCTCATCCATGACCGCTGAAAAGTAACCTTTGAAGTTAACTTTCTTCAACGATTTTTGGTTACTTGGTAGTTGGTACAGACAAAATGGAGTTCTGGAGGCAATTTGATGGGGGCTGTTTGTTTCCCAAGGTATTTAGATAATTTATTCACATTTATCATAATTATTTTGTTGTTAAATATAATTAAAAATTGAAATACTGTCTTAATAGTAGGCAAATTTATACGTTTTTTCATCATTTCAATCTTAAAGTTTATAGACTGCATAATAATTGTTTGTTTTTATTTAGTGTTTTTGTTTAAAATTAAGTTAAATATACCTCATTTGCTGCAATAAAATAAAAATGTTTTATTTGATCATTGCTTTTATAAAATGTTGAACCGGCACACGGGCACTACTGGGTCTCTCTTAACCCGCGAGTGAAGACAGACCCAGTAGTGCCCGTGTGCCGGTTCAACATGAGTTCGCCAACTCGCAGACCAAACCCCATCATCTTTTATAAAATACTATATTAATATTTTATATTTTGTTTTATAGGGAAAAGAAATACCATCATACACAAAAATTCTACAGGTATGTTGTTTCTGCCTTTTTGGATTTTTTCAATATAGTTTTAATGAAAAACATGCAATTTAAATATTTTTGATAATAAAATGTAAATAAAATCTAGACAGCTGACTAAACAACCATAGTCTAGGAAAAACAACAAATAGAATTAAACTGTGTGATAATGTTGTTAAATTTATGACAATGAAAAAAAATTACTTTTACAGTTTAATTCTTTCTTCCATCCATGATACTTTCAAGATTGAAATTTTTTAAAGCCTACTTCCTTTAAAAGTTTTCGCAATTTATTTCAACTTCTGCCTTATTCCATATACATAAATAGCCATATAGAAAATGAAAGTATTTAATTTTTATTTAATTTAATGCACTGAGATATTCTAAAAAGACCTAAGTAAAGAAAAATATTAAGTGGTGAATTTGAAAGAAAGAAAATCATCTATTTCCTTTGTCAAACTTCCAAGGATTATTCTTTCTTCATCAGGATTTATTAAAAATTATGGTGTAAATTAATGAATGATTTTTGTTCATAAATAATTGAACAATTTTTAAGTAGTATTAATTTTGAAGTATTATATGCATTGTAATGATTTGAAGAATGGACGAGTGGTAGATCTTGTCCACTCTGTAAAGCTAAACTCATAAATTCATTATGGTTGGAGCCATAATTTTTAATATTATATGTAAATGTTTCTATTTGTTAACTATGTAAATAATCTAGTTTCCACGTCCTGATGAAGGGAATTTTTCCTCAAAAGACAAGGACCTCCTTGACAAAGGAACTGAGTGTTTTCTACAAATGATAAAGGTAAGGTGAATATGTCGTATAATCTTTTTTAAAAGATGGGTCTTACTCATAGTTTCATAATATAAACACTCACTTACAGTTTGTTTTCAATGATTCAGATTTGAAGCTTAAAGCTCAACTTAATCAGGTTGAAGGATTTACAACCACTTCTCTTGACATGAATTGTGATTATTGACTTGTGGTCGTAAATCCTTCAACCTGATTAAGCTGAGCTTTAAGCTTGTAATCTGAATCATTGAAAACAAACTGTAAGTGAGTGTTTTCTTTCTGTCATATTGCCTTATCCCTGACTTTTTTATATGCATTTATAATATAATTAAGGCTGATATCAATCACATCAAGACAAACTACCATATTTTAGATAATGCTATAAATTTTAATATAGAAGGAATCAATTTAGTCAGTTCTGAAAATTACTTACAGTGCCTATACCGAATTCTGATAACCTTAATCTCTCATGAGCGTCGACTAGTATATTTGAAGGCTTAAGATTCCCATGGACTATTGGTGTCGGCTGACCATGGAGGAAATGGATGCCTTCAATGATCTAAAAACAATTAAGGTTAATTGCGCACTTTTGGATTTTATTACTTGATGTACCTGTCTAATCATCATGCAAGCTACATTTAAATTGAATCTTGCTGACCTTTTGACTGTGAACATGTACTCCCCCAAATTTCTCTCACATAAAGGTGTTGCCAGAACAAGCTGAAAATGTTATGCAATTTTATTCATTAAATTTGAATTAACATTCCTTATTGAAAAGGTTTTATTATTTTGCGTATCAGGAGTGGTCAGTTTTAATGTACGTTTCTAAAAAAGACTTTTTTGGTCCATTTGAGATTTGTCAGTTTGTCAAATGCTACCTGTTTATTTAAAAATTTCTTTTATAATATTAACTAATAGTTTTTCCCTAAAATTTTTACCTGATCTTTAATTTCTATAAAATGTGTGTATGGTAGAAGATGGTCAGAGTGCAATTCAATTAAAGTCTTTATTAAATTTTTCAATGACGCCGCTATAATTTGGTCCACTATTGTTTTTGTTGAAACTTTTTTTACCACTAATGGAACTGTTGCTGAAAGATGGATTAAAAGTGTTAAAAGATGTGAACGCTTTAAACTCTTAATACTTACAACAAAGATCTAGTCCTAAATATACCACACCGAAATTTCCACCTTCAGCGATTTTACTCTCATCGTATATGTTAGGAAGGATGATATCTTCTACATATCCAGAACGGACCCTGTCTTGCCAGATTTGTTTTAATGATTGTAGTACTTCACCGTATCTTGTTCTTATGAAAAATGGCTCTCTAATACATTAAAGACACTGTATTTTTACAATGTCTTCTGAATTGGTGTACAGCTTGAACTTACCTTTCTGTTCGACACTGCCGACAAATGATTTCCATTTCCCTTTGTAAAGGGAAGCCGGGAGGTGGCGGGATTTTTTTGTTCTTTTCATTTGCAACAGCAAGTAGGTAATCGGTTCGCAACCAGTCATCTTCAGAAGTACAATCGGAAAGGCATCTGTCTGTGTCATCGTTTTCCGAATTATCACTCATCTCACTGACCAAATCCTCATTTGTAGAAATTGATGGTGTTGCTTCATCCTGCTGAACTATTTCCACATTGTTCAGTTTAAATTCTTCAATTTGTGTGTTTTTCAAGTCTTCAATTTTTATTGACGGCTTGACTGCCATTATAGATTCATATCTTTCGTTTACTTCTTTAAACATTTTCCCTAAATATTCTTGTAATTCTTCAAGTATTGTTTTACAGTCTTTCTGCTTTTCACGGTAGTTCACTTTTAACTGGTCTACGAGATTTTTCCACTTCCTTGTTACTTCTGATAAGTAATACAACTCTAGATCAGGAAGTACGTGCATCAGTTTTAAATAATCTTCAGTGTCACCATTGGCGTCTACATATCCTTCATCATACTCTTTCTGCCAGATTTCTTCATATTTCAATATAATTTCATTAAACATGTTATCCAATTCTTCTACTATTGGATTAAATTCATCAGGCTCATGGTCTTTATCGCCCATATCACCACTTCCTAATTCTTTCTTTAATTCCCAGATTGCTTCTTGGCCGATCGGAGATCCTTCGGATATTCCAAATAAATCACAACCTTCTTTAAAGTCTTCTTGCCAATTTGGGTAAATAGTAGGGGTGCTCGCAACTACTTCCCCGCCAAAGTCAGCTGAGAAAGAATCTCGGAACAATTCAGAGGAAGAATTCAAGGACCAGTAGGAAGTGTCTTTAGCATTACTCGTTTTAGGACCGAGTGCTTCTTCAGAGGTTTTTTCCTTAATTTGTAATTTAGAATTTGCTTTTTTCAAAGGTGGTTGCTCTAGAGTCTTTGTTGCAATTACTTTAACTTTAGCATTGTTCTCTTCAATCTGAGCTCTCTTTAAGTTGTCTTCTGAACATTTGCGTTTAATTTCATTGTCTTCTGACTTCTTCACAACTGGTTCTAATATTTTAACAGGCTTTTCTTCAGGGATCTTACTTGCAGCTTTAACATCGGACTTTTTCTTTTTTGTTTTATCATCGAGAACAATTTCGTTGTTTTGGAATTCTGTCAGAACGGCTTTAAAATCACCACTTGTCTTTCTGACTAGAGTTAAATGTTTATCATTTGGATAGAGACTCATGTAAGGAGGCGTAGAGTGGGTGGAATTTTTATAATAATAGAATAGTGTTTTGTAGTTTTTCTTTATCCATGTTTTTGAACTTGGGTGTTTACATGTGAAAAACAAAGGCAGTAAAACTGTATGGATATGAGAATTTGAAAATGTTGAAGCACCAAATCTGAAAGAAAAAAAAATCACATTGTTGCATGTTTGATAATTTAGCATTTGTACCTTTTTAAAATACGCAAACAAGTATTTGGAAAACCAGACTCATAAAATGATGTGAATAACTCATCTTTTGGAATATGATTCATACAACAATCACAGAATCTTAGTATTTCAGACAAAACACCTAGTATTGCCAATATGTAGTCTCCATCATCCATGTGCTTTTCAGCAATCTAAAGACAACAAAAATAATTAAATGACAAGTATTAATATAAGATCTAATAAATTAAGAAATCAAGTTATTCTTACATCTTTGATTAGCTTAAATACTCTTATTTCTAAAAATGCAGTCACACCCTTCTTGATACATCTTGTCGCAAATGTAATGACATGGATTATAATGGATGAGACTGTGTTACCAAAATTATCTTCTGGAGGATCATGTAGAAGTTCAAATCTTCTCTAAAATAATATTTTTTAAATTTTATTTCAGAGATTGTAAAGAGATACTTTGCTAAATGAATACCTGCAGGTAGGCATTTAAAGAACGCTTTGGTGTTGATTGATCAAGAGCTTTAAGAAGTTTTTCAATTGGTTGATTAGGCATTTCTAACCTCTTTTGAATGAAATAAGCAATTGCATAACACAAAGCAGTGCACCCTCTCTGAATAATAAAATATTGCAAGTAAGCTTGAAGTTTAAATAGAAAAAATTCATATTTAATACTTGGTCTTCTATCCACAGATCTGCTTTGTGCTTTAGTAGAGTAGAAATGCATGCCTCTTGGTGTCTTGAGCAGGCCATCATTAATGCTGTAACTCCTTTGCAAGTAACAGTATTCAAATTTACTCTTGATGTCGAAGCAACAAGTTCTAGGGCCGTGTCCCATTGCCTCTTGACCATGTAATGGATGACAGTGTTACCTAGCTGAAAAAAAAATCGAGGATGTGAAAATTTAACTGAAGAGATTGAAAACCAGAAGAATGAATGCCTGTTGTATTATTTACTTTATTTGCATGGTTGACATTGATTTCTGTGTCTTTGATTTTCAACCAGAAATCCATGAAGGTATCTTGATCCCATGATGAAGTTTGCAGGGCCAGTAGAAAAGCATTGTTCCCTTCCCCATCAGTCATGTTAACGTTGGCTCCTCTTCGGATCAGAAAATCGGCCATGTCAACCAGTTTCAGTTTTACTGCCCACAGCATCGGACTTGTTCCATCCTGCAAATGTCACATATCAACATCAAGTCAATATGAAGCGATCAATTTCATTTACCTCTGCGCATTTTTCCAATGAATATCCTTCTCTCAATAATTTTTTGACGATGTGAAACCTTCCGAGAACGACAGCTCCCAGAAACACATTGGAATCGTCCTGTTTGAGAACAATTCAAAATCAAATTAATTAATAAAACAATGTAATCATGTAAAGTATTTTGTTTTATTTGCAGATTTTATTCATTACTCCAGACAATAAAATTAGCTAGATTAGATTGTTGTATTGTGTGTTTATTATAAGTCAAAATTGATCTAATCTGAAATGCTTTGAAATATATTTTATTGGTGGCCAATAACCAATAATATAATGAATATTTCATTAATATTGATGGCTCTTTACTTAAGTGAAACACCCAAACTTACACATTACAGATGAGAACATGTGCAAATGGATTATATAATTTGATAAAACGACAGAAAGTGAAAATAACACAAAACACTCACAATGTGGATGCAATAGATGGTGTTTGGAGGGGTAAAAATGCAAATATAAAACACACACACACACACACACACACACACATCGCTCTCGCTCTTTCTCTCTCTCTCTCGCCCTCTCACTCACTCACTTTCTCACATTCTATCTCACAATCAGCCTCTAAATTGCAATACTTTTTAAATAAAATGATATGCATTCATTTGGTCTCTCTGTCTCTCACCTTCTCACGTTTTATCTCTAAATTTGCGACATTAAAAAAAATCGATATTAACTCTCTCTCTCTTTCTCTCTCTCTCTCTCTCTCTTTGTCTCTGTCTCAATTTCTCTTTTTTTCTCACACTCTATCTCTCAATATTTCTCGCTTTCTCTCTCTCCCTCCATCACTCTCTGATTCACTCACTCATTTTCTACATTTTATCTCACAATCAGGTTCTGAACTACGATATTTTTTTAAAATAAAACAATATACATTCATTCATTCATTTATTCTCTCTTTCTCTTACTTTCTAACATTTTGTGTCAGTCTCTAAATTTGCGAGATTAATAAGAAACAATTTTATTTCATTCTCTCCCTCTCCCTCTTTCTTCCTCTTTCTCACTCTCTATCTCTCAATATCTCTCGCTCTCTCTCTCCCTCCCTCAACTCACTTGTCACATTTCAACTCACAATCAGACTCTGAATTACGATATTTTTCTTTTTTAAATAAAACATGCATTCATTCATGTATTCTCTCTCTCTCTCTCGCTCTCTCTCTCTCTCTCTCTCTCTCTCTCTCTCTCTCTCTCTCTCTCTCTCTCTCTCTCTCTCTCACTAATAATAGGATACTAACCAAGGTTTGGTTTTCTAAAATTGTGGTCCTCTTTAACCCTCTCATGAGCTTCATAGTAAGTTTATAAACGAACAGTGGTGCGAAAAGAGTATAAAATTTTGTAATTTTCCAATTTTCTTCGAGTTTGTGTTGTTTGATTTCTAATAATCACACAACTGTATCAATATTTTTCAAGTAAGAAAAAAAGTTCATTTATTGAATTTGAAGAGCTCTCTACGCCCCTTCGACGTTATTTAGCAAGGGGGATAATCTGATTAAGAATCACCCTTAAATATCATATGAATAGGTCCCAATCTACTGTGAACCGTTGCTATAATAGGCGGAAGGGAAAAAGCGACAACCAAGAACCCCCGAACTTGTACGTTTCCAACGTTTGAAATTACATAGGTACGTACTGGAAACAATGGTTGTGCAAAACATTTCGATATAATCTGAGGTTATATTTATTATAATTTGTAACAAAAGTCAGTAAGATTTTATAGGCTTTCTAGGAATTTTAAGTTAATCTTCATGAGTTATTTCTTGAATTAGGGGGCTTTGAAACACCTGAATTCTTTTACCTTATCCTGTACCTAAGTGTGTTTAAAAGGGGAAAAATTGATAAAATTAATGTATCTTCTTCAGTTTTAAACATCCAGTAATGCAAAATGTAAAGAGGTAGTCCGAAGAAGCGAGGTCGGTACTATAAACAAGGCGAGAGGTTTAAAATCTAGTCTATTAATTTTTAAGATGACACCTTGGGCTAACCCAGAACAGCATAAGCGACCAACTCAAATCGCTCAAATGCTTTGTCTAATAAATTTTCAAACTAGTTCTTGAATGAACGTTAAAGCTAAACGTTAAATGTTAACTCATGTGGGTTAAAAATATAAAGTATAGACTTCTACTACAATCTAATGTTTTAAGTAAAATTTAAAGTTTGGTATTTACAAATTTTTAGTCTTTTCTACTGACTGTTTTTTTTAAATCTAATCAAACTGCGTATCATTCAACAAGTGTTTCGGAATTGATCATTGTTTCCTTACCAGTTCGGCTATGTTCAATATGTTGGTTATTTCAACGATGTCCTCGCTTTTGAATAAGGTCGAGACCGAGACGTTTCTCTCATGATTCACTTTATCGTCGTGTTCAGGCTTGGCAACTTCCCTCTTTTCCAATTCGCGCCTCCTTGCCTCTTTCTTTTTTAATTTTCTTCCACGAGTCATTTATTTATTTATTAAAAAAAATATTATTTCGAGGTTTCAAACCGATTTCAGAGCAGTTGGAGGACTGATAAAAACAAACAATCAAAAAATAAAAATGAGTTAACGTGTTCCAACAACCCGATAATTGAATAAATATAAAATAAAGACAGGTTTTTGTTAAATCTAAAGATCATCTGTTGAAAGCGAGGTGAAATATGTTATTTTATTGGAATAAACCAATAAACCAATATTGAACAGTATATCGGGTCATTTGTAACTTCCTGGAGTTAAAGGGTTGTATTTTACAATGGTACTTTTCGTCTTGAGGAGAATTTAAATTAGTCAATTGAAGATAATGTCTGCTAATAAAAATTCTAAATTAGAATTACCCAGTGTTCAGAGTCCAGGAAGTAAGCGAGAAACGTACTGCAATTTGTTCATTGTGGTAAACCCTTTTAGAGCGTTTATAAAATTGTGTTGATACGCATGGGAACGAGAGAAAATCATAGAAAACATGAAAGGCATTCGAAAACAAATCCTGATGGGCTTAATTGTCGAATGATAATTGCAGTACTGGTGACCCTTAGCCGTAAAGTTTGCTTATTATGTATTACATTAACTGTAGTTTTTTTTTGTCGATGGGTTAATTTATTTTTAGAATTTAGTTTTTTCAGTTTGATGTAACTGAAGAAGGAAGTGAATGACAGGCGACTGAAGATTGTTTAATTATACATATTGATTTTTTTACATGTTTTTCTTTTCTAATATACTGACGCTTGTTATTTCAGTAATATACAATGAGAAAAAATTCATGTGGCTTCTAGGCGTAAAATTGCTTTAATTAAAACCAGGTGACATTACGAAGTGGAAAATGTGAAGTTTTACTTAAATGTTGATAGTTTGAAGAAGGTTCAAGAGAAGAGTTTTCTCTTCCTCGACAATGTATATCGAAAATAAAACTTTTGTTATTTCCGGAGGTGAAAGGAGTAAAGGTTCAAATGATTCATTGCCGGTTGATAAAGAAAAAAGTAAAGAAATTCCACAGTGAAACGAATTCGAATTTTATATTCTTCACTTACAGAGGCTCACGGCGGGTCCTTTATTCAATCTCTTGTCATATGTGGGAAAGTACGAGTACAGTAAGAGTAATTTTTTCAAAAAAACAATTTTTCTATTAACTATTATGGCAATATAATTTGAGAAGAAAAAAAAACCCAATTCTTAAAAAAGAAAATATCTAAAATGTTTTCGAAGTTAAAAAATAACCACGCCATGTGGTTTTTTCAATCTGACAATATTTCCGATGTATGAAACGAAGGGTTTATGCATTCTGGTGTTATCTTTATTTTGTTGTTCTGACCACGGACCAAGAAAGATGGGGTCATCATCGAAATTGTCCGAGACCGGACGGAAAATTGTTTTTATGTGATGTAAACAGTCGCTGATATTCGTTGATCAAGATTTTTCGTACTTGTCACGCTTTTCTTTTTTATTCAAGCACTAGGTTGTAACAAAAATCTTTGCAGTCTTTATATATTTTTGTTATACAAAAATTAACATACAGGTTTAATAATTTTTTTTTAAACTCAGAGGTACACATTTATTACTATGTTTTATATGTTCACTATTCAAAGTACCAGACCTCGCTTCTTCAGATTACTACTTACTGGGTGTCCTTGTTACGCATGGGAACAAACAATGCGAGAAAAGTGCGCCTTATCGTCTGAGGTAAAAGTAATAATTCATTAAAAAAATGGGTATATTTTAGGAACGACTTTATCCAGCTTGTCCATGATTTTTGACGATCTAGTGAAAATATGTGATAAACTGCAGAAATGTTTTGGCAAAAGTATTTATTTTCACCTCAAGCCATTTACGAAATAAAAAAAAGAAAAATTAATCTGTTTCCTAATTTATGACAAAGCCCAGACCTCGCTCCTTCGGATTACGACTTACTCAGCGACGACGTTTACAAACCTGCGGCTTACTTATTGGTAAATTATTGACTTTGATTTATAAACCGATTTACTTGGTTAAAAGTTTATTTATCCTTAAATTGTAAAAAAGCTATTGAACAAAATTAGCTAAATTGAAAAAAGGATATAATTTGCCATAGATAACTCAATTTTCATTACTAAATGCTTTTTAATTTTATTATTACAACAAGAGCGCTACAAACAGCTCTGTTGTTATGAATTTTATGTTATAAAATTATAAGAGTGGAGATGTGATCCCCTCCTAATATATTTATCTTACTTATCTATTTTCACCATTGGGGAGGAAATCGCAAAGCCATCGGTGCTTTAAGAGTCTTAGAGGATTGTCGGGAAGGTTTAGGGGTAAAAGGTGTCAGACTAGGGGGTTGGGATGAAGGTCCAGGGTTTTATGGAGATGTCTGCATGGACTTCTTGCGGTTTCGAGGACAAATTTGAAAGTGTCGTTAGAGCAATCTAGACAAGATTGGATACAGTGAAGGGAGTTTTGGGCAATGGTACAAGGATTTTGGATGGAGATTGGAACGCTTGGTTGAATCCCGCAGTTCAATTTAAGTTGTAGACTAAACATTTATTTTGCAGTGGGAGTGTAGATCTATTGTCAAATAGTCTTTTGACTAGTTTATGTCATCTGTTCAGGTATATTGTTTTGAGTCGAATGTGGGCGTACCAAGTAAGTTTTTTGTTCATGTAAAAAAGTCCCAAATAGCAACATTGGTTGCGGGGAGAGGGACTTTGTTGTAGATTGTAGGAAGACCTGATCTCAATTTTTGGACCATTTTTCCAAACAGTCCTTTGAGTTTTCTTATGGACACTACTTGGCTAGTAATGTCTAATTTATTACTAATACGTGAAACTTATTTTCTCGAAAATGTCATGCATAGTTTTAAATGAAAAACCTGTCGCAAATATTGTTAAAATTATGTCTACTCTTAAGGGTGAATTTCTCCCTAATAAACGAGTTGTCTTTTTTCTTTCATGGTCCGGGTTACTTGAAAGGATAGCTTTATCAGAATTGATGACTGTAGTGTATACTGAATAAAAAATAGGATCAATGATGCTGCCTTGGGGTACACCAGCTTCAGCTTTATTAGGTTTAATTTTAAGTCTTTGGGACGTTATTTTTGTTATACCATTTGACAACAATGTTGATAAACTGTCTGAGTAGTTTATTTTATTTTGAGATAAAGATTGTTTATACGCTTCACAAAACTAGTTATATTAATTCTGTTTACAAAAAACTATAAACAAATTAACTGTTGATTGTCATTTAGTGTACGTCACTCGTCTAGATTAACACATCTGCGCGTTAATGATAACAAAACGTCAATCGAAGTTGTAAGAATTTTTTTAAATATTAAAATTTCATTCGAAAAATTACTTTTAAACAATTACAACGTAATTAGATAGTAAAGTTGACAATATAATTAGATTAAAGGGCGTTTTAACGACTAACGAAGTAAAACTTACGGCAAACTTGCTTCTTACAGTCGTTAGTGTAGGCAATTTGCAATGTAGCCGTGTATTGCATAATTGTTGACTTGGTTACAAAGGGTTGAAACGTGATTTATTACGAATTTTTCTTATCTTCCGACCGTATAAAAACTAATAAGAAAAAGTAAAACCAAAAATATAATCAATAACCTTCAGCAAAAGTTCAGGTAACATTATTTGTTACTATTGCTTAATCCAATCAGTAAATCAAAAGTTGTTTTTTTTTCATTTTTTAAAAATTACTTTGAACTAATAACGGTGGTAAGCTAATAACGTGTTGAAGTGTTAGAAACATTTTTCAACCAGTAGTGTTTTTAAGATGTAGTAACAATTCGGTAAGATGCTCGTAAGTTTCATCTTAAAACAATGCTAAGTCCGAAGAAGATTTGATGTCTTTAAGTCTATTATAAAATTGTTAAATAGTGAAGGAACCAGCACAGAGCCCTGAAGGACACAACTACACTACTTCCTTAGGGTAACTGAATTAGTAACTTGACTTAATAACTTGTAAGTGTATGATATCAATAGGGAAGCCCCAGTATACCAAATTTATATATTAGATTTGTGTTAACCAGATGAAGGCCTCTTCAATGCCAACCAGTACCTTTCCAGTGTTTGTGCGTGACCTGTTGTGTTCAATCAGGAAATTCAGTGTCCTGTGATGACATTGATGTGTGATGTTTTTCACTGATCTTGAAAAGGATACTGAGGAAGAGGTCGGTAATTTAAAAGTAAATGATCCTTTCTGGGTTTGAGGAGGGCGATCATTATGACAATTTTAACTCTTTTTTTAGATGACTTAAGTTTAAGAGCAGAAGTTCACCCAAAAAAGTGCCAATTGGGCCAGGCATTTTTACTTAGAATCAATCGCCACCAGATGCTAAAGGAATAAAAACATTTGCTGATTTAACCACCTGAGTCAACGTATTAAAAGTAAAGTACGTTCGATCCTTTTTAGGTTATGGCAGTGGGATGATCTTAGCAACTTTCTAAGTATTTGGAATTTCTGACTATAAGGTAATTAATTAGTTATGGATAATTAAGCCAGGTAGGTGAAGAAATGCTAGGAGAATGAGAGGGATAACATTTTTACCAGGGGATGTTTTCAGTTTAAGCCTATTGACTATCTGCTTATTATGGTTATATCACATTCAGAGTATTTTCCACACGTAGCATTTTTGTATCTCTGACAACTAATAACGAAACGGTTCAAAACCTCCAAATATTTGTAAATTTTTTAACAAAAAAAAATTAAACAATCATAACACAGTTTGATAAAGTTATAGAGTTTATAAAGCAATTTTATAAAGATGTTTTAATGACTAACAAATTAATTCCAGTGATTTGAATAGGTTGACCTAGGACGAATTTGCGCCCTACAACCGTTAGTGTAGGCAATTTGCCACGCACCTGAGTAATGCTAATTGTTGGTCTTTGTTACAAAGGGTTTAAACCTGATGTAATTGGTTCACACGCATTTATCTTCTTATTGCATAAAAACTAATTAAACAATTTAAATAAACTAATAATATAACAATTGCTTTCTTAGCTGTATTTTTGTAGTCATTTTTGAAAATTCTTTTCGCGAAAAGCCTAATCAAAACTATTTATTATTGAATAAAATATTTCGAGTATATCATTTTTTGTTTTTTTAATTCTAAATTTGTTTATAGTTATACAAAACGTAAGCAAAGTTTTAATGGTTTTGTTTACAAAATGAGTTTATTTGCATTAAAAAACTGTTATTTCTAGTGTACGTTGTTTTTTAATTACTCGCCTTGATTATATTATCTGCGTATTTGTGAAAACACAAGCGGCTATCACAAATTTGATAGATATGCGTTTATTTTTGAGGAAGTTTTATATAAATATATCTATAAAAAAAATTCAGAAAATTCTTAGTATCTCAGTAAGTTAAAAGGAAATGTTATCGATTATAATACAATCGGTTAAATTTTTTTTTTTTCTGCAATCATAAAAGTAAGATCTGTTAAAACTTGAAAGATTCGTTGAAAAAGAAATGTAAGGGATTTAAAAGGAGCAAAGGGCAAAGGATTGAGGTTGGATTAGTTTAATGTTAGGTGCGCTAGTGGAGGGTAGTCCAGCTGAGAGGCCGGTTACTTCTAATCGTGCCTCCATCGTGTGAGGGTCGCCTCGTTTCGCTGCGCTCTCCACTTTTCCCCCATATTGAACCCAGCGTAAGTCCACTTGCATCCGTCCGTGGATTTCAGTTTCATCTGAGCCGCGTGTGTCCTCAGGAGCCTCAGAGCCGTAAATCAATCGCTTCTTGGGGCCGAAGCCGACCGAAAACTCCCGACATTCGGCCCGGTTATCAAACGCCATTCTATCATAGCATAATAACAGTGACGGTGCCATCTCCTAGGACCCAATGTGACAATGTGACCTGTGGTTCCCGGTAGCGACGTTTGCGAGTGGTTTTAATTTTTTTCAATAACTCTTTCGACGCGTTATGTAGTTCGGATAGTTCGTGATACGACTTTATAAATCTGCTTCTGTGATCGGTACAATTGAAGATATTTGTCGCATCGTTATTTTTTTGATTCTCCTGGTCGGCTGCCACATGCTAGCAGTACTCAAGAAACGTTGGAAGCCTAAAAGGTACGATATATGCACAAAACGTTATAAAAAAAATCATAGACCTCAGTAAGAAATTCTTAATCATATTTACCTAACACTACTACTTAGTAGTTAAGCATAAATACATAAGACACAAAAAGTAGGAGATAATAGGTTTTTTAATAACAATGTCTACCTTAGATTTTATTCTAGGGTTTTTTGAGGAGTATATTAATTTGTATGTATATATAAGTAATAAGAAATTTTCATATGATTGTCCACTAATTAATTAGGTGCTTGTTAATGTCTGGATTATTTTAATCGGAGAAAGTGATACGAGGCAAAAGTAGTTTGAACCTTCATTGTATGATCCATAAAATCATGCTGGCATTATTTAAAATTTTGTTGTTGTTACGTAAATTATATTTTTATATTGTTTGTACCTCTCCTGAAAATTTGAACGTTATTATAATGAATTTTCTGTCAAAATTTTAATATTTGAGATCAGATCAAGTAGTGGACATTGCCCAAAAACGGGGTGAGACTTATTTGTAACTTTTTTGGTGATTACATTTTGTCTTTGATTATTCTAATCTGTGGGATATTCTTCATGTTGAAAGGTTGTTTAATGTGGAATAAAATGGGAGATTTTACCTAAAATTGTAGTTTTCTTTTGCTTTTAAAATTTTCTGTATGCTGCTCTATTAAAATATATAGAAAACTGATGGTGGATTGACAAAATTTTGATTGAACAACTTTTCAGATTTTTTTTTTCATTGTTGGCCATAAAAAAATCCCAGATAAAATTTCAGTCATGATCATACTGGCAAATACACATTTGATTGATCGTTTATTCACTCAGAGGGAATTTTCACATGTTCGCAGTAATCAAACGCTATATAAATTTTAATTTGAACGGTGAAAGTGTTAAATCGTAATTTCCGGCGGATAGTTAATTACCCTTCAATACGCTTAACGTTGGGGGAGGATTATCGGTTTTGTAAACGGTCTAGAACCAGGTTGCCATCAGCTGTTCCCCGGGGGATCGATAGGGTGAGTCATGTGTCCAGTAATGTTTGTGATATTAGAAATTGTACCAATTTAAATAAAATCATCATAATGCATGTTGAAAAAAAAATTACAACCCGTCTTTATGATAACATTATAGGAACAGAACTTTGAATTCAAATTTATGATTTTTACAAGGCGAAGATCTTTATTTGACCTCGAGTCAAGATTTTGCAATATTTTGTTCAACTAGTTTGCCTTTACGTCTGGAAGCACTTTATCCTTCGACCTCTCGGCACTCGAAAGGCTTCCGGGCTCCCTTTTAAGGTGGTCGCCTTCTCTTCCTAGACTACTCCAGTTACTTTGGATTCGCTTTGGATTCCTCTTGGCAACACCGTTCTTCCTTTATACAATCCGCTACGCTTGGACAGATTGCCGCTTTGTCGAAAGATTCTTCCAGGATATGATCAAAAATTTGCCGAAAAGAAAAATGTGTTAGATTACCCTTTATTAAAAAGGTAAAACTTTTTTATTCCTGGGAATAATAATACAATAATCCTTTAATCAAAGTTGCCGTCGGGTTGGTAAATAAGTGAACACTTGCACTATTTCGGTTTCGCACCTAAATCAAAAAACTTTTAATAAATTAATTCAAAATTTCCTTAATTTTATGTTATAATATTTCCACCTTACCAATTCGTCAACCATGGTTGACATCTTATTGGAAATTTAATGTAGTTTTCAATGGTATCAACAGATTTGTTCAATTTTTTTTAGGTTTGGAGTTATCATTGTTTATTTGAAGTAAGGTCGTGAAATCTTAAAAAAATCAAAAAATGGGAATAACTCCGTAACTAGAGATTCGGAGCATAGTTAAATGTGACTTTTTGGTTCCATTTTGAATGTAGAATCTACTGGCAAAATTTGTAACACGAGTAACCGTACACCCTGTATATTTTTATTCATCTGCCTATACACTGATTTTGTATAATCTACATATATAACGATTTTCGAACTTACTTACGTACTTACCTACTTACATACCTACTATGAGCCTGGGTTCCTTTTTAACCTTACATTCTTATAGGAACCTATCTATCCATGTACATATATATGTATTATTGTATTTTTATCCATCCAACCAACCAGCTATATGCTAATTATCTAAAAAATAATCTTCCAACTTACATATATCCATTTATATGCACACTTTATGTGTCTATTGTGTTCTTTTCATATTTCTTTTGTTTGTGTAACTTTACGGTTTTACAGTGTACTTCTTAAAATTTGCCGAAAAAAAATGTGTTAGGTTACCCTTTATTGATTTTTTTATGACAAACTTTACCCTTCCAGATTTATTCAGCAGCGTGTTGCGAATTGTTACACAATAGTGATGTCGTTTCTAATTTATCGTTGTTTGTTTATTTGTGTCAAAAGTAGGAAAACAAAAATATAGGTCAACTAGGACTACTAGTTTGACAATACTTGTTAAAACAACGCACATTTAAGATTTGTTTTTAATATGACAATTGTTTTTTTTTAACGACTTTTCTAATTGACTTCAATTCTTCAGTTTTTCCACCTTCGACAATACAGCATTCCCACGTAGCGAGATTATGAGATTCTTTTTCTTTCTCTCATGAAAGTTGTCGTCATTGTTTGCATTGTAGATTTACGGTCGTGAATACGATGGAGATAAGCGTTCAAGACGTTTATTTATGCTTTTTAACGCCAACAACAATATCTGAATGTTGGGTAATAATCTTTCACGACTTGAAACATAACCCATTAACCAGTCGAAGCTCTCATTGTAGTCCAAGCAATAATTTATAAAGAATACATGTTCTCAATGGCGTAAATTCAATGACCAATGAAATTTATCAGGCAATGCAATTTCTATTTAATAGAGGCAAGCTAGAAAGAGAAGAAGTTATTTCACGCACGGATCGTCTTTGCCGTTCAATTTTCGACCGTTTAAGACTTTTAGAATTAGCCACTAAAGACGAGATAACATCGTATTCGGTTGTATAACACAAAATGCATTGAAAATATGGCCAACAATGTATTGACCCGGAAAACACGGCTAATCTTGGCTTATACGCATGTAGTCGGAAGCAAGTATACAGGTTTTAAAATAAAGAAACTAGGATTGGCTCCAGGCCAACCATGAATCTGTATTTGCAAAACGACGGCCGGTGGTGTTTAAATTCATATTTTAAAACGCTTGAACTTTTAAATTTAATGTCTCTAACTTTCTACCTAACTTCTCTCTTCGTACCATTTTATCTATTTACTCCTTGCCTACCTAATTATCACTCTACCTCTGTACCTGCTCACCTAATTACTTACCAAACTGATTTATTTATTAGTCTATGTACGTTATTATCTCTTTAATCATTTAATTGCCTACTTGCCTCTTAAAACCCTATCAGCTTACTTACGCAGCTCCCGGTTTTTTTTATGTAACTACCAATATTTTTATCTCTACAGGGTGGTAAGCTCGTCGTGTTAATTTTTTTCGGTCACAGTACATTTAAAATGGAGTAGAATCCCAAAAATCTCAATCCATTTACAAGTGATGATTTCTTTAATGTTTATTTAAGAAAAACACGTTTCTTTATGTAAAACCTGAATTTTCTCCACTCGGACGTAACTTTTCGAAACCCTAGACCCCGGGATTAAATTTAGCACCGGATTTCCTTTTGAATTAATACAATTTTGTTTGAAAAATTTGCTATATAATAGATAACACTAGTAAGGAAATCGGTGCTAAATCTAATCCCGGGGTCAAAGATTTCGAAAAGTTAAGTTAGAGTGGGGAAAATTCAGGTTTTATGTAAAGTAACGTGTTTTTCTTAAATAAACATTAAAAAAATCATAACTTTTGAACAAATTTTTACAACGTTCTATTCTACTTTCGATGTACTGTGTTTTCAACACGACGAGTTGACCACCCTGTATATCTATTACTCTATCAATACTAAGATCATTTCTACCTAACTATTTAGTTCTTTATCGTCATATTCATAAATTTTATTACCTACCTTACCTCCGGCCGAACTTTCCTCTTACCTACCTAACTAAATATTTATCTCTCTCTTTATATACTTACCTTCTTAACGTACCCACTCAGCTATTATTTCAATCTCTTCGCTTATCAATTTAATATTTATTTGTCTGTTTGACTATTTAATTACTGTAATTATTTTTCTATAATTATTAACAAACCAACTTACTTATGCAGCTCACGGCTCATTTATGTAACTATCACTCTAATTATATAATCTTATATGTGTTTGTTTAAATACTTACCTACACATGGGATTATGGATAATCTACCTACCTTCATATATAACGATCTTTCAACTTATCTACTTGCATACCTATTTATGAGAGTGCATATCTTTTCTTATTTTATAGTCATAAACGCACCTAGTTATCTATCCATGTACCTATCTACTTATGTATCTATACAGGGCAGTTCGGCTACTCGAGTTACAAACTTTTCCAGTAGATTTTACATTAAAAATGGAACCAAAAAGTACTAATTAACTATGGTCCGAATTTTAGCAGTTTCGGAGTTATTCCGCTTTTTCTGATTTGTTAAGATTTCACGACCTTGCTTCAAATAAACAATGATAACTCCAAAACTGTAAGGTTTTGGACAAATCCGTTGATACCACTGAAAACTACGTTAAATTTCCAATATGATGTGATCAATATTAAACTTGTAAACGTTGGTGAAATAAGCGTTTTAGTAGCCAGAACTTTGAATTTTTTTTTCAAACTTGAAAAACTTACTATGGTGATTCTAAACTACTATTTCCAAACCTAGAGACCAGGAAATTTCAGAAGACGTACTCCATTTTATAACCATTTTAGTCGTGTAATTGCTTTTTTAGAAGATGAAGAGTTTGATGAAGGAAAGGAAAAAACCATGTTGACGGATTGGTAAGGTGAAATATTAATAATAAAAAACAACTTAAGGAAATTTTGAATGAATTTATTAAACGTTTTGAATATTAAAACTCTTT